AAGATGGCGTCCTCCGCTGCTGAGGCCAGGGCTTCTGCCCAGCCAGGCCGCGTGTCCAAGATGGCGTCCTCCGCCGCTGAGGCCCGGCTCCCGCCCCGCCAGGCCGCGGGCCCAAGATGGCGTCCTCCGCCGCTGAGGCCGGGCTCCCGCCCCGCCAGGCCGCGGGCCCAAGATGGCGTCCTCCGCCGCTGAGGCCGGGCTCCCGTACGTCAGGCCGCGCGTCCAAGATGGCGTCCTCCGCCGCTGAGGCCGGGCTCCCGCCCAGCCAGGCCGCGTGCCCAAGATGGCGTCCTCCGCCGCTGAGGCCGGGGCTCCCGTACGTCAGGCCGCGTGCCCAAGATGGCGTCCTCCGCCGCTGGGACGCGCCGGCCACACCCAGGCCTTCTGGACGCCCAGAGGCAGCGCGAGGGCGCAGGAGGTGCCCCGCACCGGGAGGCCCCCGCGGCCCCAGACGGCGGCGCTCAGGGCCGCAGCCTCGGCAGGAGCGCCCCGACCCGACCCGCGCCCCGACCCGCGCCTCAGGCGGCGCCTCAGGGAGACGCGCCGCGCCGCCTCCCCGCCAGGCCGCGTGGCCCCAGACCCGCCGTTTTCCCTCGCTCCGCCGCGGGCGAAGCCTCCGCGCGTCCTCTGCGAGCGGGCGGCGGAGGCCTCCTCCCTCGGGGCCCGCCACGGCCTCTGGAGGGTCGGCGGGGGGGGGGGGGGCGGCGGGAACCCCGGGCCCCAAACGCGGAGTCCCGCACCCCGGGACGCAACCGCGCCCCTTGCGCCTCGTTTCTCTCTCATCCCTCGCCCCACCCGAACGGCGAGCCCGGCCAGCGCCTCCCCGGGGCTCTCGGCCTCCCCAGCAACCCCCTCCGGGGGCGCCGCCGGGGACGGTCTCTCGGCTTCGGCCACCGGCCGCATCCTGCCGCGGCCCGAGTTCGATCCCCGGCCAGGGAGCTGCCCCCACGGCGCAGCAGACCTCCCCGCCGCCCGCGGCTCCCCGCAGCAGCGGATCTCAGTGGGTCCGCCTGGTCTGCGCCCCGCTCTGTCTCTGGGGAATCCTCTCCCCCTCCCGCGCCTCTGCCCTGCGCCCCAGTTCTCCTACGCACACGCGCGAGCGCACACACACACACACACACACTCTAAAATTTCAAACTAGGGACAGTGCTAGAAAGCAAGGTGATGGCTGCAGAAGAAGGAAGAAAAGGAATGGGTGGAAGAGACATAAGAAACAGAGGCAGGAAGAACCATGGAAGGTGCTAGAAATGTTCATTATCTTGATTTTTATGGTTACACAAATCAAAAGTTATGAAATCACAAACTTCCAACATAGGCAGGTTATGTCAGAGATTCCTCAATAAAGTCAAAAACCACGTCATCGATCTTACATTGGTTGTGAGTTTTAATTGCCCTTTTTCTCTCCACAATTTTAAATTGCTATGAGTTGCCATGTATCTGCTTTAACCCTATCACATGTAATAACGAACATTTTTATCAACAGCACGTTTGGGTTCATTTTTTTAACATTTTATTTATTTTTGCATACTACAACTGGGGTGTAAACCAGAGGTGTGGGGGGTGAGAGGATTCACCAGAGTCAGAGTGGGGAGCAGAACAGGGGGATTGACTGAAACACACTGCTGAGGGGAGCTGTGGGGAGACAGGAGAGGCCTGCGGCACCCTGTAGATCAGCTTCCTGGCTGGGGATCTAACTCGTGCTGCAGTGGCTGCAGATAGCTTCATAGTGCTGCAGCTTAACCCCTTGAGCCACCAGGGAGTCCCCTTATTTTTTTAAAGATTTATTTATGCATACAAAAGCTGGGGTGTAGGTCAGAATTGCAGGGGGTGAGAGGACTCACCAGAGACAGAGTGGGGAGCAGAACAGGCAGATCTACTGAAACACACTGCTGAGGGGAGCAGAGGGGAGACAGGAGAGGTCTGCTGCGCCATGTGGGTTAACTCCCTGGCTGGGGATCAAGCTCGTGCTGCAGTGGCCGGCAGTAGCTTGACAGTGCTGTCTTTACCCCCTATGCCACCAGGGAGGCCCCAATATTTGGGTTCATTTTTTTCAAACAACAGGAGTCCATGCATGCGTTGCAATTTCCACCCTGGCCATGCCCGGCCACAGCAAAATCAAAACCTCCAGAAATGTGCTCACCATGACCCTACAGTTTTACGGGCCATTTCTTCAAAGATCAAATAGGATAAGATGTGGGGCCTAAGACAAGGGCTCTTTGCTCCAGGTAGGATGTGGAAGACGTGTTTGGTCAGGCTCCCTGCAGGACTTTGTGGGGACAGAGACCCGGAGGCCACCTCAGCCCGCGAGAAAGGCGAGGAAGCCACCTCGGTCACATCCCTAGTGAAGGCAAGGGCTTCTGTTCTGCTCTGCCCGCTCAACAGCCTGTTACCCGGACACCCGTCCCTGCAGGGACCTGTCCATTGTTAGTCATGTTTACACCGTCCACCAACAGACCCCACAGCCCTTCTGATGTGTTCAAGGGTCAAGAGAAGCTGAGCAAGGACTTAACAGCGGCCACCTGTCTCCACCGCTCAGTCGTGGCCAGGGGTGTCATCTCAGCCCTTCTTTGTGGGGCAACGAGCTTCCAGGTAACTGTCCTGGGCCAGAATGGGTGATGTTTCAGGGGCTCCCATCCTCTGCTCGATGTCACACCAGCTGCTCTTCCGTGCCGGCGTCCAGAGCCTGGCACAGATGCCTCTGAGCCCCGGTGTCAGGTGCCCTAAGACAACGGGGTGGCCGTAGGTCCCCTGGGAGCATCTTGGGAGCAATCCGAGAACTTGGAGGGGACCTGCAGGGGTTCTTCCTCGAAGGGCCCCCTCGATGGATAGCGCAGGTTACTTTCAGCGAGGTGCTGAGTGTCACCTTCCACTCACGAGCTCTTTGATGCAGTTAGACAGTGATTGCAGGCAAGTAATATGCGAAGTTGCACATTTAGAAACAATTTATTGTTGTTGGTTTGATAAAGATGTATTTATTTATGCATACAAGACCTGGGGTACAGGCCAGAGGTGGGGGGGGCGGTGAGAGGACTCACCAGAGACAGAGTTGGGAGCAGAGCAGGTGGATCCACTGAAATCCACTGCCGAGGGGAGCAGCAGGGAGTCAGGAGAGGTCTGCTGCACCATGTGGGTATCTCCCAGGCCGGGGATCCAACTCAGGCTGCAATGGCTGCAGACAGCTTCACAGTGCTGAGACGTAATCCCTTGTGCCACAAGGGAGGCCCTAGGAACACTTTGTAATGAGCACTGCAGGTCCACCCCTCATCCCAGCAGCCACGGTGGTCTTGCTGCTGTGTGAGCAGAGCGTGGCATCCATAACCAGCTCCCTCTAGGCCCTCCTGGGCAGCACAGAGGAGGACCTTAGACCCTGTCTTGTCAAGGGGCAGAGAGAGGAGCCCTTACCCAGGGCTGTCACCACTGGGAAAGGCTGACCCACAGAGGAGGGGGGAGGTGAACCCACAGGCACTCTGAAGCTGTGCTTTGCTAGTGCCAGCAGGATTTTGACAAAGGCAGGAGAGTGTGGGCAGAAGGTCCAGCAGAGGCAAGGCAGAGACCCAGCAGGGGGGAGCCAGGGGAAGCCTGCAGGAACCTCCCGCTCACGTTAGACATCAGATGATGCTGAGAACAAGAGTGTACACGGAAGCTTGTGACACAGCAGGACTGCTGCTTTCTTAGAGGAGCGCTTGGTGGCTGCACCTTTGTCCATGTTGACCACCACGCTTAGCTCAAGGCCAGGCAGCCAGAAATGTCCCAGCCACACTTCCTGGACACTTACATGTTAGCCAAGCCGGCCACCGCGCCCTCTTATTTGTGTGTGTCATGTGCATAAGAAACCTTAGAATGTGTGTTCAACCAGGGTTTACTTAAACAGTAAGCCCCATTATTTTCAATATTCTTTTCTTTTTCATAGTTTAAAAAGACACTGGACCAGACAGGAGCTGCAGAGTATTTTCTAGGAGGGATTCGTGGCTGGGAGGGAAATGGTGAGGCCAGGTGAGTTTCAGGTGAGCGCTGGCACTTCCGTGGTGGGCAGTGGGCAGCGGCGCTGTAGATCTGCAGATCTGACCACGGCCTTGTTCCATGCCTGCTTATTTTGGCTGACCCTGTGGAGACCCCTCTCCACCCTCCCTGCTATCCCTGTGCCAGGCCTCCCCCAGGCCCCCTTCCTTGGTTCCCCCTGCTACAGGAGCTTCACACCTGCTCCAGCCAGTAGGTCACTCCTTCGGAGTCTCCACCCACTCTCTGGACACTCCATCCGGGGAACCATCCATCAGATACCGACGGGCAGGGTGTGTGCCCAGCCTTGTGTCCTGGCTGCCGAGCAATGAGACTAAACTGCTGTCATGGAACAAACCTTCCCGTGGGGCCGGTGGGGGGGATCCCCGCACAACTAAGGCGTGGCGGGGCCATGACCCTCTGCACAGGTGGGGACAGGTAGGTCGCCCAGGTGGGACGCTAACTTTCAGGCGGGATTCCAGGCGGGGTACTGGAGGGTAGAGAGGCACCCCGATGTGCAGGTGCCAGGAGGGGACCGGGGGTACCGGAGGGTAGAAGGGTATCTGGGGGTGCAGGTGCCGCGGAGGGTGTGCCGGTGGAGAGGAGATTCCCGGGGTGCCCGTGGTGCAGGTGCCCGAGGGGGGGAGCCGGTGGTATTGGGGGTATCTGGGGTGCCGGGGGTGCAGGAGTCGGGACGGGCTCCGGGGTACTGGACGGTACGGCGGTGTGTGGGGTGCACGCGCCAGGAGGTGCACCGGGGCTGCAGGTGCTGGGGGCGGGGCTGCCGGTGCCGGCTCAAGGCTCGCCGCGGAGAACGCGCGGAACGCCGGCCGCACGAGGAGCGCGCTCGACGCAATCGGCGCTCGCCGCCCGCCACCCCGACTGGGCTGCGCCGGCCCCGCGCCGGCCTGAGGGCGCGTGCGCGCTCCCGGCCACGCCCCCGCCGCCAGCGGCCAGAGCCCGCGAGGGGCGGGGCGGCGCCACTGCGCACGCGCGGACGCGAAGGCGGAAGTGCACGGCGAGGCGAGCGGCCTCCCGAGACGCGGCGGCTCAGGGAGCGCAAGGGCTGAGGTGACGGCGGCCGGGGTTGGCGCCGGGGCCGCGGGGGCGGCCGGGGAGGCTTCCTGGTGAAGGGCGGCGGGGCCGGTGTCGGGGCCGCCTCCGTCCGCGGTCGGGGGCCGTCGGCGACGCCGCCTCAGCGGAGACCCGCTTCCGGGCCGCGGCGCGTTGCGGGAGCCGCTCAATGAGGTGCCGGAGCTGCGCGGCCCTTGCAGGCGCCGCCCCCTGACGTCCCGGGACCGCCCGGTGAGGAGCCGGGGTCGCCCGGTGAGGTTCAAGGGCCGCGCGGCCCGTGCAGGCGCCGCTCCCTGAAGTGCCGGGGTCGCCCGTGAGGTACCGGGGCCACCCCCCTGAGGTGCCGCGACCGCCCGGTGAGGAGCCGGGGTCGCCCGGTGAGGTTCAAGGGCCGCGCGGCCCGTGCAGGCGCCGCCCCCTGAGGTGCTGGGGCTGCCCCGTGAGGAGCCGGGCTCGCCCCGTGAGGTTCAAGGGCCTCGCGGCCCGTGCAGGTGCCGCTCCCTGAAGTGCCGGGGTCGCCTGTGAGGTACCGGGGCCACCCCCCTGAGGTGCTGGGGCCGCGCAGGTGCCGCTCCCTGAGGTGCTGGGGCCGCCCAGTGAGGTTCAGAGGCTACGCAGCCCGTGCAGGTGCCGCCCCCTGAGGTGCAGGGGCTGTACGCCTGAGGTGCTGACCCCCGCCCTGAGGTGCCAACCCCCCTGAGGTGCCGACCCCCCTGAGGTGCCGGGACCGCCCACGTGAGGTGCCGGGGCCGTCTGCCTGAGGTGATGCCGCGCCCCCCCCCACCCCTCCGGTCCCCCCCTGAGGTGCCGGAGCCGTCCCCTGGGGCGCGGGCCGGGGTCCGCGCCTGCACGGTGGGGTGTCAGGCGGCGGGAAGGGCACTGAAGAGAGGCTTCCACTCGGGAGCCACAGGCGCCTTTAGGCCGGGGCTGCAGCACCCAGTTAAGGCCCCGGCCGTCCTGCTCGCCACTGCTCGCTCCGGGAAGGGCGTCCCCTGCAGAAACGCCCCTGGCGGCTGCGGTTTGGGGTGACGGCTTGGGGGGACGCGGCGCCGGCCCGCGAGCAACCGCTGCTTTTCTGGGGCTTTCGACCTGGCCCCAGGGTCGCGACTGTCGCCTCAGCCGGGCCGCGGGGCTGTCGCGGCGCACAAGGCCCGCCAGGGCTGCTGAGGGCCCTCCACGGCTTGCCCGCTGCAGCCGCGGGGCGGCGGACGCCCAGTCGCGCGGTTTACACGGCGCCCTTAGGCGAAGCCTGTGGAAGCGCCTGGCCACCGCCTGCCGTGCTCGAATTTCTCCTGAAAGCTCCTTTACTCGAGTCCGCGGCGCAGTGTCTCGGGGCGCTGGCCGGCGGGCCTTGGTCTCCAGGCTTCCTGCGCGCCGCAGCGTGCCCGCCGTGTCCTTCCAAAGCTATTTTAATTCTATGCTTGATGCCCCCACCACACCTCAGGGACGCTGCCCTTTTCTTTGGCTGCTGGATGCTCTTCGTTGTGTCTGGAGTGGCCGTGACAGGGCAGGCTTTCCCGTCACAGTGACAGGGCGACACGCCGCGTCACCCTCCTTAGGGCACTTCCTTGACGGGATGTGCCGATAAAACTGCGTTGTGGTTTTTTCTAAGATTTATTTTTGCATACAAGAGCTGGGGTAAAGGCCAGAGGTGGGGGGGAGTGAGAAGATCCACCAGAGACAGAGTGGGGAGCAGAACAGGCAGATGGACTAAAGTACACTGCTGAGGGGAGCAGTGGGCGAGTCAGGAGAGGTCTGCTGTGCCCTGTGGGTAGCTCCCTGGCGGGGATCGAACCCATGCTGCAGAGTCTGGTGATAGCTTCATAGGTTGCGTCTTAACCCCCTGCGCCACCAGAGAGGCCCTAAAACTGTGTTTTAAATGCAAGGTCTTGAAGGGCAGCTTTTCTTGTGTTGATGCCCCAAGCGAGCAAAGAAGATGACTTATTTTCTTGCTCATTTCAGACACCGTGTGGCATGTTTCAGTTGAGGTATCAGTGTTGGGTGCAGGTGTCCAAGAGGTGACAGTGCTGGAAGGATTTAGCTCCGCGTGTCTGGCATGAGTCTGTGGTTTCTGAAATTGCCTGTAGGTGTGTAGAAGCCGCAGTGCGTTGGACAGGAGCCGGCAGGGTGTGATAGAGCCGGTCATGAACTCGCTTCCCCTTTGTTACCTGCCAGAACACCATAGGCAGATGATGCTGTCTCTTTCCTTAAGGACTCACGTTTGTAGCAGAAACAGAAAAATTACACCACTGTGATGTAGGTATTTGTTAAAATTTGCATAAAGTGCAGTGAGCCACCAGAGGATCAGCAGAGGGTCAGGCTTCATGTGGAGGAGGGTGAGGGTGGGTGGCAAGAGGAAGAAGAGAGTGTCAGTAGGCTGATGAAGTTCTCTGGGCCAGAAAAAACGGTTTCTTGATGGCGAAAAGCAAATATTAGCTCTATTTATGGATGTCTAGCCAGCAGAAATCCTGCTTGATAGGATGAAATTTGGTTGGGCTCGTAGGAAGAACAGGTGTGTTTTGAGGAGGAAATAACAAGTGACTTTTGGATACTTTAAAATGACACATTTCCTGTTCTGAAATATTGCAGAGCCCCTGTAAAACAAATGTGCTTTCCTGCTGAGTGGTGCTAGCCAGGAGTTGTATTCAGAAGCAGGACCCCAAGTTTAAATTACTGACAAGGCAGTACTTACTTTCTGTGCATCAGCAAGCTAGACGTGCCCACGAAGGGGGTTGCATTGCTTGCCACTTGGAAGCATCTTCCAGCAGTTTCTCTGAGAAAGATTCCTAGTGGGGTTCACTGTCAAAATCATCCTTTTCTGCCTCCTTCCTCAACGTGAGTCTAAATGTTAGTGCCCACTGGGATTGTAACAGTCAGTGAATCTTTCCTAGAACATAATTTTTTCTTCATGAGGCTAGTCTTCATTTGTCACAACTTTCCACTTTTGTTTAGCCTTTACGTGGGATTTACTTTTCCATTTCTATAAATCCACAAAAATTGAAAGTCATCTATGGAACCATCGTGTTTTCTCCGCAGACTAACAGAGTCACTTGTTTATCCAACCACTGACAATCCTAATGGCTTTTTTCTTTCTTTTTTTAAAAACAGCTCATTGAGAGTGTATTTGACATACAGAGATCTGCACATGGTTAGTAGGTGCAATTGGATGAATTTGCACATGTGCATTGCACCTGTGATACCGTCGCCACCGTCAAGGTAATAAGCATACCTGTCACTCCCCAGAGTTGCCCCATGTCTGTGCACACATGTGTAAGCACACATGTGTCTGTGTGTAAGCACACATGTGTCTGTGTGTAAGCACTGAACGTGCACCAGCCTCCTACCCAGCACGCCACCTTTGTGTGAACTACTGGCCTGTGTGGAGCAGCTGGCCCCAGCACTGTCTCATCTTGGTAACAGACTTATTATCCATTGAACAGCAGCTCCCCACAGGCTTTTTTCACTAACAGAGTCTTCTCCAAATCTGAGAGATGCAGTTGCTAAAGTATACTTTCCGCAGTCTCTGATAACTCTGGGTGTTTAAGTCACTCATAGTTATTTGAGTTGTGAAACGTTAACATGTGCCTTTTTCAACTGTCTTAGTATTTAAAGGAGCTGCTTTTGTTCTTTATGCTTCTTTCCTGCAGTTAAGGATTCGCTTAAAATGCTGAAGATGTTATGTGTAAACTATTGTGGACCCTAAAATTTGTATCCTTACTATATGTAACAACAATAAGCTGTGCTTTGATGATACGTTAGCTAGGTTAGCTTTTGCTCATGGCTATGAAAAACAGAATGGCTTCTACTTAACATGATCATATATATCAGTCATTGTCAGGTGAAGCTAAATTATTTGGAGAGTAGATAAGCTGTTTTTGGTTATGTGGAAGTTTGAATAGGGAGATTCATAGATTAATGTGTAGGGAGATTTAGACTATAATTTTTAAATTGTGTTTTGAAATACTCTTTGGAGAAGAAGACTGATCTAATGTTTTGTTTCAAGCCTTATTTCCTTGTTTAGGAATTGACTCAACAAGCAGAAGACTGAACAAAGGGGAGGAAACCAAGAAAGGCCACTTTGGAAGCCCTGAATGCGGCAACATAAGAACAATGGATCTCAAGTTCAACAACTCCAGGAAAAACATTTCCATCACTGTCCCATCTAAAACCCAAACAATGTCACCACACATCAAGTCCATAGATGACATTGTAGTGCTTGGCATAAATCTCAGCAAATTTAACAAACTTACTCAATTTTTCATATGCGTTGCCGGAGTTTTTGTATTTTACCTAATTTATGGATACCTACAGGTAAAAAAATACTTGTTTATAATACATTAATTATAACACTTGAGATCACTGTGGGCACTTGCTAGTAGATTTGTTTTTATTTATAGGATTATAACTAAATGTATATACCCTAGTATAAGTAACTATAAGTAAATATATATATATATATAGGACTACAAGGTTATTTTCTTACAGGATACCAGTTTTTCACAAATTAGAATTTTTTCGTAAGTAGGAAAGTGTTGCTTAGGAAAGTGTTGCTTAGATGTAAGTCTGAAAATAGGGATCAGAATTTCAGCGTTAAAGATTATAAATGTGAGGACAGGGAGCAGAGACAATCTTAAAACATTAAAATTTTGAAAATAAAGTTTGAAATACTCTTTTTAACAAAATGTAGATAATAATTGCAGTCGTGTTAGTTTTTAAAAGAGAATGATCCAAGCATTGATTGGTATTTTGTAACATAAAATTCAATATAATTAAATGATAGCACAGTCCAGTTCACTCTTAATTCTTGGAATTCAGTAGAAAAAGATCACTTTTGCAAAAGCATGTCAGGATGTTCTAAATCTTCCCAAGGGAATCACTTTCATCCTGTAATATTTGTTCTTTTTTGTTAGCACCTGTTGTGTTTTTATACTTGTATTTCCTCTTCTAACCTAACTTTACCAGAAACTTAACATTTTCTGTGATTTTTGCCTGTGCAAAATATTCCCACCATTGCCACAGCCTGTGTCTTATCTGCCTTGTATTATGGAGTAGTCGTGTGTCTTCCGCCAGCAGTGAGCTGGCCTTCAGAGACATTGGCTGGAGGGGTGAGATGCAGACCAGTATGAACGGTGCTTGAAGGGGCTAATGTTGGTCAGTTCATTAGTATTCCCAGACATTACTAACCTCACTTCTTTATACAACTCCCTAACCAAGCTTCTGTAATTCAAAAAAAGGAAAGTGAAATGTTTTCTTAAAACACAAGTAATATTTCTGGTACTCTTTAGTATTAATCAGCGGGATAGATCTTAAAAATTATAGCACTTTCTCTCCATTGTCTTACAGAGTTGAAATATAAACTGTAAGTGAATAAGGCAGATTTATAACTCCTTGTAAGAGTGCTATAAGGAGTATTAGTGTACAGCAAAAAGAGAATTAAAAATCTTAGTATTTGTTTTAATAGCTGATTTCTTCCCAGATGATGTCATGAAAAGCTAAATAATCAATGAATGACAGTGAGAAACCATAAATTTCATCAAAAAAACTTTTGAATTTTTTGTTGAGAAACATTTTCTTCCCTTCCTGGAAGCAAGTCACTCCCTAAATTAGAGATGTGAGGGTTCCATTAAATTTTTTCTGTTTGATTAATGAGCAGAGATTTTAACTTATAAACTAGTGCAAAGGCTTTTTTAATTAGATAAGCTACAAATAATGCTTATAACATTATAAAAACATATTGTACTAATTCACATGATAATTGTCTATCGAAGTAGTTTATGGGAAATGGTTGGGGTTTTGTAATGAAGTTTGCTCTAAATAGCAAAATATTTATCTGGAAGCCCAGGTATAGTAAGCGCTTTTCTTTTCTTTTTTTTAAGATTGATTTATTTATGCATACAAGACCTGGGGTACAGGCCAGAGGTGTGGGGGCGAGAGGGCTCACCAGAGACAGAGCGGGGAATAGAACAGGCAGGTTGACTGAAATACACTGCTGAGGGGAGTAGCGGGGAGACAGGAGAGGTCTGCTGCACCATGTGGGTAGCTCCCTGGCCAGGGATCGAACTCAGGCTGCAGTGGCCATGGACAGCTTCATAGGTTGAGTCCCAATCCCTCCCGCCACCAGGGAGGCCCAGTAAGCACTTTTCTAATGGTTTATAATTCATAAGCCAGAAAAAAATCTATATTTAGAGTCTCAGACTTAATGAATATGAAATCTGAATTTGGGGAGTTACATAGCATCCTCAATGTACAGAACCTAGTTCAGGCCCCATTTAGAGGCTGTGTTCAGTTTTTCTTTGAAAATCATAAATTTCATCATTTGAAATTTATTTAAAATACAGTTGAAAAGGGGAGGGGGGGTGATTCTCCTACCCAGTGGGCCAGATCGCTTGAGTAGAACGCCCTCATGACTCCCTGAAGTGACCTCCCGCCAGTCACGTGGGTGTGCTTCCTGACAATGTCACGTGGAGCAGCACACCATACCTGCAAAGAAGAGAAGTTTCTTAAAATCAGCACAGTAATACCAAAAACCAGCATTCATTACTGATTTGAACTGATGCTGTTATTGTAGTAAACCAGGCTGAGCTCATTGACTCCTAATGAAATAGAGTTTTGGTCTTATATGTGAGCTCTTAAAGTTGCTGCGTTTAGCATAGTTTTGGGCAACTGTTAATTCTGGTCTATTTGGAAAAGTCGAGAATATAGGTGGGGGTGGCTTCATAGTCACCTCCCTTCCTGCGCCTGTTACTGATTCTCCTGCGGGGCTTCTGGTATCCCCTTCTGGGAGGACACCCCAGCTTCTCTCATGTGAGTGCTGAGAGCCTGGTGAGCAAGATGGTTTTTTCTCTGGGGGTGCTGAGGCTTGGTTTCCTTGGAAATATGTTTGTAGGAATTCATTGCGAGCAAATTGGCCTGCCCCTTGAACTTAATCAGTGTTCATATATCTTTTGACAGGAATTAATATTTTCCATGGAGGGTTTTAAGCCCTATGGCTGGTACCTAACTTTAATGCAGTTTGCATTTTACTCCATATTTGGCCTAATAGAACTTCAACTTATTCAGGACAAAAGGAGAAGGTATGTGGTTTGTTTGTTCTGATAACTGAGTCCATTAGTATTAGTTAAATTATTTTGCCTTACGCTTTGGACAGGGTCTCTCAGACATGAAATCTACATTTCCCCGTTTGTAAGACTTAGCAGTGTACTCAACTTGTGAAGAAAATAGTGAACATGCGCTTCCCATAACACACCGAGGAAGTGGTCTCCCTTTAAGTGCAATGTTACCAAACTAAAAATTGGCTTAGACTCCAGTTAACAGCAAGACACACCTTCCTGAAACAGGAGGAGTATTCGGACGTACACATGTCTTTCCATAAATCTCACTGGACAGTCTGAGTGCGGCAGACAGCACACTGACGTCAGTTGAGATGCCAGTGCCTGTTCTGTGCGGTTTCTGAATGGACAGTTGCCGTGTCCCCTGTGGCTGTACTCCCCTGACAGAGTCTTGTTTAAAAGGCCCCCGGGGGCTGAGGTTGCATCCTTAAACATGAGAGAAATTTCAAGACCTTATTTTTCTTTTTTTTTTTTTTTTTTTTTTTTTTTTAGAGGCATGTTTTATTCATTTGTTTGTTTGTTTGTTTGTTTATACAAGCACTGGGTACAGTCAGAAGTGCGGGAGGGTGAGAGAATTCACCAGGGCCAGAGTGGGGAGCAGAGCAGGCAGAAGGACCGAAGTCCACTGCTGAGGGGAGCAGAGGGCGGCAGGAGAGGTCTGCGCGCCATGGGGGACCCTCCTCCGGTGGTCGGGGAGCAGCCGGGGATCGAACCCACACTGCAGAGGCCGCAGGCAGCTTTGCAACCCAGCGCTCAACCGCTGCGCCACCAGGGAGGCCCTCAAGACCTTATTTTTCATCAAAATTAGAAGAACTTGAGTGATAGTGTCTTAAGTTAATGACCAGGCCTGAGATACGTGTAGCAGCGTACAGAATGCGTCAGGGAACAGCAGGCTGCCGGGGATCCTGGCGCGGCCCCCCAGAGCCGAGGTGATGCCTTCCCCCACCCCCCCACCCCGCCCTGCTGCGTCAGCCCTGATGCGGGCTCACATCAGGGGCCTCTCTAGCAGCTGAGGCATAATAAGAGCATGGTTCCCACAGCTCGTCTTCCTTGATGGAATGTTCCGTCCACTAGCACAAATAAAGAATTTGCACAGCTTTTTTTTTTTTTTCTTTCGTAAATGTTTTTGGTGTTTGTATGAAGATAACTGTAACTGTGCATGTGACGTCTGCAGCACTGTCTCTTCTTGGGAAGGACTGTCCTTTCCATCTACCTCGAGTGCCAATAAATGAATTTAGGAATTTAGAAGAATGTTGAGCCTGAGGTCATCATTACCTTTGTGCTCTGACACCGCAGGGGTGGCCGTCAGTGGGAGCCTGGGAACAGACTTACTGTCTGTCAGGTGGAAGGGGCCTGACTGTTAGCTGTGTCCGCTGCTGGCCTTGCTCCCCAGCATCGAGCGCATTCGGCGCGGCCTGTCTTCAGGGAAGAGTGGCGTGCGTGGGTGCGCCTCCTGGCTGCTGTGTTTCTGAGGCTCCCTGAGTGAGATAGGGTCAGCCGTGTTAACCTTTGACCCACATGTCCATCAGCTATTTAAAGATTAAATTGTTCTTGCTTGACTTAAGCGTAAGTGAAGAACTAAGAGAAACTTTAGATGTACCATCAGTGTAATGATGAAGCGAAACCTTTTACTCCAGGGTACATCAAAACATCGCCTAGCGGGGAACACTTTAAGGTGCATAACAATGAAATTAGTCCCGATCGCCTGAATCAGGACCTGGCTCTGGATGTGTTTGAGGGGTGCTACGCTCCAGGCCTTTCATTGGCAAATGCTGTGCGTCCTTCCCTCCTGCCTCCTCTGTTCCCATGAAGGCCAGTATCCAAGAGCGGGTGCAGGACACAGAGTCAGGGAACCGGGCATGGTCTCTGCTGGCACTGCCGAGGCCAAGGGAAGTTGCCTCTGCTTGCTCACAGCATGTTGAGGCTCAGATGTGGTGAAAGCCCCTTGTAATGGCACTACCTGCAGTCGTTACCCTGTGGCTGTTACCCCAGGCAGCTGCTCGTTGTCTTTCCCCAAACACCCTTCGGCACCCGCTTCGTGACTGGTTTCCTGGCACGAGTGTTGACTGAGGGACAGCTGTCAGGTTGGTTTTGAAGTGGCTCCTGGTAGTGAGTGTTCTCACCTCGTCTAGAGAAGCCAGCCGTGGAGGGCCCTAGAGGCAATGGGGAGGGGCGAGGTGCAGCGCCCAAGGACAGCAGGCTGTTCTGGGCTCCCGGCCCTCAGGTGGAGCTTGGAGCCAGAGCGTCTGAGTGTCAGGCGCTCTTCTTTGTACCTGTGCTACTCTCTGACTTTGTCCCTCGTGATCATCTGACCCAAACCTATTTCCTGGCCATCTTGTACAGCTGGCTGTGCAGAGTCTGTCACCTGTGGCCGTGTCGTGGCCCCTTCGCTAATGGGGTAAGCCTCTCGGACAGGACATGACAGTGTGTGGTGCACCCACGTGTGGGCACGTGGCCCTGTTGGGCTCTTTCCCTGGGGAGTTTAAATGTTGACCACTGTGTTAGTCATGAAGTAGGAAAGCCCTCAAGATTGAAGTGTGATGCATAGTGTGCTTCTTCATTGAGTGTTTCCGGTAAATTATTCTGCCTTAGATCTAGCCCCTACAAAATAGAGAGGAATTTTATTGCCTTGTCTTAAACATGAGCACGGATCCCAAAATGGGAACTAGGCGAAGTGTGCAGCGTGCCTGATCCCGTGCACAGAGCCGAGCATGGCTGGAGACGTCAGCCACCTGTCCCGGGAGCATGTGCTCAAGACAGCCACTCAGCGCTCTGCGTCTGTGCAGACCTCATCGGGACTCCCCACAGAGGCCCAAGTAGAGGGTTTGACCTGAGTTCTCGGCTTGAAGTTGGTTATCGTAGCATTTTACAGAACGCAGTTAAAGAGGCATCTGAGAGGGCATAGTCAGAAAGCCACGTCCAGAGCCCGGAACCGCCACGTGCCTTCTCTAGAGAAAGCCTGCTCCCGTCCTGACGCCAGGCAGGGTCATCAGAAACAGACCATTTCAGAAATGAGTCGTGTGGCCAGTTCTTCCATTGCACCAGCCCCTGTTTTTTAAGAATGAGCTCTTTTTTTTTTTTTTTTTTTTTTCTAAATTCACTCAAGATTGTTTTACGGAGGTAGTACTGTCGAGAAGCCTCGGGCTGGCATTTATTCCTCCAGGGAGCGATCGCTGCTGTCACCTTCCACTTTCCACAGTCGAGAGTCCGGCTTACCTTTGGTTAACTGAGGGCAGAGTGTTGTTTCTCCATCCTTCCTTTATGTGAGGAAACAGGTAGAACTTTAAGCACAGTGATATTCTGTCAATATTTTCTAGAAATGTTAAACATCAATTAGAAAAGTAATTGGGCATTCACACTTTGTAAGCACATTATCTAACAATACTTATGAGCTGGGTCCCAAAATGAAGATTTTAAAAATTGTCTTTTACAGAATACCAGGAAAAACCTACATGATAATAGCTTTTCTAACTGTGGGTACTATGGGGTTGTCAAACACTTCTTTGGGCTACCTGAATTACCCTACCCAAGTCATCTTCAAGTGCTGCAAATTGATCCCCGTTATGCTAGGAGGAGTTTTTATTCAAGGTATAGTAACGATATATTTTCATACTGTTTGAACTAGTAGGATATGTTACTGCATCTAGCATTAGGAAAAGCATTAAATTTCCATTGATATTTTTAACAAGCATTGCAGATACTGTAGCTGTTCTGAGTGCTAAGCATAAAAATAAGGTGCTATACAAATGCCAATGCTTCTTCAATACATCTCAGTCTCTGAAATCAGTAATATCTGCTGGGCCATTTTATTCTTTCAGTCTGGAATGTTTAACATTTCTAGAAACTGCTCCAGAAACGCTGTATTCCTGTCTTGTGGGCCCGGCTCAGGAGACCAGGAAAGCGCATGCCTCCCATGGGTTTGCTCTCATGCCTCTCAGGCTCCATGTCACAGATGGACAGTTCTCCTCGTGTGGGCGTAAAGCTTCACAGAGCATAGCTGCTCTCACCCTCTGTGAGGACTGGTTGCTGTCCCAGAGCCCCGCTAAGTCACAAGGTCGGGGGGGGGGGGGGCGGGGGGAGGGCAGCTGAGGGAGCCAGGCGCTGTCCAGCATGTCTGTGGCTGCAGTTCGTGCACAGCCTGGCCCCGTGCTGTCCAAACACACTTCGAGATGAAGCTGCCAGTCAGCTCCTTCACATCTCACTCCAGGACAGTGGCACACACTGCCCTCGGCTGCCCTTCAGAATCGTGTACATCCCAACTGGGCACACGTAGCATCTCGTTAAATCCTTATAGAAAGTTACACTAGTCTCACTAGTTACACGTATTAAATGTGGAAAATAAATGGATCCTCACCAACCTAGTAGTGGCTTATTGTACTTTAGACATAAACACTAAGCACTCGTGTGGCCAGTGTGGGGACTCTGGTTATCTTGTAAACTTACAGGCTGCAGGAAAATCCACAGCCTTCTCTTCCATGTAAAGTACAAGAGGCACCAGTTCTGGCCACCCGCAGGTGTGTGTGTCGGCTCAGCCCCTGATGATAGCCGGCACTGGCCCCCGACTCAGGGACACCATGCTTCTGGCCGCTTAATGTCCAGAGCCCTGTTCCCCACCCTGAGCCCCACGTCTGTGAGGCCTGGAGAGGCCCCAGGCTTTCATGGCAGGGGTGCTGTCTGTGCTGCCACGGGGCTGTCAGAGCTCACTGCCTTGTGTCTGCTGCAGGGAAGCGCTACAACCTGGCCGACGTGTCTGCTGCCCTGTGCATGAGCCTGGGCCTCATCTGGTTCACCCTGGCCGACAGCACCATCACCCCAAACTTCAACCTGACAGGTAAGAAATGTGGGTGTCACCCCAGGCCATGCAGACGTCTCAGTGTAGAGTGAGTACCTTCACAGTCTCTGAAGGGGCAGGAGTGGTGGGCGACGTGGCTGATGGGCAACCCCGGCGCTCCTGCGGGGAGAGCGAAGACACCCTGCGGTTGTTGGCTCTGGCCCAGGCATAGTGGCTGGCCAGTGCTGGATAGGTGGGTTTCTGTGGGGAGGTGGGGACCCTCCCTGCGTGGGAGCTCCACAGACTTCATCACACTCACTCGCTTTTTTTAAAGTAAACGTGACCATTTACTTACTGTTTGAGCTGAGGAAGGAAAGTTACATTCCTTTTAATGATGCTTTGGAACAAGCATGGTCATAACCACCGAGCACTTCTAGTTTCTACCATAAACATTGCTCAGGGCACCAGGCAGAGTCTTGTGCGTGACCTTTGGGTTTTCACAGGGTGATGTCACAGAACGTTTAGGGATAAGTGAGATTTTGGAAAGTGTTGGAATCTGGTCTCTGGACCTTACAGAGAAGGGGCTTCTTAGAGACACAGCATTGTTACTCTGAAACTGTCGAAAGAGTTTTATTGTTTTGTAACTGTGTTTGTATTATCCCACCTTACAAAAAACGGTATTTCACTTATCTCTGGCTTTAAAGGAACGCTGAGAGAACAGGACTATATGTCAGCAAGTACAAATTAAAGTTACTTGTGGGAAACAAGCAGTACTTCGTTATGAGGAAAATCATTACAGCAGCTCACTCTCCTCTGTAAGAATCAAGATTCTTTTCTTACCTGTTGTTAGTCGGCCTTCCTTACTAACCTGGTCAGCCAGGCCGAGTGAGTGGGTCTTGGTGTAGCCAATGCAGCTCCCAGATAGCCGTGGGCTGCCAGAAAGTTCTGGTGGAACCTCCAGCCTGCTCCTCCGGCCCTTGTTTTCGGGTGCCAGTGAGCAGCCCCTTGGTAGTTACTCTGAGAAAACTCATGTTGTGTCTGATGTAGTTGTTTCTAACATGGCTGCGGCTTCCAGGAATGCTTGGTTTTCTTATCAGAGTCTCTAAAAGGAAGACTGTATTTGAAAACAGAGGGAATTGACACTTTCATTTAACAAAAGTAATTTTAGAGCACAGCCTTTGCAGGGAGAGACAAGGCTCAAATTCTGTTTGGGTCCCTTACAAATACATCCCTGGCAAATGACTGGGTGATGTGTGCTGCTGCTGTGGGCCAAGCTCCTGATTCTGGCTGCCCTGAGCCGCGGGGGTGGGGGCGAGTTTGGGTGAGGACCTTTCGAGTCATGCGTGGGGCAGGCATGCCTGTGTGCGCCTGCTGGCCCCCGGTTGGTCTCTACCAGCTGTGCCCCCCGTGATCGTTGTGCAGTGACTGAACAGTAAGGGAGTCCTCGGCACCCCAGTCACTCTAGCAGTTCCTATGTAGAGTTCAGTGCACTTTAAACACGAGCACTCGGAAACCACATGTGAGTTAGGATGTGGTTTCTGCAGAACACACAGGGTTTCAGTGAGGACTCACCTGTCCACTGCATACGTAAGGCACGTGTGTTTTACATTAAACATTTTAATAATAGAGGTTTTTTAATTTCCTTCATCCCGCCGCCAATCCCAGTCACTCTATGAATGTCTCCTCTGCTTGCTCAGCGCACCATTCCTTTCAGGGGGGCCAGTGCAGGCAGAGGACGTGGGGCGGAACCACCAGTGACAGCTTTAACTCAGCGTATTGTGTTGGCGTTTTTTAAAAAAAAATCACCTGTGTGCCTATCACGACTGCTTGTCAGTAAAAGTACTCAAGGGGCCTTTTAAATGTGACTTCAGATCTGCTTTGCTTGAAGCCAGTTAATCTGATCTGTCCCGCTCACTCAGTTGTGTAACGAGGGGCTGTCTTTCTTCCTGCTCCTGGAAGGTGTGGTCCTCATCTCCCTGGCCCTCTGCGCAGACGCTGTCATCGGGAATGTGCAGGAGAAGGCCATGAAGCTGCACGGCGCCTCCAACTCGGAGATGGTAACCCCCATGCCTGCCCGCAGGCCGGGTGGCGGGGACGGGGCATGGGTTACACGGGCTGATCATCTTTTCCTTCAAAGGTGCACATTCAGACAGTCCAGCAGGTAATAAGTAAGCGTCCACCACTAGCTCCTGCTGGCTCTCAGGTGTGACGTTCGGTCAGTTTTTCCTCATTGAGTTAATGGAGTTATTTTTTATACTAAGAAACCCTTCACCATGCTGTCCCCTTGCTGACCATGTTGTCCCTTGGGAAGCTGTTCCTGTGCTTCTGCTCATCTTTTCCTTTGTGGCATCTGGCCGCGTCTGGTGGTCAAGAGCTTCGCCCGTGGCACTCCCTCCTTGTCAGTTCTTAGATCCAGCCTGAGCTTAAAAAGTGCCCTTGAGGCGGCTGTCCACCTGTCCCTGGTGGCCGCCAGAGAAGGCGCATCTGTCAGGGGCCAGTCATGCTGCGCTGCCCGAGCCAGGTGCTAGCCGCCCTGCTTGGTCACAGTCTCTCCCAGAGGTTACTCTGGGGTGTTCACATCCCCAGATAAGCTCGGAAGCCCGTCGGCACTGTGACTGGCTGGCGTTGAGTTACCAGCTCATTGAGGGAGAACGGCAGCCCCTCGATTCTTTGAGTCAGGAGTAAGATGTGGTTTTCTTATATTCACGTTTTCTCTTCAGTCCCTTAAAGGTTTCTCTATACAGATCCAACCAGGTTCTTACTGACTTTACTGTGAGGTGTTGCATCTTTTGCTGTCACTACAAATAATGCCTTTTCTTCCAAAATACCTTCTATTGCTTGGTATTTGCATATCAGAAAATTATTGTGTGTGTTTATGTTAATTCAGCGGCAGCCACTGTGCTCAGCAGATGGCACCAAGGTCAGGGTGTGCCCTGATCCCCACAGGAGAGTCCCCAGGGCCTCAAGTCTGGGCTGTCACTGCTCCTGTGGCCGGGGATGTCGTCGGGGTGCCAGGGCATGTACACATTAGGAGGAGGGCGGGTCCTCACAGGGTGCAGACTCGGGCTCTGGGCTGAGGGTCTCACCCCACTGCTGGCTTCACAGTGGCTCCCACAGGGGAGGATCGCTCCCGCGCCGTGTCTCAGAGGGTGGGCACTTGGCATCTGTCTCGGGCGGGTGGTAAAGGGATGGAACACTCCACGAGAGCCCTGCAGAACCGGGTTTACCCCTGGCAGGAGTCCAGGTCATGCTGCTGGCCCCGCTGCATGCCGCGTGCTAGCACCGTGCGGGAAGGAGGGCAGTATGTGCTCATGCTCGGGGCAGCTGTGGACTGCCCGCGTGTGGATTTCCTCACGTCCTCACGTCCAGTAGTGACTTGAAAGGTTTTTTGGTCTCACTTGTGTATGGTTTTAGAATCCCAACATTAAAAGCAGTATTAAGCCGGGCAAAAATGAGTAAACACGGGTGCCCGTGTAAAGGACACAGCTGCGGTGTCACTCTGCCTGGGATGTAGACGTCCTCACGGCTTGTCCGCAGCCCCAGATGCCGGCCCTGGGGTGCATCGATCCTCTGTAAGGTGCTTTGTTCTTTGCCTTGGGTTTAGACCCTCTGCTCCCGCCCACGGTCGCTGGCAGCCTCCTCACCTTGTTGTGTTTGTCTAGGTCCTATACTCGTATTCCATCGGTTTTGTGTACATTTTATTGGGACTGACGTGCACTAGTGGATTGGGCCCTGCAGTCGCATTTTGTTCAAAGGTAAACACTAATCACTTTTGTTAAAATAAACATCTCCCATTAAATAGCTTCCTTTGTATTTCAAAGACTTATGTAATTTGATAACTCCTTTAATATAATATATGCAGATCAAAAATGATTTTGGAAATGAAATGATTTCTATTTACATTTATTTTATCCTCGCTCTACCCTATAAGTTAATTTTTAAGCTATTCATAATGTATAAGTTGGATTTTTAATTTCATCATTATTTTTCCATTAAATCAGAACTAAATAAGAATCTTTGCTTGACTGCATTGTTGAATGACTTATTATTGTTCAAGAAGTTGATTAAAATCTGTAGTTTTATTTCATATGTAACACCCCAGGGTTTGTTTTGCATTTTTCTAACAGATTTTTTTAAATGTTGCAGAATCCGATTCGGACCTACGGTTATGCCTTTCTTTTCTCCCTCACCGGGTATTTTGGAATCTCCTTTGTTCTGGCTCTGATTAAAATCTTTGGGGCACTGCTTGCTGTGACAGGTAAGAGGATTCACCCGCTTCAGATACCTGCTGCTTTCCTCCAAAAGACAAGGGCAGCAGCCAGTCATCATGAAACAGGAAAATGTCCTGTGTCGCCCATTCATTCTAGGGTATTTTTTTTAATATTCTAGAGAAAATGTTTGATTTTAACTTATTTGCAGGTTTAATTTGAAATCAAACATAAACATTTATCTAGTCATTTTGAAGTACATTAAAAGAACTTGCCATTAGGGCCTCCCCGGTGGCGCAGCGGTTGAGCGCTGGGTTGCGAAGCTGCCGGCGACCTCTGAGGCACCGATTCAATCCCCGGCTGCTCCCCGGCCACCGGAGGAGGGTCCCGCATGGCGCGCAGACCTCTCCTGACGCCCGCTGCTCCCCTCAGCAGTGTACTTCGGTCCTTCTGCCTGCTCTGCTCCCCGCTCTGGCTCTGGTGAATTCTCTCACCCTCCCGCGCTTCTGACTGTACCCAGTGCATGTATAAACAATCAAACAAACAAATAAAGCATGTCTCTATTTAAAAAAAAAAAAAAAAAAAAAGAACTTGCCATTAAAAAGCATGTTGGGGTGAGCACCTTTATCAGGGTGACCAGCTAGTCAGCTGCAGAGATGGTGCCCCCAGGTCTTGGGTGCCAGACCTGTGCTCCTAACCGGGGCCATGCCGCCTCCTGCCTTGGGAGTCCCCCTGCTCTGCCCTCTTTACCCTGGCTCCCGGCAGTGGGGCACAGAGTGAAACATGCCTTTTCTTGCGTGGGAACTTTTAGGAAGCAGCATTTGTCACATTTCATTGGCCAAAACCTGGCACACAACCACACCTTGCCGCAGGAGAGGCTGAACAGGGCCCGGCGAGACCAGAAAGTAGGAAAAAGGTTGATTTGGGGAATCGGGCTCTGATCTGTCCCATTGGACATCACTCACGTGCACATTGACTGTTTAGCCCCAGGAACCACACGTGTGGTGTCTGGGGAGAGGGAGACGGGAGCTGAGTGGCACGGGTGGGTGGGGAGACAGCAGCAGCCCACGCTGGGTGGAGCTGCCGTGAAGAGAGAGACAGGCGGTCCCAGGAGGGTCTCCAAGGGCCCTGCAGTGCAAGCCCAGGATGGGTACACACAGCCATGCCGGCGCAGCTGGGGCTCTCAGCCTGTCCTGGCTCGGCTGCCGTTCAGGGCATGCCGGAACCTGTCTGTCAGGACAGTGGCCCCACGACCCCCTACGGCAGGGCTGCCCCTCTCTCTCCCCTGCATGTGCCCTCCAGGGTCATCCTCTGGGACAGGGACTCCTGAGCAGCTCATGGAAGGGGGTTCCTGTGGGTGCATTGTCTCCAGATGCTGACCAGCCTTCTCGTCTGCAGTCACCACAGGAAGGAAAGCCATGACCGTCGTGCTCTCGTTCATGTTCTTCTCAAAGCCCTTCACATTCCAGTGAGTAGCCTTCTTGGTCCGGCGCCGTTCTCCTTTCTCTTAGACGCCATGATCTCACTCCCCCGTGCCTTGCTTGCAGCACTATTTTGTAAATTAGTGGGGTTTTTTCTGTTAAACCGTGTGAAGAATCCTTTTGGTCTGGGCTCCTAGAATCTCAGTGGTGTCTCTACTCTTTGGAAAACATATATGCTGATTCTGCTTAACTCACTTTCTATTCAGACTGCCCAAGGCGAGCACCAGTGCAAACGTGACCGTGTTTTCTGATATAAATAGTGAGATGGGTCGAGATTAAGGGTGCTCCCACTAACCTAGTGCAAATACAGAAAACATATGTAATCATAATCCAAGTTCCTGCCTTTTCCCACGAAAGAGCTGAGGCAGCAAAGAATTCTGAATGGACCCTCACAACTCACTGGGGCTTTGTGAAAGCACTTGCTGTCATCTTCCTGCCTCGCAGTGTGTAGGTTGGATAATAACTGAGAGGGCCCAGAGGCGGATATCACTGTATGACTTCAGGGCAGCCACAGACACTTCCTCCCGTGTCGTCCTTTCGGAGGGAGTTCACAGTTCGCGAGAGCGCACCTGGCCATAACCTGCGGCAGCTCCCCCGCATCTTCGGATGTGCCCCTGGGGTTCGGTCCCTGACCCACATTCCCCAGGTGCCCCTGGGAAGGCCCCTGCCCTGGGGACAGCTCCTGTGTACTCTTCCGTGGGGCTGGACTTAGAATCTGGTTACCCTCAACAACATACAAATGAGGTACAGCTGGTGTTTTGTAAAATGCTTTAGATACATAACATCAGAGACATGAACTTTTAGCCCACAGGATCTGAAAATACCATTTTTTTTATTTTAATACTATTGCAAGTTTCCAATAGCAAAATTTTAACCTTACCACGAAATAATTGTTAGCTCATCTCCAAATTCTGTGGTTGACAGGAACTGTCACCTTGGCAATGACCTCCTCCTTCCTTTTTCTTTCTCATAGGTATGTCTGGTCAGCTCTGTTGGTTGTCCTTGGTATATTTCTCAATGTTTACAGCAAGAACATGGATAAAATAAGACTGCCGTCACCGCTTGATCTGATACAAAGGCCAGCCCCGGCGAGGAAGTCCTGGCCTTTGGCACAGACGGTGTAGGTGGTGACTGCCCCACTCGAGTCGATTCTGGGGGTGTCATCGTGGTGAATCAGCTTTCCAAAGGGGCCGTTAGGCAAACCAGCGGGTATGAGGGCGTACTGGCCTCGGGAACACATGGCACGGGCTCTGCCTCTTCCTCCACGTACCTGCGGGTCTGCAGTCAGGAGAGCCCCGCTAGCCACCCTGGAGTGTAGTGCCTCTGGGAGGGCTGTGCCCCCCGGGGAGGGCATCTCTGGGGTGGAGTCGGCTGCAGGGCTGGTGACCCAGGAGACACCACGAAGAAGCAGCGCGTGTGGCCTGCTGCCTGTGCCCGTCCGTGCTGCTGGCGTTATTTATGTGATTCTCTGTTATAAGAGTGAACTGATGATTGAAAATCCAGAGAGAATAATTTCATTGTAAATAAAATTGTTTGGTGATTTTTTTTTTTCTAAAGAACATATTCATAGAACTTTGTTGTAAAGCGGAAGTGAAGGTTGGAGCCAGGCTCTCCATTGATTTCAAAACTTAGGCTTCTGTCTGGTCATTGAAAAGTGTTCTTCTGAGAAACCAGACTTGAGGTTTCTATGGAGGTGGTGAGCAGAGCCGGTGTTGGTGAGGGGCCCGCCCTGGGAGAGCTGCCGCAAGGGTGGTGGCGTGTTAACGGGCAGGAAACCGCACCTACATCATCTTAAAATGGTAGTCTGTGCATAAATTGGAATTTAATTTGATAGCTTCAAGATGGAGGAGGCCAAATCTAAGACACACAGGCAAACTCAGCAGGTATGTACAATTTGTTGCATAGTTTTGTGTCTAAAGATTTGAGACTTATTTCCAATGATTTTTTGGCAGTGAATTAGGAATTGTTTCTACTGCATTAAAAGTATCCTATTAATGTTGGTGTTTAGTGTAAGCCACAATGGTGACAGAAGCTCCTAGTATGTATGCTGGTGCCGGGGCCCCTTGCACGCTGTGACTGTAACTTGCTGAGGGTTTTCAGTCTCGTTCCTAAAGCTCACTGTATTCTAATGGGGCTGACCTGTCCCTGGGAGGGCCCCCCAGCCATGACCTTCTCACCAGGAGAGAGTGACCGCTTCTGTTCGTCATCAGTTAAAATAGGTGAGTTTTCTTCCCTGAATGGTAATCACTTTTAAGTTGTCACATTTTAAAAAGAAAAGGACCTTAATTCATATTTCATTGCACTGCCTTAAGTCCTAGGTAAGACAATAAGCGCCGTGCTATTTGAAAATGCCAGTGTCCCCAAACCCTCACTGGCTGACTCCCGGGCCACGTTGCATCCAGGCCTCAAGGACACCTGCAGCTCGCCTCCAAGCCCGGCCTAGCTTCCCTTCCTGACAACCCTCTCCAGGCAGCCTGGCAGCTCTGTCTACACCCACCCCGCGTTGCCCAGAGTCTCTCTGTTGGAACAGAAGCCTTGTCAGGTGGCAGAGCTGCTGGCCTGCGCACGAGGGGTTCTGTAATCATTGCAGGTGTGTGAAAGATTCAATATTCATTATGTTCTCCATCAGTGTTACTTTTTTTAAATCTTCACGAAAGTAAGATAAACCCGTAATTTCCTACCAGTCACGGTCTGTTGTTTTAATTTCATGGCATGTAGTTAGAATACTTTTTATGCTATTTTGTAGTGACATTATGAAGAAACGGCTCGCTCGAGTGACTTCCTGCTCAGAAACACAGACGGAACCATGTGTACTACAGGCGCTTCGGGAGGAGGGGTAAGCGCTTAGGCATCCTCGGGAGACTTTGATCCCAAAATGCGATTTTTTATTGAATATCTTAATCCTGTGATACCCCCCAAAATGTCTTAAGCGTAATGAATGAGGTCGTGCTATTCGGCTTCACACATCTGAAAACTTTTAAATAGATGACGTCAGACAGGTGGTGATGTCGGCAGTGGACAGTGATGGGGACATGGCTTGGCCTGTGGTCCCTGCAGACCCCACCCTAGGACTTGCTCCCCTTTTCTCCTAGGACTTAGCACAGCGAGAGGGATCGGATGAGTGAGGCAGTTGAACCCCCAAAATTGCAGGCAGACAGCTATCCCAAAGCAAAAAGAAAAAAAGGCAGGTCAGTTCAAGGGCATGTTTGGTTTCACCTCTGAATCTGCAGCGTCTGAGCATGCAAGAGTTGATTTCCTCCCACGTAGAGAAAAGGCTCTCCTGATGCCAGGAAAAGCAGTAAGACTAGTGAGAATTTTTTTTTTAAGATTTATTTATTCATTTACACAAGAACTGGGGTACAGGCCAGATGCACGGGAGGGTGAGAGGAATCACCAGAGACAGAGTGGGGAACAGAACAGGTGGATCTACTGAAATACACTGCTGAGGGGAGCAGCAGGCGAGACAGGAGAGGTTTGCTGCACCATGTGGGACCCTCGCCGGCTGGCCAGGATCAAACCGACGCTACAGAGGCTGTGGACAGCTTCACAGTGTGGCACTCAACCTCCTGCGCCACCAGGAGAGGCCCACAAGTGAGAGTTTTTTGCGTCTTTGGTTTGTTCGTGAGAGGACTGCTCTGTGACACTTGAATATGCATGAAACAATACTTGCCAGTGCAACAGATGATGGTTGAAGGCATGAAAGCATTCATTCTGGATGCAAGCACAGGGCTGAGGCATTCCCCCGGCTCCCGGTAACCGCGGGAGGAGCAGAAGATGAGGTAGGTCATTTCTCCCCAGATAAATTTGACAGAGAGTGCTTCCAATTTGGGGTTTAAATCTTAGAAGTTTGGGCATAGAGAGCATTGAAAAAATAATATAAAGCTTCTGACTTGTTCACTTGCAGGTTCTGGCTATTTGGGGGCCTGGGGGTGGGGAAGGGGCTAAGAAGCCCTTTATTCTCCTGGGACCTCCCACTCTGTCACCAGCTCTGCCGCATCAGGAGCCTCCAGTTTATCCCTTTAGACCACAACTGGTTGGGGCCCTGACATTCCTCAGCCTTGGGTTTGTATCCCTCAAAGAGGACCAGTGGGGCTTCTGCTGATGCAAGGTTGGGGATAGAGGGAGTATCCAGTTTAAAAAAAAAGGGTGACAGACTTCAAAACCAGTGCAGGAGCAGCATTGAGATCAGCTGGATCGAACAGGGTGGGCTGCTGGACCGAATTTACAAACTGGTTCAACCCTGCCTGTGGCCCTGGGTGCCTGGGCACCCCCCACTTTGCAGCTCTGGTGATGGTGCCCCTCCTGGGCTGGGAGCCGCCAGCAGGTCCCTGGGTCAGACTCCCATTGACCATCTTGACGAGTTCCCAAGATGAACGGCCCTGCAGGCCAGCAAGAGGGATGCTGTCCGTAGCTTCCCAGGGCCTGGAGTCGTAAGGCGCGGTGCCTGTGGGCAGAGGGGGCACAGCAGAGCGCAGGCTGGAGGAGGAGCTTTGGGGGTGAAATCAAGAAAAAGCGGGAGGGGCCTCTCCTGGTGGCGCAGCGGTTGAGCGCTGTGCTGCGAAGCTGCTTCTGCAGCGCCGGTTCGATTCCCGGCTGCCGGCGAGGGTCCCACATGGCGCGCAGACCTCTCCTGTCTCACCCACTGCTCCCCTGAGCAGTGTTCTTCGTCACTCTGCCTGTTCTGCTCCCCGCTCTGGCTCTGGTGAATTCTCTCGCCCTCCCGCGCTTCTGACTGTACCCAGTGCTTGTATAAATAAATAAATAAATCTTTAAAAAAAAAAAAAAAAAGAAAGGAAAAGAAAGCGGGCACTGGTTCCTTGGGCACCCCACCAGAGCACACAGCAGGCACTCCCTGCTTCCGTCCCCAGGCGGGCACCCCACCAGAGCACACAGCAGGCACTCCCTGCTTCCGTCCCCAGGCGGGTGCCAGGCAGGTGTGGGCAGGTGCTGCCTCTGGACGCTCTTCTGTCTCCCGGAGGGATGGGACAAGCAGGAAAGGAAGTGGAAGCAAAGCTGATGGCAGGGAGTGCCAGAGTAGCTTGGAAATGGCACAGGGGTAACCCATGAATGGAGAGCCGACCTGCCCAGACTCCAGTGAAGCATGTGCCCAGCCAAGGGCTCTCCCGCTCGGAGCCAGCGCCTTCTCCACAAGCGGGCAGCCGTGAGTCAGTGTCCCATCGCCCTCTCACAGGACGGCAAGGGCCGGATGCCTGTGTCTGTTCATTGATTTTCATAAAACTGTCGCCGAGAAGCCTTCAGGCTGAGCGCCACAGCCTGCATCACGTGCCAGACACTGCCCAGGCCCTGGGCTGGCAGCACAAACACCCACCCACCCCGCTGTTGGGAACCACAGGATCCAGCCAAAGTCAGCGCCCTGGGTTCCTGGGGCTTCCGCGATTTGCCGGGAATTGGGTGCACGGTGGAGAAAAGTCTCAGCAGAACCATGGCGGCCAGGGTAGCTACAGACACCCGTGGGTGAGAAGCAAACACCCAGACACAGGGCCGCCTAGAAAGTGTGTTTATACTATCATTTTATTAGCTATTAAATGGTGGTAGTTAAATGTATTGATTTGCATTGAAACTCCTCAGAGCTACTTTCTTTTTTTTTTATATATATATATATATTTTTTTTTTAATAGAGGCATGTTTTATTTATTTGTTTGTTTGTTTGTTTTCGTTTTATACAAGCACTGGGTACAGTCAGAAGCGCGGGAGGGTGAGAGAATTCACCAGAGCCAGAGCGGGGAGCAGAGCAGGCAGAAGGACCGAAGTACACTGCTGAGGGGAGCAGCGGGCGGCAGGAGAGGTCTGCGCGCCATGTGGGACCCTCCTCCGGTGGCCGGGGAGCAGCCGGGGATCGAACCGGCGCCGCAGAGGCCGCGGGCAGCTTCGCAACCCAGCGCTCAACCACTGCACCACCGGGGAGGCCCATCCTCAGAGCTACTTTCAAGATGCACTGTTCCCATAAGCAATCCTCTCTCTGCCCTGCACCTCTCTCCACTGTAAATCATTGCTGTGTGCTCCCTCATCACACAGTAAAAAAAGCCAAACTAAATCCTAAAAGTGAATCATGAATTAAGGCAGATGAATAAGTGCCTTCTGATTTTAAAAAACTGTCTCTCGATCAGTTAATTACATGTTTAAAATAAATGAAAATCTGTCCAAGCATATCTTTTTCCTTAAAATATCTAGTAAACAAGGGGGCCATAAATATGAAGTCTTAAATATGCATTAAAAAGGGAATGCAAAACGTTTTATGTTAATTCATAATGATGAGTAACTTCCCTCTGAGCAAAGACTTGCTTGCTTTTTTTTCCTCAGTGAGGAAGCAGTTTTGATCACGCCAAAACTTGGAAATACCCGTGTTTCGGGTGCGCTCGCTGTGTCTAATAACCTAAACCAGTATGCTCAAGTACTGGTCTTTCTGGGTCTTCCGAGACCGAAATAAAACACCGTAAATAAAATCCTGGGAGCTAGAAAAGTGCTTTTCGTGTTCACAGTTGAGTCCCTCCGCGGTACTATGGCCAGTGGCATTAGTGTTGTGTTTTCTGAGTGAAAAAGTCCAACGTGTTTATTCCTGCGTTCCTGCCAGGGTTCAGAATAGCACCATGATGATGACGAATACGATGGTGACGACGGTGGCATTTGGAGAGGATGAAGACAGTAGTGGGTGAGGATAAACAAGATGGTGGTGGTGGTGATGACAGTGGAGATGATGACAGCGGCGATGATGGCGGTGATGTACTTGATCGTGATGATGGTGACGGTGGTGATGATTGTGGAGAAAATGGAGATGATGGTGGTGGCGATGATGATGACGTTGGCTTTAGCAATGACAGGTGATGGCTCATTTCTCGCTCTGTTCTGAGCTGTTACCAGGCATTCCTTCTCTGTTTTTGCAGTAAAAATCTGCCGGCTATTTCGGTCAGTTGCCTTGTCAGTTGTGCGCGCGCGCGCACACACACACACACACACACATACACACACAAACACATGAGCTCCCCACACTTCATTCATGTCAGAACTCAACAGCTTGAGTAGCACAAATATTCTGCAGTCACTCATGAAAAGAAATTTTTAATAATAAATATCTAACAATTAATGGGCTGGTAGCTGCGATTGTCTTCAGGGCATACTATCTAATTTCCTTGCAATGTTTCATATCCTTACTTTTCACGCTGCAACAGTCTATCATTAAAACCAAATGCAGGTTTCTATCACTTTTATTTATTTTTCAAATCAACTTATAAATCAGTGCCAGGCCTTGTTACAGATGAGTTCCAATAAATTATCGGCGGTGGACAAATTCTGAATGTTAAACACTCCCGTCCCTACCTCCCGCCCTGTCTCCCTCTCTATTGTTTGCTCTCTGGCTCCGGTGGTACTTCCCAGTGCTCTGGGCTGCTGAGCTCACGGACCTGCTTTGGGTGCGAGTAGCAGAGGGCCTGGTACTTAATTATGTGCTATTTAAATAATGCAAAGAGACATTTATTTTTCAGAGAGAAATATCAATATAGGAGACAAGAGTCATTTCCTAGTCCTTGGGAAATTTACCTTTCTGAATTTCAAAAGTGAAAGCGTTCTCATTAGAGGCTTCTCCAAATGGCCCCGTCACCTGCACGAGTCCCTGGGGCACTGCCCAGCTCTGCCTGGGGGATGGGTCACAGGACCAGTGTCCGCTGGTGTGGGGTCTGCAGAATGCACAGGAAGCAGACACCCCTCCTGAGAAGAAGAGCAGAGACGCCATCTGAACGCAGCCTGGGAGACCACATGCACACACGCGTACCGTGACTGGACCAGCCTCTCCCACAGCCACGGGCGCCTCCATGGTGGCGTGAAACCAGCCTGAAAGCCCTGTCCAGAGGCGTCCACCTTGCGGTCAGTGGAGAGAGGGCAGCCTTTCACCTTACCTCATCCCCATTGCAGGCCCACTCTAGGGCAGAAAGACGCGTCTGGGCAGCTCAGTGTTGCCTCTTGCACCACGTGGGTCAAGTGAGGAAACCGGCAGGTTCTGGAAGGGACTTCTGATGCTCAGGCTTCGGTTTAGCCAGGTTTTCCTGCTGCAAAGCCCCAGCAGCCTGGGCACCGGGCCGACTTCAAAAATCAGGCGTGCTTGCAGGCATGGGTGTCAGGACAGGCACCAGACACTGGCTGGTGGGAGGCAGCCCCAGGAGGTGAGATGGGGAACTGGTCCCTTCCTCCCCACCAGGACTGGGCCAGTCTTCGGGAATCATCTTCAGAAAGACCCACAAAGATGAGCGCCAGGGCCAGGGGCTGCGCCACTCTCCTTGTGGGCTCTGCCCACACCCACACGCCACTCTGCACACGTGTGCAAGACCTCACAGTGAGGCATGTGTGGGTGTCACCCTACCTGAGGCCTGACCTGAGTATTGAGGTGTCATCCATGGCAGACAGGGCCCTGGCGGCAGGGGGGTGGGGGGCGGGAAGCGGGGGAGACGCTCTGCAGAGCTAGGCCCCAGCTCCCCACTGCTGCAGGCTTGGGGCAAGTTGATAGGCCTCTCTGAGTCCTGGGGGTGATTGGCTTCTGTTGTTTAAGGACCCATGGGTGAAGGCCCAGCCTCAGGACCAGGGGCCTCCCACCCCCCAGCACCAGGACAGATTGAGTCGAGACCCCACTGAGAAAAGAAGTGGGTGACGGCAGTTCCTGGGGAACCCTGCCTGTTTCTCTGCAGTCCTGCTGAAGCAGCCCGTTAGCCTCTTCTCCCCTGTGTGTGCCCTGGTTCCCCCCAGTCAGACAGATGCCTCGGAGACAGTGTCCCCTTGTTCTCGGGATGCAGCTCCTCGGTCACCTGGTTCCCTCCCCCTGGCCCTGCACCGCCTCTGTCTTTGGGGACAGATTAGCAGTGAGGTCAGTGTGACCCGCCAGGCAGGGCTCAGAGGTAGTCTCACGCTTTTATTTTAACTTTGCTCGTAATGGGGGAGGCAGCCGGGCAGTGTGTGCATCCTTCATGCCTCTCGGGTTGATTTTCCAGGTGGGCACCTGAAAGGAACCCCGACCCAGGCCCCCATGTGCCCAGCTCAGCTGCAGGCCACCTTTCCCAGCAAGCTCTCCTGACCACACTCCGGAGTGCGGCCCACCTGCCTCGCCATTCACATTCCATGTCATTCCCGCCCCCAGTGCCTCCGCCTCACCCAGTGGAGCCCCTCCAGGTCAAGTGTGCCTGCCTCCCCGCAGGAGAGGGCCCAGGCCGGGCTGGACACAGAACCAGAACCACAGAAGCCCCTCTGTGCACAGCCTGTGCTGGGCTCCCCTTCGCCCACTGCTCTTTTGTCCTCTCCTGCCCCCCAGCTTTCCTGACCTCCGCGATCAGGCCCCAGTCACTGGCTGTCATGCCCAGGGGGCCTTATTCACGCATGTCTTTCGTGTTCGATTTTTGGCCAAATGAATATTGTGCATGGACACGCTTTTCCCCTGGGTGTGACGATATTTTAGAAATTATTTCATCTTGCCACCGATCTCTTTGTGCGGTCGGGACTTTTAAATTCCACACCACCTGCTTTTGAAAGAGATTGGAAATGCAGTGAAGCATCCCATCAGAACCCAGGAAGGCTGCTGGAAAGTGGGAGCCCCTCAGCCCCCAAAGTCCTTCAATATGCTCATCTGTGGACGGCCTTGAACCAGGCTCCCCCTGATAATCTTAGAAGTCAGATAGCACCCACAGTTGAGAAAATGGGAAATAGAACACGGATTCAACACCAGCCTATGTGTTTGTAGAATGCTTGAATTACCTTTAAGATAAAGGCTAACCTATCCAAAATCTATTGCCCATCTAGCATATTCCATGTTCTAACTGCTAGAGCATCTGGATGAGGATTCAAGGTTTTCGACAAGAGCCACTTTAGAATGGCTTAAATATTGCAGGGCTGTTGACACAGATTCTTTCGCTGTGATGTCTCATTTTAATTTTCTGTCTATGCAGGAAAAAAACAAATAAAGAAACTCTCATGGACGCCATCACACACCTCAGCAGGGATGAGAAACTTCCCGGCTCGCTCCTCCTCCCCTCCCCCTGAAAGCAATTTAATGCACTACTGGAGGTTGCCTGTTAATTGGAGAAGAAATGAAGTAGCGTGTGAGGGCTGGTCGGGAAAAATGCTCGGTGTGTGTATACATATATGTGTGTGTACGTATGTATGTGTATACCTACGTGTACACAAAGTAAACAACAGTAGTGCCTCATTTTCTAATTACAGGGCTGTTTCATAAACTGTAAATGCTAGCTGGGGAGAGGTAAATCACAGCAATTTAATTAATAAAGCGGTTTAGACACTTAAACCCATATGTGCCCCGCCCCCCAGGGTAGCACGTCGATAATAGAGGCTTGCAGGCCTATTTTAGAAATTTTGTGCAATTATTTGCAGATCTTGTAGTCAATATTGGTACAAGCTGCTTTAACTCTTGTTTTGCCAGAATTCACCAGGAGCAAGTTTTCATTTGTTAAATAGTCTCTTCTCTTTGGATGGTCTCGGGTGAATGGCAGGGAGGAGCTAATTTCATTCCCTAAATCAGCAGGAGAGGAGGAGGCGCAGGAAGCCCTTGCAAGTGAACAGCAGAGCATGGGCGCTCGTTCTCCCGGGAAGGCTAGGTGGGCTCCCCCGCCCTCCACCAAAGGGGAGAGACGGAGGCGGTCAGAGCCTGGAAATTCACCATTTGAATTTCTTTTTATATCTTCTCTTTCAACGTCTAAGCTTTGGCAGTGATGTCTATGGCTAGACGCCTCCGTGAGATGTCAAATGCTGTGTGGCTTTGGAAAACAGGTGAGCTGCTTCGTGAAAAGGTATAGCTGGCACTTTTGCTCCTAGGGGCGTCCTTCTTCCTAAGGGAAAGACATGGAAACATGTCTGCCAAAAACACGTTGTCCATCGTGACATTATTTATAGCCACACAGGGCATTACCAAGGAGCCGGGCCCCTGACAGGCGGGCACACACTGTGTGGCCAGTGGGACAGTGTCCACCAACGGGCAGCAAGACCTTCAGCAAAGATCAACCAGGTGAGGGTCAGGACACCCCCAGGACCCTGCATTTACAGTCCCGTCAGACGGACATCCAGAAAACGCAAAGTAGCGCTGTCTACCCCTGAGGAGAGGAATTTGGGGTGAACTGACCAAGTTGATGGGAGTATTTTACTGTACATTTATGGTGGGGGACTCTTTGATATTTCAGTCTTCTTCCATAAAGTTATTTAAAAATTGGGCTTCCCCGGTGGTACAGCGGTTGAGTGCTGGGTTGTGAAGCTGCCCGCAGCCTCTGCAGAGCCGGTTCCATCCCCCGCTGCTCCCTGGCCACCGGAGGAGGGTCCCACATGGCGCGCAGACCTCTCCTGCCGCCCACTGCTCCCCTCAGCAGTGTACTTCGGTCCTTCTGCCTGCTCTGCTCCCTGCTCTGGCTTTGGTGAATTTTCTCACCCTCCCTCACTTCTGACTGTACCCAGTGCTTATATAAATATATAAATAAATCTTTAAAAAAAAAGTTATTTAAAAATTGGGCCCATGAGGCCATAGGCCCCTCACCACTCCTGGGAAGGAAAAAGTAGTTTGTGTGGAAGCACAGTCCCCTCAAACAATTAGTGGGTGTCCAAGCTCTTTGTCACCATGATCCACTAACCCTGGATCAAGGTAGTCTTTTGCCTGTGACCTGGCCAGTTCAGCTGGCATATACTTGGACCCCAGGGGGCCAATGGCTGTTCTTTCCACTTTTCAGTTCCCATCAGAGTAGCTGCAGTGATGATAATGATGGTGGTGGTGATGAGGATGATGGTGGTGATTGTGGTGATGAAGATGGTGGTGGTGATATGATGACGACAATGGTGATTGTGGTGATGACTATGATGGTGGTGATGATGGTGGTGATAAAGATGGTGGTGATGAGGAGGAGGATGATGGTGATGATGGTGGTGGTGATGTGCTGACTAGGTGGTGTGCATGTGATATGGTATCACTTCCCTAATCAATGTAACAATCCCGTCCATGCTTGAGTCCATCAGGGCAAAGGTTTCGTGGTGGGTGGACATCCTGGGACTTGAGCCACGACAGCAGCTAGTGGCTCCGGGCTGCAGTGACCTGCCCCTCACTGACTGGAGGGAAGCAAAGAGGGGTACGTGGGTCAGGTCAACACCAGCTGCCAGGGGCTGCCCTGCAAAACCGGGGAGTGACACCTCTTTCTTCAGAAGCATCTGCTTTGTTGGGCCTTGATTAATTGGCACATATTATTTTTGTCATTAAAAATGAACTAAAAATGCTTGCCCCCCCCCCAAAAAAAAAAACAAAAACATAAGCACACATCAGTTTGTTTCCAAACTTCTTGTCTCAGTTTTTCTTTTCAGCAAGAAAAATTGAGCAACCACTGCTACCATATGGATGGTCCTGCTCGGAGGTCATCAAAACCTAACAGGTCAGGCCAGCAGTGGACTAGAAACGGGAACCAGCAGCCAGGCAGAAGCTCCACTCAGGGTAGGTGGCTGCTGTGGGCAGGCGACGCGGGCTGAGCTCTATAAAGACCAGCGCTCACAGATTTCTTTAAAAGTTTGGGAAGGTCTCCGAAAATTCCTGCAAGTCTATGTTTTCATATGTGTAAGGAAAGTCCCTACTTACAAACCCAGCAAACTGTATTCCAAGCATTTGTTTATCCCTGGATGGACCATATTTTCATCTAAGGACAATAACATTAAATAGTGGTTAGATAGTCCACGGACTGACATAGAGAAGAAACACGTAGCTATAAAAACAGCGGGAAGAGCTACCGCAGTGTCAGCAGTGAGAGCAAGGCAGGACTCTTTCGTCAGTAAGTGCTTTTAAATTAGATTAAGGGTTTGCGATCGTGATCTTGTCATGACCTGAGCCTGCCCCGTGCTGAGGTGTAAGCGGAGTGTTCTCCATCCTATCATAGCAAATGTACATTTTCCTTCTTTCCTCACATGGGCTGAACCTTCTCTTCCCCTCGCAGTGCTCCAGTCCTTTAGCCCTGCTGAACCCCACATCATTCATCCGCCTGTCCGTCCATCTGTCCTTCCATCCATCTGTCCATCTGTCATCCATCCATCTTCCACCCGTTTGCCCATCTCTGTCTCACCATCCATCTGTCCATCCATCTACCAGTCTTCTCTCTGTCCGCCCATCCATCCATCTGCCCATCCTCCATCCTCCATCAATATATGCGTGCATCCTTAATTCATCCACCCATCTAGCTATCATCCATCTTGCGTCTTTCCATCCATCCGCCTTTTAGCCATCTACCCATCTTTCTACCCGTACATTTGTCCATCCAGTCTTCTCCACTTGTTCGTCTATCCATCTGTCCCTCACCTGTTCACTCATCTCCATCCATTCATCCACCTGTTCATCCAGCCCACCCTCCATCCCTTCCTAACCTCATTCGACTCCTGTTTCAGTCTGGACCTCGCTATCAGCCGCGCTAGGATGCCTTTACACGCACCTCCATATTCCTCAACCCTTTGTCCTTCTGCTGTGCCCCACACAATGTAGGCACTTAATAAATACCTATCGCCTGGTTGGCTGACTGCCACCTTGCCATTACCTGTTGACAGAGAAAGGAGTGAAGTTGTCTTGATTGACGAATTAGAACATACTGAAGCTAATGCCGGCTGAGCGTGCTCGGAAACCCTCTCACCTACGCCTGGCACAGCTTCTACTGACTTTGCAATAGACTCTGAGCCTTTTACAACTGGCCCTGCCTGCTTTTTTTTTTTTTTTTAAAGAGGGAGGTAAAGTCTTTTTTTTCTTTTTTTTTGTATTCATTTATACAAGCACTGGGGTACGTCAGAAGCACGGGAGGGTGAAAGAATTCACCAGAGCCAGAGCAGGGAACAGAACAGGCAGTCCGACGAAGTACACTGCTGAGGGGAGCAGTGGGCGCCATGTGGGACCCTCGCCGGCAGCCCGGGATCAAACCGGCACTGCAGAGGCTGCGTCGCCCTGCCTGCTTTTGCAAGATACCAATCCTGGGTCCTGTTCCAGATCAGCTGTTAAACCAGAAGTGCCCTGTGGCCAGGACCAAGGCACAGGACGTGTGGGAGCTCCAGGATCTCAAGCACACAGTGGACCGAGGCACCTCCAACCACCTCCTCCCTCTGGGCAGTGAGAGGAACAAGTCTGTCCTCCTGCCTCAGCAAGAAGGTGAAAAGTGGGTGTTCCCTCAGGTCCCCACTTCCCTCTGTCTTTGCAGAGCAGGCCTAAGCAAGCATTTCCTGCCAAGGGCCTGGTTGTAAATATTTTCAGCCTTTGCACCAAGAGGCAAGATTCCCAGCCCTTCTAGCAGCTGTTACTGCTGCTAAATATCTCATATTTTAAAACCTAAAACCCATTGTTCACTGATGGGCCACACAAAAGAGAGTGGCCACGAGGAGCTGGCTTCCTCAGGTCTTACAATTGTTTTGCCGCCTACCAGCACGGGTCAGCTCTGCCCCTTTAAGACTTGACTGTGGGTCATTGACCCACTGTGGCTCCCCCACTGCCCTGTTCCGTCTCTGTCCCATGAGCAGTTCCTGTGCTTGCACACATGTATGTGCATGCTGTATTCATGTGTTACACACCTGCATGTGCTCATGGGGCCATGTGTGCACATGTGACACATGGGCACACATGCATGTATGAGCTGTGATCCTTTGTGTGTTGTGCTTATAAATGCATGTTTGTGCAAGCATGCACCTGTGTGACATGTGTACCTTGTGTGCATGCATGTGTACCTCTGTGCTGCACTGTGTATGCACATGGGTGTGTGTGGTGTGTGTACATGTGTGAGTGTGCATGGGTGTTTGCCAGTGTGTGTGTGCATGTGTGCTTGCGTGTGTCCATCGTGTATGCATGTGTTTGCCTGTGTGCATCTGTGTGCCCGTGTGTGTGCTTGTATGTCTGGTGTGCATTCATGAGTGTGTGCATGTGCCAAGTGCCAGCCTGTGCTGCCCTCAGTCATGCTGGAGACACACTTTCTCTCCCTGTGTCTGACCCTGGAGCAGACAGCTGGGCCCCTGTCCCTGCAGTGGACGGGGCTTGTCCCCGTGACCGTGTGCTCGTGCAGGGGCGGGGCCGCAGCTTGTCTCCCCCACCACTCGCAGCCTTAGCAGGGCTCCTTGCGCCTCTGGTTGGTGCCCATGGCCTGCTGGACAGCGGAAACTGAGACTGCAGCCTCTCGGGCTCCCTTCTTGCCCTCGCCGCGAGGGTTTAGGACCCGATCAAGGTCACTGAGAGAACAGAGCTCATTTCCTGGTGTGGAAGGCTGACGGGCAATGTGTACCGAGAATGTTCATCAGCGCTCAGTGTATTCCAGTCCGTGTTCAAGTGCCATCGCGGCCTCTGTTAGCAGGGACAGCTGTGCAGGGAAAAGTCTTCCAGCCGGGAACCAGCCCAGTTAAGGAGTCCGGCCTGATTTCCAAAGTACTAAGCATTCTAATGAAGTTGACTTGATTTACATTTTAACAGTATCACACAAACGTGCGACATGGCACTTTTCCAATAACTACTCCGACATCATTCATTTTGACACCTCCATTGTTATGAAAAGCAGAATGAAGGCACAGTGATGGGGGAGAGGGGCCTGGACCTCATTTGGTTTTCAAATCACATCCTTGTATGGGTGCAGGATTCTGAGGCTGAGATTCCCTGCCACCCCTTGCCAGCCACCTGAGCCTGAATCCCAAGTGCCCCCCTTCACCTTGCTCACCTGGCACCAGGGGTGTCTCGGGCTTGACACCAGGGGTCTGGCCACCTGCTCTGGGCGCCCAGTGTGTCACCGCCCCTCGGCAGGTCAGAGGTGGTCAAACTCCTGGCTTCTGTCCAGTTACCTTTCTCACCTGGTGTCCTGATCAGGGAGTGAAGAGGTCCCCAACGGCCACCCTGGAATTGGCCCTGGGGGCTTGGGTCAGCACTGGCCATGGGGCTGCAGGCCTGGAACACAGATGCTGTTGTTGGAAGCTGAGCGCAGAGGCTCTGGTGTCTCCCACCCTCAGTCCTGGCCTGGAGCAGGCACGCATGGCCATTACTTGGCAGACCTCAGTGGATTTTCCCAAGGTTTGAAATGTCAAAGACCAAAAAGGCAAGAATATATATATTTGAGTACAATGCATGCCCAAAGTCCAGCCAATGCCAGAGCCTGGCTCTGCCCCAAGCAGCCCCACGGCAGCTGCGCGCTGACCCAGGCCTGGCCCTGGCCCACCCTTTGGCATGAAGTGGACCCCGGGCCAAGAGCCACCTGGTTCCTATTTTGCAGTCCCCAACTGTGACCTTTATCATGTTTATACTTAAGCTCATTAAAAAATCTTTAAAATTAAAGTTGTGTGGCCTGTTGCTTGCTTCACTCGGGTGTCTTCAACAAATATTTAATGAGCACCTTCCAGGTACCACGCATGCACCAGATGCTGTGCCGGCAGAATCCAGCCTTATGCAAATAGCTGCTGTTCCGTTTTTGAAATCAAGCAAGAAAGCACCATCCTCACGGCACAGATGACGATCTTGAAGCTACACTGATGACGGAGGAGCAGGGGCCCACCACGGGCCACATCCCCTCTGCCCAACCCCAGACTTGCCAGGGCCAGGCACATAGTAGGATGCGCCAGAACATCTTCCCCTGCTGCTTTTTACCTTTGCTGCCTGGGTCGTATTAGAATGTGAACCATCGTGTCAATCCCTAACAAAGGAGCGAAAAGAAAGTTTCTTAAGTGAAAATGAAGATTTACGAAAAGATGTGTCTAGATACTCCGTCCTTGAAGGCTAACCTAAAGAGTTGCCCCAAATTCTGTCTTCCTTTTACAAAATTAAAATAACTGAAGATTTTATCGTTTTGTTTTGCTGATTGAAATCAAACTCTTTAATACACATTTCCAAACTCAGTAGCCATGAGGCTGTTTTCAGTGACGTTTCTCACACACGTGCACCAAGTGACATTTCTCTGGAATCACTGGCACCAGGGAATCTGCCTGCTTGAATAATATGAATGAAAATTTAAACTGGTCAAGAATTACCAATTTTCAAAGAAAATACATTTAAAATCTGTCCTTAGCCCCCAGGCCCATCCTGAGACCCGGAGTACGGCTGTCAGTGAAGCAGTCACAGCCTCTCCCGTGTCCTCAGCGGTGGTTATGAAAACGATCCTTCTGTGTTCCTGTGAAAAAGGCACCTATTAGCTCATCTTCCCGGTTTTGTGCATTCCGGATCCAAGGAACTCTGGATCAGCATTGGCAGAAAGTGAGTACTGAGGCCAAGAATGGGCCTGGGCTGTCCTGGGGGTGGGGTGGAGGGGTGGGGTTTAGGTCAAGCTGTGGGTATGAGTCCACTGGGCCTTTGTAACCACGTACATGCATTGGGGAACCTGGCCAGCAGCAGAGGCTGCACATCAAGTTCAGAGGGGCAGGGAGACTGTAGACTGCCAGCTTCTCTGTACCCCCACACATCCGAGGGACAGGAGAAGCTTCTTTAAGACGGGCACTCATCCCCTTCACAAGGGCTCCATCCTCAGACACAACTGCCTCCCCAGACCCTACCTCTTTAGACCCCTGCTCCTCAGAACCCTCCCCAAGGCCCCGCCTCCCCAGTACCCCCCTCCCCAAGGCCTCACCTCCCCAGTAACCCCTCCCCAGGCCATCACCTTGGGGATTGGCTTTCAACAGGAATTTTGAAGGAAGGCAACACCCAGTCCAGAGTGACGTATCCACTGTAGTTCCCGCAATTTTACAAAGATGATAATCCTTCCTATGGCTCCGCTGAGCTTAGAGAAGGGTGGTTGCGACCTGTCACCAGGCCTGCTTGCCCAATGTGGCTGGTGAGCCCCCGTCTCACCAGAGCTCCCTCCAACCACCCTTGCCCATCTGCCCATGCGCGTCCTTCCCAGGCTCAGCCACAGGCAACTGGATTGGAAAAGTCTGAGCCAAATTATTTGCTCGGCTTTTGAGTTCGGTGTGACTGGGAGGGGAAGGAGAGGGCGCTTCCCTTTATAAAGATGGTGTCCAGAGTCACCCTGCATTGTTCACGCTGGCATTCTGAGGCAGCAGCAGTGCACTGGGCTGCCTTTAATTCTTTTTTTTTTTACTCCTCTTCGTACGTTCACCTAAAAAATTCTCGAAACCTACACCAGGCTGTTCAATAAGGCTAATTTTTAATGATGTTCAGGATTTTCCTCCACTCCCTAGTCGCTGTCAGGGCTCCTCAATGAGGAAGGAAAAATCAATTCAATTATCAAAGCACGGTTAATTGCTTTCAAGATTAGGGTGATTTAAAGAGCAGCAAAGTATTTTATCTGTGCTCAGCAGTTCTGGCAATGGGTATTCTCGCAAGTCCACGAGGAGGACAGACGTCCGTCAGCTCACGGTGACGTCTCCTGGCTGTCCCCACCTTGCTGAGACAGACCAGGGCCCCAGGGCTGGCTCCTGTCCATGAAGCCATGGAGAGGTGGCGGCTGATTTCAACTCCAGCCTGATCTGTCTCATCTCTCCAAAGGCTGCCACCTGTAGGTCTTGGTGATGACATGCCTGCTCTCCCAGTAGTTCCCAAACCAGATTCTCAGGCGTGCACGGGACCCTCCTCACAGACACAGCCATGGCCAAAGTTCTCGATAAGACCACTGGAGTTTAGCTCAAGATCTGCAGCTAACAGTGTGTTGGAAGAGTTTTCTAGAAGCTATCACTCCGACCATGAGTAAGCTATGGCTCCTGCTTTTTGAAAGCGTGAAATCCAGCAATGGTTTCGTCCCCATGGTGGAGGGTTGAAATGTGCTAGGACGTGGCAAGTGTGCTTTGTGCTGAAAACTTTAGTGTTGCTTTGTGGCTAAACACATAATAGATGTGTAACTAAAAATCAGAAATTAGAAAAAAAAAATTGTTGAAAAGCAATAGCAACCCACCTACCTTCTCAGCCTCCAGGGACAGGCAGCACCGACACGGGTCTGCTTCCCCAACACATTTTCATGGGCACACACTCAGGTTTGAAGAGGTGTGTGGAAATTAGGCTTGTGACAGACACACATTTTGACAGATAAGCTGTGGGGCCAGGGTGGTGCACCCCATGTGGAAGAGGGAATGGAGGTTCCCAGAGATGCATGTGCAGGGAGGGGTTCAGGAAGGGGCAGGGGGAATTTATTTATTTATTTATTTATTTATTTATTATTACTATTATTGATAACTGGGGTTTATTAGGAATTTAGCTCTGGAATATGAATCTATTTCTGCCTCACCCCTTTAAATTTCTTGAGTAAATTCTACATCTCTCTTTCACTCGTGCTTTTGTGACCCCCAAGTTTGGGGGACACTTTTACAAAGAGATCGGATGTTATTAGGCAGCCGGGAACCATCTGTGTATGTGTGGGAAAGTCCGTATTGTTTCCTCTCAATCGTGGCAACAGAATGCTAGGGCAGAGAAGACACGTGTATCCTGCTCTTTTTCACACGGAGAGCTGGCTTTTGCCGGGCTCGTGTTTAGAGCTCGTTCATCGGTGTCAGACATGCGCAACGAGAAATTCAAAGCTTTTGGTGCACCCTTTTCCCACCAAGGCATAAGCTTCCCGTTTTTGTTGATAGAATCTGGAAATGAGACCTCAATAATTTTAATAGATTTTCTTGTTCAAGAACTATGGGTGCCTTTTAAGTGAAATGTAATGACAATGTTGAAACACTGTGCTTCACTGCTTTTCTGCATTTGTGATAGAAAACGTGTGTGGGTGTATACGTGTGTATCTGTGTGTCTTTATTTTGACTGTTCCTGCGCTGACTAGACACCACAGTGGTATGTCTTTGATGAAGCTTGCATGAGGAAGCGCAATACACTGACGCTTCCTGAGCGCCTTCCCCGGGCCAGTGCTTCTCCCCGTCCGCATTAGTGATTTAATCTCCGCGAAAGCCTGCGCTTGCTGGAGAGACCCTTCCTTTTCCTGCTGGAAGCCTCCCGCGTGGGGCAAGCTTCTGATCTACCAGACCCAGAGCTTTGAAGGCAGAACTACACTTCGATGAGCCCCTCCTAAAACCCCAACACTCAGTACAAATTAAAATGAATATGTAGTTTTCACTCTGTATCCTATTGATGTAAATAGCGTGAAGGTGATTAGAAACAGGTTTTCCTTTTTGGTAGTTAGCTATTTTTTTCCAGAATCTTCATTCCAGTTTTAATCAAAGACACTCTAAATAGAAAAAAACTAGCCAGCACTAACTGGTGTTGAGTCTGTATTCCAGATTACTAGGGGTCTTTGCAAGATGTTTTTTGTGTCTGTCCTCCAATGCAGATGCAGTAAACAGCTAGAATCCTGGGTCATAAGCAGTGGAAATGGACTCTGCCCACTGCACAAGGGAGAGATGAACAAGGGAGGAGTCCATGTCATTTTCAGAATTGGAGGCAGAAAGAAGAGATCAGACCAAGAAACTCAGGGCTGGAAACACTGACCAACTCTCAAGGACTCTGCTGACGGCCACCCCCAGCTTGCTCACAGACACAAGAGTGTTCGGCCAAGGTTTGTTGGTTTTTTTTTTTATCTGGAAAAGAATGGTTGCTTTGATTGGACCCCAAATGCACTCAGACAAGCAGGGGCTGACAGCTGGGCAGCCCCTCACCAAACACCAGGAATGCCCAAGAGCAGGTAGAAGGACCTATGTCCCCCTGATATCAGGACAGGAACAGCCCACCTTTAGCTATCTCTGCTCTGTTATGGTGGTTTTCCTGCTCTCCACCTGTGTTGATTTTTTTTTTTTTAAATAGAGGCATGTTTTATTTATTTATTTGTTTGTTTGTTTGTTTATACATGCACTGGGTACAGTCAGAAGTGCGGGAGGGTGAGAGAATTCACCAGAGCCAGAGCAGGGGGCAGAGGCAGAAGGACCGAAGTACACTGCTGAGGGGAGCAGCGGGCGGCAAGAGAGGTCTGCGCGCCATGTGGGACCCTCCTCCGGTGGCCGGGGAGCAGCCGGGGATCAAACCAGCCAGGGATCGAACCGGCGCAGGCAGCTTCGCAACCCAGCACTCAACCGCTGCGCCACCAGGGAAGCCCCACCTGTGTTGATTTTAATGATTATCTCTGTATCCCTCAGAACTGACCATGGAGGTGGCAATGACCTGCATATGGGGTCCAAAGCAGGCTCCACTGGCCACCTGTGGCTGTTGGGAGCTTGAAGTGTGTCCAGTGTGACTAATGAGGCAAATTTTAAATTTGATTTAATTTTAATGATTTTATTTTTTTTTAAATAGAGGCATTTTTTTTTAATTTATTTATTTGTTTTGTTTATACAAGCACTGGGTACAGTCAGAAGTGCAGGAGGGTGAGAGAATTCACCAGAGCCAGAGCGGGGTGCAGAGCAGGCAGAAGGACCGAAGCACGCTGCTGAGGGGAGCAGCGGGCGGCAGGAGAGGTCTGCGCGCCATGTGGGACCCTCCTCTGGTGGCCGGGGAGCAGCCAGGGATCGAACTGGCGCTGCAGAGGCTGCGGGCAGCTTCGCAACCCAGCGCTCAACCGCTGAGCCACCGGGGAGGCCCTAATTTTAATGATTTTAAATGTGAGTAGTCACGCATGGTTAGAGGCTGCAGCTCAAACAAGTTATGATGACATTCATCAAAAGCTGCAAACCGGAATGAATCTGGAACAATCCGAGTCCATGGCTCTGTCAGGCCTTAGCAGGAGGGGAGGAGAATTGCTGAGTGAGGTAGACCCAACCGGGGCTCGAGGGGAGAGTGTGGACGCCCCTATGGTTCCATCCTGCAGGGAGTGTCTCCACAGCAGAAACTAGCTTCTGAGACTGTGGGCTTCGCTGTCTACTTCTGCCAGAAGTAGCTGTGTTAGGAAACTCGCTGCAGGGGAGGGGCTGGGGGGCTCTGGAGGTGGGTCCCCACAATACACAGCTAGTGTGGCCAAAGGGATTAATGGATCACAGCAGAGTAGAGGCTGCCCAGGTCTAGATAAAGTAAGTGTCTCTTCGAAATAACACCAAAAACAGGATGGTGTCCTTCCAGAAGCTTCTCCTTTGATAACCCTTTTGGCTCTGATAATTGGGTATCAACTTGCAGAGAAGTAGCCTCCTGTTCTTTTAGTAAGTCCAGGTACTAACTAGCTAGGAAGATGTTTTATTGAGAGTACATTCTGGTCCCATGGCAGGTCAAGGCTGAAATCTGTAAGACATCACAGGGAGGTATCATCAGAGCCCTCCTTTGCTGGGGTAGGTGGGGAAATATGGGGCAGTGTCCATCAATCGGTTTGTTGACTTAGGTAAATTGAGGCCAGCAGTCAAGGTGGGATGGCAGTTCAGGGCTGGGCGTTGGAGCTGGGGCAGCTGCCTAAGTGCAGAGCCCCTAGCCAGGGTCCATCCACTCTGCGAGGGAAACAAGGACTTTGGCAGAAGTGGTCCCAGCAGGGGCCAGCTTGTGTATCCATTTGGTGCTGTCTGTGTGTCAAGGAGAATAGGAGGCTGTAGGGTTCACCCACCTGTTCCATCTTTTTTTTTTTAAAAGATTGATTGATTGATTGATTGATTGATTCAAGCACTGGGTACAGTCAGAAGCGCGGGAGGGTGAGAGAATTCACCAGAGCCAGAGCGGGGAGCAGAGCAGGCAGAAGGACCGAAGTACACTGCTGAGGGGAGCAGCGGGCAGCAGGAGAGATCTGTGCGCCATGTGGGACCCTCTTCTGGTAGCCGGGTTGCAGCCGGGGATCGAACCAGTGCTGCAGAGGCTGCGGGCAGCTTCGCAACCCAGCACTCAACCACTGCGCCACCAGGGAGGCCCACCTGTTCCATCTTGTCTTCTGGGAACTGGGAGGTTCGGCCACACCATCAACCTTGAAGTATGTCTCACTTTGAAGTTCTTGATTTTCTGGGGAACAGTGGCTGCTATTGAAGCAGCCCCTTCTCTAGGCCAGTCCATCTGTATCTCGACTCTTGACTTGCACCAGGAGAGGGGTCCCCCTTTTAATTATCAGTTTTAGTTTGCACACGGCTCTTACATTTCCCCTGAAGGCGAGGCACACCATGCACTGCATGGGCAGAGTGCAGTGCGTGGAGGTGATTGCAAAAAGTTAACGAGTGAGATGTTCACTGACGGCTGGGGACTGTAGCACATGCCCCAGCACCAAGGGTGACCCCATCGTGAGCAAACCCATGATGACTCCCACGAATGCCATCACCAGGGTGCATAGTCACGCAGAACTCTGCATGAGCCGGAAGGGCATGAAAGACATTGAGCTCTCGGATTTGGATTCCGTCCTGCATTGCGATCAAGCTCAAGTAAATAATAATTGTGAAACCATATGAGAAATCCAATGTACTGTGTGGCCTTAAACACGATTCCAAATAGCAATAATTATATTTCTTACATGGGATGCCCAACTGTTCATTTCTATTCAAATAGGAAACCACTTGCATGTATTACATTAATCTCTAGAGAAACATCCCCAGGGCAAAAGCAGCACTCCCAAAAGTTTGGTGGCTCCTCAATGAGTTAAACAGAATAAGCACAGGACCCAGCATTTCCACTCAAAAGAACCGAAAATAAGCATTCGTACAAAAACATGTGCCAGAATGTTCATAGCATGACTCTTCACTATAGCCAAAAGATGGATAAACGAATGTGGTCTATCCGTATAAAGGAATACTATGCATCCATAAAAAGGAATGAATGATTGGCATAGGCTACTAAATGGATGAACCTTGAAAACATGATCCTAAGTGAAAGAAGCCAGTGATAAAAGGCCATGTATTTTATGCTAATGTTTCCATGAAATGTCCAGGACCCATGCAATCAGAACGCAGATTGGCGCTTGACAGGGCTGAGGCAGTGGGAAGTGACTGCTCACAGGTATAGTGTTTCCTTGTGGGGTGATGAAAGTATTTTGGAGTTAGACAGTAGTGATATTTTACAACGTGGTGAATACACGAAAAAACACTAAATTCTTCCCTTTAAAATGATTAAACTGATTTTATAGTATGCGTAATCATATAACAATAAAAAAAGGCCATTAAAAAGGTGAAACGGCTGGTTTACCAATTGATTAGAAAAATTAAGGTTCTGCTGTACGAACAGCCATTTCTCAGCCACTCTGTTCATCCTTGGGAGCCAGCGCCAATGTACGGAGAGAACAGGGAATTATCTGGGCCGGTGCTGCTTGCACTGGAGTCCGGAGGGTTGGGTCCACCTGTCCTGTCAGGAAGTCCCTAACTCAAAGCCTAGCTGCTGGGATGGTGCATTGCTCATGGGTTTGGAATGACTAGACCCGATGATTCAGGATGAAATACTGTGATCCCTCAACACCCAAACAGTTCCAGAATAATGTCAGGCCTGTCCTGTTAGGCCAGAGAACACCATAACACCCCGGCCAAGAAAATGAAATGTAAGTCTAGCCAGTAATTTCCTCCAGGCAGTTTCAGGGACATAGTGAGAGCCTTAAGACTAACTTCCATCCACCCACCTGGAAATACTATGACTGACTGCCCTAGAGCTTTAATGCATGCTCAGTTACCAAGGACAAGAGCCCTGTGGGAGAAGACAGCAGAAGAGCTGTCACCACAGTCGTTCCTAGAGCCCAAGCTCCGCAACGGCTACAAGAAAGTGAAGGACTAATGGAGAGAAGCAGCGTCCAGCCCAAGAGGGGCTCGGAAGTCCCGTCTCACCACTGGGGTGTCCAGAGAACACTCTTACCCTGGCCATCGCTGAGTCCCCAAGGTGTGGAATTTCTCCCTCAACTACTACTTGTGCTAAATGGTGGCCCATGAACATAGGGGGCATGAAAACGTTTGGAAACCCCTCCAGCGGAGAGAGCGGAAGGAGCTCCCGGAGGACACCTCCATTCCCAATGGCTAGATCTGTCCACGTTCCCAGGAGAATTACAATCCAGAAGCACATTTTATTTCCTAGTTTGATCTTTTGCATTCAAATTAGTTTAGGTGGTTGAAGAAAGTTATCCCACTCCCTGGGCCTATAGGGGCCTGTGGTCCGAGTAGAAACAGTCCTCTGAGCTGAGAGATAAGAATCTGTCACGTAATTAAGATGACAGATGTCCCAGTAACTTTTGCAATCGAAGGACACACGGTAGGCATTTAAGACACAGATCTGGGTGGGAGGACGTGCTAGATGTTGAACTTTTTTAAATCCTTGATTTCCCCATTTCTGCAGAAACCAGATTTGGCCACCCCCTCAGGCAATCCCACAGATTGAAACCGTCAGCCAGGGAAGGGAGACACCTACTGGGGATAAAATTAAAAGATTAGAAGACCGAGTATGTAAAAATACTGCATTTGTAATATTAGCACATGCACATATAATAGCATACTTACGTGCGCTATCCACCTGCTAATCACATAAAACATATTCCACCACTGGCATTTTGCAGTTATTCAAAAGCACACAGTTAAAATCTACTTTCTTATCACAGAGACTGACGTATAAGAAGATACAAAGGAAAACACAAGCAGCTCATTCAGTGCAACCCAAAAAAGATGCCGTTCGGAGCCCTGCATGGGTGAATACGGTAATTAGATGGTCTGTTTTTCCCTAAAATTGTCAAGATGATTTCAACTTAGTAAATTCTGATTTTTAAAGGGCTGTATGCTACTCCCATCAAGTAATTCACTGTATTGTTATTTTTTGTTGACCGCTAACACCATTGTGGATGATCTGTGTATCTTACTTCCATCTCAGTCTATTTAAAGATGATCCAAAATTTTTATTTATATCATTCAAACATCAGTTGTGTTCAATGGCGTGGCTTTTCTCGGACGGTGTCAGAGGATGCCACTCTACCCGCGTGGAACAGACCATCACCCTCCACTGGAGGAGTTGACGCAGGAGACAACCTCACCGCCAGCCTCCATACCTTCTTGCTATTCCTCTCTCTTTTCTAAAATGGAAGGAACAAAAAAAAAAAAAAATCCTTTCCCCAATCAGCAGTAATCTCTCCAAAGGTCTTTTAATTTCAAAAGTCATAAGTGTTAATTAGCTATTATTAAGTGCCCTCTGTATAAATTAACATGATTGATGAAAAAATTAAGGCTAATGAAAAATGTAGCAATGCATGTATTTTTAAGGGACTATATTAAAAGCTGGTGGTCCCTCTGGACAGAAACTCAGGCCTTCCAATCTGTGCCCTGCCTTTATTATTATCTCTTGCTATCTTTCCTCCTACGACTTTTTTTTTTTTTTTTTTTGGCATTAGGAAAAAATGCTGAATCCTTATTTCAGTTGCTTTACAATTTTAGATTTTAAACTCGGGACACAAAGCTACACATTTTATTTCGTATTGTCCCAGGAGGTAAAAACGGCCCTAATTTTTTATCCTCCAACTGGAAGTAAAATGTGCACTCTCCTTAGAAAATATCAGAGACCCTCTGTAGGGTGGAGCCATCCTGTCTGGCACAGAGACCACTACCGGCCTTATTGCCCTGCCCCATTCTTTGGAGTATTTGGGACATAGTTCAAAATTAACAAAAGTTTTCCACAAAAATTAAAATGGAATCTACAAACCTAGACCTTCGATTGAATGTTAAATAATGTAAATTCTGCACTGAAGATTACTACCTTTTGATTTTTTTTTTTTTAACTAAGCTTGTCACAACTCTGTGTCACAACTCTCTAGCACTGGAGAGTCTGGGGATCTGAAGACCTCACTGTGACCTAATTCAAAGCAGATATGATGAGGATGTAAAGGTGTTTGAAATTCATGAAATAAAATTACCCAAAAATTACAGAGAGAAGTAATGGATCAGTTCAGATATTGTTATACATACACACAGTGGAATACTACTCAGCTATGAAATGTGTGAGCCCTTACTGTTTGTGACAACATGGGTGGGCCTGGAGGGGAGGGTGCTCAGCAAAATAATTCAGAAGGACAAAGACATATATTAGATGATTTCACTCACGTGGAAGATAGAGACACAAAGTGAAACTTCTAGTCGGTTTTCCTGTTAAAGAAAGTCCGTGGACATAAGCACCATCACAGACACTGGTCAATGGTCCATCTCTGGACTCAGGGACAACTGCCTGGATTTCAAACACCCAGTCGCTTATGCCAGTGACCAGTATCTGGGCTGGTTGCAAACTGGGCAGAGGACCACTGACAGGTGGTGTGGAGACTGTGGGCCTTAGACAGGCCCCCCTTCCTGTGACCTCTGGCTCCCTCGTGACCCATTTCATTTACAAGGAAATAGGCACCAGCCATGCAGCTAGCTACCTGCGGAGCTTTTGTTTGTGTTTGGCTCTTCCTAACCCAGGGTGGTGTCCTCTCTCCAGTTATGTGCAGGTGGGGACCGGGACACTCCTAAGTGTCCTGCCAGGCTGAAGCACACCCTTCCTAAATTTACAGCCAGCATACGGGAGCCAGGTCATGAATTTGTCAGTGGTGCAGAATGCACTGGATTGATGAGCTAGACCATGGAAGTCCCTCTGGGCATCACCCTGCGTGCGGTGTGAGGGCACATCTCAGGGGCTGAAACTCCTCCAAGGCTCGGAGCAGGACTGAGGCCCCCCGGAACCCAGATGGCCGGGAGAAGAAGCAGCGGATGGAAATTCTCTGGATCACATACGTAAGTGGTCCCACTGTCTCCCCACTTAGAAAATAAATGAAATCTTTGTTGCAAAGCAGAAGCCTCCTCAAGTAGAACCTCAGGCTAATTTGTACAGCCAAAGGGCTCTGTGGAGAATGAGCCGATGTGTTGACAAGAAATTGTCCCATCTTCCCTTCTCTCTTCCCCATACAGCCTGGAAGTGTTTAACAATCTAGTTGGAATAGTAAACAAACAAACAGCTCTCAGTTGTCGTCTTCGGTTTTAGAACGAAACATCAAAACCCTGAACTTGAAGCACAGAAGAAATCAAGGGGGTGAAAACAGCCACGGAGAGGGCCTGGTAGCCACCGTGCATGTAGGACGAGGGGGGCTCAGCAAGCCTGATGGCCCAGGGTGTCTTCCTCCCACCAGAACTGGGCCCTGGACACAGAGGCGGCACCATCCGCGAGTTGCTGCTTCCTGGGAAACAGCCCCAGGTGAGCTTCAGCCTTTGCTTTCTTCAGAAATTTGCACGGTCCTGGAGAGTGGGACCTGGAGTGTGGGACCGGCCATCCACGCCTGGCCTCCGAAGGGGCAGACAATTGATGTGATTGTGTAAAGGACTTAAAATAGTTGAGTCATTAAAAACTAGGACCACCTCTGGGAAGTGGAACAGTGAAAGGTCAAATGTGAGAGGCAGGCGGGAAACCCGGGGGGCTGGAAGCAGCTCAGCTGCGGCAGAGGGGCCAGGCCTCACAAGGGAGCTACTGGGGCTTTGCTGCCCATGTTCCTGTTCACAACAAGCTGTGTCTCTATAGTGGAAGTGCGTTTCTAAAATCTAGCATTTTTCTGAAAAGACCTCTGAGAAACAGCACATGGAGGGGGTCCAGGAGATGCCAGAGACACCAGGGCCTCATGCTGAAGCGCATAACCGACACGAGGTGGGCACATGAACCATCACCACCTCCCTTGGTGTTGAGACTTGGATCAGGATTTACTAACAGCCTGTGGGGGGGGGGGCACCAATGACCCCCCACCCAGGGGGCTGGTTTTCTTGGTAGTTTACCTGCCCAGGGCCCAACGGCGGGGGGGTGAGACGTTACCACTCCCCCTGCTCAGAGTTCCAGGTCGGGCCGCAACTCTGCCAGACCCCATCAGCCAGCACCCTGGTCCAGCCCTCAGTGCCAGGTCGGCAGGCCGGGGTGCAAGCTTTCTGGGATGCCTGACTCAGGTGTTCTTGGTTAGCACCCCTTCAGGTGAACGAGCTTCTCAGATCTCTGCCCAGTGCAGGGGCTGGGAGGGACAGGACGACCTGACGGCCAGGGTCGGCCACCGGGGACCAGAGGAAAGACACAGAGAGTGGACACAGCTCTGAGCACGAAACCTTGTTGAAGGTAGGGGGGATCGTCAAAGACTTCTGGGACTCCCTAGATCTTTCCCCCTGGGGGCTTGGAGGAGGCGGCCCCCAGAGTCAGACCTGATCAGGACTCCAGGGAGGGGAGCCTGCGCCCCAGGGGGTCGCTGGTGGGCCGGAGCCTGCCATGGGCAGAGGCAGTGGGGTGTGTGGGGCTGGACAGGAGCAGGAAAGTCCAGGGTCCAACCTCAGGGAGGAGGAGCTAGTTTGGAAGCAGAAGAATCCAGGGCTGTTGGGGCCACACATCCTGCCATACTGACCAACGCCAGTGGAGATAATGCACCTGCAGGCCTACACCCGTGGCTTCAATTCTGTAGATCAGGGAGTAGTAACTACCCCGGGGATAACCCTGCCTGTTCTGGGGCTCTGTGGCTTCAGGTCTTCGGCCTCACCTCATAGGACATTTTAGATCACTTAGCAAGCACTTTCTGGGCGCCCTGCCTGCGGCTGGTGGCATGTGGGAACCCCCACTTTGATATTTCTCATCCGTGTGGATCCTGAATTTTAAGGTCTGCTCCATCTCCCACTGTCATTTTGGTTGAAGAATTGGTTGCTTGGTGCTGTTAACGAGGGGGAGGTCAGAGAAATGCTGAACATCCCCTCAACTCAGAGACCCTTTGATTTCCGCTCCACGCACTTGCACCCCCTAAGATAATGGTTCCCATGGCCCCAGGCCCAGGGCTTGGAGCCCTTCCCAGTTCCTTCTCTCTTTTGCTTTCAGACCGCTCTCTGCTTGTTCCTCGGGGTCAGTGAAAGCTGGCTTCGAACTCTCATCACCGACGAGATTCTGGCCTTTACTTGTTTGCCAACGGCCCTCCCCATCTTGTAGATTCTGGGGAATATGCCCGCCCTCCCTCACCCACTGAAGCCATCAAAGACCACGGCAAAATGGAGAGCCTTAGCCAGACAGCTTGATAAAGGACAAACCCAGAATAAATCAAGAAGCCCCCGTCAGAAGAAATTTAAAAACCCCAATTTTATTTTCTTTTTAATCTGTTGCTGTAAAGCGCCCCCCGTCTTTGAAGGTGGAGTGAGCGTCAGCACCCACATTTCCATTCCAGACAGCTATCCCGCCTGTCCTGAAGCGAAAATAAATTTCCTTTTTAAGCTTTTGATGATAAAAAACTCATCTGAAGCCTCATAAATGATCCTTTATTATCTATATTAATAATGAATAAATGTCTTTTGAATACCCCTGATCTTTGCATTCATAGCAGCAGATGTATTATAGATAACCTTTGATTTAACAGCACAAACTCTGAAACAATATTAAACACTAAAGGGCTGATCTTGCTGCAGCCACCGAGGTCAACGTGATGGACATTTCTGTCCATTCCTTGGGCCTCTCCATGACATGCGCACCCGTGAGTATTTATTTTCGAATGTGCGCGCGCAAGAGCAGGTGTACCCTCAAAGCCCACTCACTGTCTGTCATTTCCCGCCACCTTTTCTTTTTCGCACACTTAGTGTTCCTTCTTCAGTTCTTTTCCTAGAACTCAATAGAGGCAGAATTTCAAAGGCCCTGTTAGTCTCTCACCTCTTTAAAAAAAAAAAAAAGATTTATGCATGCATACAAGAACTGGGGTACAGGCCAGAGGTGCAGGGGTAAGAGGACTCACCAAAGACAGAGTGGGGAGCAGAACAGGTGGACCCACTGAAACACACTGCTGAGGGGAGCAGCGGGGAGACAGGAGAGGTCTGCTGCGCCCTGTGGGTATCTCCCTGGCCGAGGGTTGAACTCTTGGCCCAGTGGCTGGTGATAGCTTGATAGCGCTGTGTCTTTAACCCCTGGGCCACCAGGGAGGGCCTCCTGCTTTAACTTTAATCACAGTTATTTCATTCTTTTTGGCATGATTGTCTATGGAACTGTATTCCTCACTGCCCTTTCTTTGATACATTGTTTGGGTATAGTAATGACACTTAATTTTCTATATTGATTTTTGTATCTTACACTTTATTGTATCCATTTGTTATTCCTAGAAGTATTTTAGAGTCTTTTGTTTCTCTAAGGATATTAACATGTGATCTGTGAATAGTGACAGTTTCACTGTTTGTTTTCCATGTTGGATTCTTTGTATCTTTTTCTTATGTAATGGCTTCACCAAGGATTTCCAAACTGTGCAGAGTAACAGTGGTGGTAGTGGATTTCCCTGTCTGCTTCTGATATTAAAGAGAGGCTCCTTTTTTAAAGGAAAACAATCTCTTATTACTCCATTTCCAGCTCTGGTGCTCTCTGCAAGAATTGAGGGGACATGAAGGAGAAGGTGGCCATTTCTCCCTCCGTCCCTCCTGTGTCTGGGTTTGCGGGGAAGTGAGAGGCCCAGCCACAGAGCTGACCATGGCTGGCCATGGCCTCTCCAGATTCCCAACTCAAGGGCTGTGTGCCGGGTCCAGCCCTACAGGCCCCAGTCCTCATCCTGGGAGGGACTCTGCAGGAGTGGCCTGGGTGGGCGGGCCCCGGGGCCAGCCTCAGTCCCTCCAGACTGTGGCTCCCTGGCCCTGGCTCAGCCTGCATGTTGGTTTTCCTCTGTAGGCGTGTCTACGCCCGAGGAGTAGGTGCTTCGGGATACCGCCAAGTTGATTTGTTACTAAGAAAATGATCCATGAATGAAAATAAGAAAGCCAACAGGAATCCAGCTTTCTCTTCAGAAGCTTCCCTTCTCCCTACAGCAGCTTTTCAGGAAGGGCCAGAATTCAGGGTAAGTCGACCTCAGTATAAATTCAAACTGATGTGTGCCTCTCTCAAGAGTGCTTGCTTTTTTTTAATATATAACTTAACAGAAACCTTTTTAGAATAAATTTCAGTTTTCAGAAAGCTGTGCAGGTAGTTTGATTGGCAAGAGTTCTCTGGAAACACAGAACTGTGAGGATGGGTGGATAGAAAGACCTTCTCAGGTTGTAACTCCAGACAAACACCAAAACTGGCTGTGCCTCATTTCCCCTGTGTGACTCGCCATGTGGACTCAGCCCAGCTCACACAGCTGTGCTTGGCATTTGTAAACTGCATTCATCACTGCAACGTTCCCCAGGGCTCCCCAGAGACAGCTCGCCCACATCCGGTTCTCTCTGCTTTGGACTTTGCACGAATCTCAGTCTCTAACCAGGCTCGTCTGCCTCCCTGGGAGGACCCTGCCTGTAGCGCTGAGAGCCCCCACATTGGCCTTGGCACCAGGCCTGTTATTCAATTTGCTGCAGTTATAGAAAAGGACACACAGCCAGCTTGGTTTTTCATGAATGGCCAGGAGGCCAAAAAGTAGCTTAAGAAGAGCTGGAAAGGGCGCTTCCTCCCCAGAGAGGAGACTACACAAGCCAGTGCTTATGTGGGCCCTGACTCACGGATGGTGAGAAACTAACGGAAACTCGTGCTTTTTTCTAGATAGGGCATTTTTCTAGATAGGTGACTTTTACAGGACCCACTCCAACACACATGGTGTTTAACATACTTCTTGAAGTGTAAGAGTTCCAGGGGAGGTGCTTTTAACCTTCCGCATCAACACTGAAGGACAGAGGATGCATATGCAAGCTCTTGCCTGCCGGCCAGCAGAGAATGGTGGCACCGTGGGCTCCGCCCCCAAGGGGTCCACAGTTGGGCTGGAGAGACAGGAACATGCGGACAGTCTCATGAGCTGACAGCTGCGGGCAGGCTGAGGAATGCCTGCGAGCCCAGCCGAGCCAAGCACGCAGGGTGACTTCTGGGCTCCTTCCGTTGTCTTTTTCTTTCATCTCTGACTCCAGTGTGTTTTCTTTGATTAGCAACAGGAGGAATCCCCCTGCTCCCTGACCCTCGCCCCAACTCCTGTCTGCCTGCTGCTTGACTGTTCTTTCTAATAGGTGCTGCCGGGCTGCACGGAGGCCCCCCATGGCTGCAGCCCTGTCTTCACATTAACCTGCGTCTCCTGGGTAATGGTGCAGTCGCTCTCCAGTCTGCCTGCGTCGCTCCTCTTGCTGCCGGGCTCCCAGTGGGACTTCGCTGGAATTAGCCAAGAGGGAGCTCAGAGGTGAGGCTGTTTCTGTGCAGGCCAACCCGAAAGAGAACGGGCTTGTAAGCCCCAACCTTCGTGTCTATGTTAAAACAGACACAGTGTTGTAAGCCAACATTCCTTCAAGTTAAAATAAAATAAAATGGTTCCTATGCCTATGGGTACAACACAAAACTATGAAATTCCTAGAAGGTAACATAGTGACCTCAGATTTGGTGAGGATGACTAAGATTCCACACCAAAGCCACTTCTATAAAAGAAATAATTGATATGCTAGACTTGTTAAGATAAGAAACTTTGGGGGCCTCCCTGGTGGTGCAGAGGTTAAAGTCTCAGCGCTATCAAGCTATCGCCAGCCACTGCAGCACGAGTTTGATCCCGGGCCAGGGAGCAGACCTCTCCTGCTTCCCCTCTACTCCCCTCAGCAGTGGATTTCAGTAGATCTGCCTGTTCTGGTCCCCACTCTGTCTCTGTCCTCTAACCCCCTGCACCTCTGGCTGCACCGTAGATCTTCTATGCAAAAATAAATCAATAAATCTTAAAAAAAAAAAAGATTAGAAACTTCTGCTCTGCAAAAGATAGTGTCAAGAGAAAGGGAAGATAAGCCACAGACTATAAGAAAATATTTGCAAAAAGATGCATATGACAAAAGATTCCTATGCAAACTCTACAGAGAAGTCTCAAACCTCAGTAACAAGCAAAGGAACAGTCTAATCAAGAACAGATCGGGGCCTCCCTGGTGGTGCAGCGGGTGGAGCGCAGCGCTGTGAAGCTGTCTGCAGCCTCTGCAGCATGGGTTCGAGTCCTGGCTGGCCAGGGAGCAACCCACATGGCGCAGCAGACCTCTCCTGCCGCACCTGCTGCAGCTCTCAGCAGTGCTTTCGGTCTCTCTGCCTGTTCTGCTCCCCGCTTAGTTTTATTTTGTAAAATAGGGCGTTTACAGTTATTGGAGGGTTGAGAATAAAGTGGGGGTGTTTAAGTGGTTTAATCTGAAGGTGCGGGGACATGTGTGGTGTTCTGGGGGCAGCGTGGGGAGGTCTGGGGAGTGGGTATGTTGCAAAAAAATGAACCTGGAAAGCCTCATGACAAAACAAAAAGTATTTGAATGATGGCATGTGACAGAGGGGTCATTTTTTACTGCCATATAACAACACTGGCCTGGTGATTTGCAGGGCAGTAAGAGGCGGTTTCCTTCCTAAGAGACCCCTGTGTGCCCCCTGCTGTATGTTGGCTGGGGCAGTGGCAGGTAGGGCTTCGGGGGGACAGGGTTCTCTACCAACCTGCCTGCAGCAGAGGGAAAGGGAAGAGGAACAGGAGAAGAGGGAGAGGGTGGCCCCTGAGACCTGGGCATCAGGGTCAGGGCCAGCAGGCTCTTGGTGTCCATCTAAGCTGCTCCCTCAATGACCCAACTACCCACGGAGGTGGATCTGTGGGAGTGTGTAGAGCAGATGCAGATATAGGAGAGACCCCTGCCGCCGGCCGCCCGCAGAAGCCTCACCTCACTGGCCTGTCCCTGTCCAGCTCTGGCCCCTCCCAGCATTTCAGGATGCACCCATGCCCCAGTATACAGCACCACAGCCCTGGAGACCCCGCTGGGAGCTGTGGAGAAGGGGTCCCTGCTGGGCTCCCAGCCTGGCTCTGGCCCCAGCTCACCAACGCAGAGGCCTTGGTTTCTTGAACCATGTACATTGAGAAGGTCATGCTACTTTTGTCATAAGCCCTTCATTTAAGTTCAAAAATGAAAGGAAGTGGACATTTTAATATGCTCTTTCCTAAATGTTTCAACCAGACTGTGAAGAAGAAGTTTAACAGCCCTTTGTTTTTCCTCTTGGGACTCAGAAATGGAACTTCTGGTGTTATGAAGATGAATATTACTCCTAGGTTAAGCCAATCACAGGATGAAAAATTAAATAATTTCACGCCAGGATTCACAAGTGTCACCTGAGCCAATGAGAGCACGAGTCTGCCAAGCATTGTCAGGGAGGCAGCACCAAACCCCGGGTGTCCGTGAGAGCAAGACAAGCTGTGGGGTGACCAGCTCGCCCCAGGTTGCCCAGGACTGTCCCTCTTTAAAGTGGAAAGTCCCCAGGCCTCGGGCAAGTGGGGCAGCAGAGCCAGGCCGTGTCCTTCAACTCATGGGTCAGTGCAGACACCAGAGGGCAGACTCAGGTCTCCCAGATGGACAGATGGCTGTACAGGGCACCCTAGGAGCTGGACACAGGGCGTCCTGCTCTGCACAGATCATCTGTAGCCAGCTGTGAGGGGAGCAGCGGCCACGCAAGCCAGGAGGGTCACCCCAGCATCATTCAGCTCTTCCACTCAGTGATTGTTTGGGGCACAGACTTTGTTCAAAGCACCAGCTGCGGCGTGGAGGGCTGTGGGGTAAGTGGGTTAATCAGGCCTCTGTGGCCATTACCTGTGACCTTGATCGTGTAGATGCGGAAGGTGCTTGGGAGCGTGGGCGCAGGCACTTCTACCTGATTGTGGACACCTGAGCATGGGTGTGTGCGCGTGTGCAAGCATGCACACCTGCGCCTAGAGGCAGGACAAAATCGGCAGCAGCAGAGGCAGAGGAGGATGTGCGGTGAGGCTAGAAAAGAGCCGAGACCACAGCAGAGCGGGTGCAGAGAGAGTTGAGATTCGTGGGGGGCTGGGGTGCCTGCCTCCTTTCATGCCAGCCTCCCTGTGCCTGGCGTGCCTTTGCACCTGGCTCCCTGAGAGCATTAAAGCTTGAAAACTCCGCTGAGGGCTCGGGGACCCTCTTTATCCATCTCCCTGAATCCATAGTGAGCTTGCTGTGTGGCTGCTGGCGCTATAGGGCCCCTGAGGACATCACACTGGGTGAAATAAGCCCAACACTGAGGGACAAGGCCCACGTGGGTCCCTCTCGTAGGCCCCCAGGGGAGGGAGATTCACAGAGAGGAGAGGAGATGTCGGTGGGGCTGGAGAAGGAGAGTAAATGAGGGGGCGGGTTTCCTGTGGGAGAGAGAAGGTTCTGGAGATGATGGAGGTGAATGTTCTTTCTAAGGGAGCCCAAGAACCTGCGAGCAGGCGCCCTGGTGAATTCAGCTGAACTGAGCTGATGGAGCCACCTCCCAGCAGTCAGCTGGGTCCTGACAGAGACACAGGGCGACCCTGGGCCTCCTCCCATCCCGTCAAGGAGCACCGGGTGGACCAGTCTACGGGAACTCACCTCAATAATAGATAACTGGGCGCGGGAGGGCGGCTTGAAGGAAGCAGCCACATGGGAGCGGTGTTGGAGGAGCTCGGGCTGTTGATGACTTTTAACAACGAGTTGGGCCTGAGTTGAGGATGTGGGCAAGATGTTCTTCCAGAGACGACGACGCGATAGACATCCCAGGGCAAGAAAGCGCCGCCTTCAAAGTAGCCAAAAGGACGTTCTGAGCACCAGGAACGTGGACGGTGAGTCGTCCCCAGTGCCGGGAGAACGGGAAGCAGAAAGAGAAATGGGTGGGCGGCGGACCAGGGACAGCCTCTCAAAGGAAGTAAGTTCCCGGGAGCTGAGAAGCATGACATTGCACGCGCCTGGGTGGGGCGTGGGGAACCTGCGTGCGCGCACCCCGGAGAGCGCGGGGAAGCCCAAGTGTGCTCAAAATTGCATTTTCCACTTCACCTGAGCCGAGATTTCAGCGCGATGTGAACTGTTATAAATTTGACTTTCAAAGAGAGGTGTTTCAACCTGCATCTTCCAGTGTGGAAAATTAAGCCAGGCCTTGGGAATTGATTAACTGCCGAGGACAGATGGCGGGGGGGGGGCCTCTGTTTTCTGAACCCTCTGGGCTATTCTTGGGGGGACACATTTCTGAGGTTCCCTCGGCAAGCCATGATGATGTAGGGCTGTCATTAAAATAGCCAAACATTTCGTTACCTCTGATGGGCCGACTGCACACCCAATATTAATTGGGTTACCTCCATCCTTTGGAGTGACTGTCAAGGTAGGGTGTGCGGCTTTGGGTTTATTCTGTTAACCGGAGCCAGGGAGCAGCAGCTGCGGCAGCCTGGATGTGCTGGCCATAAAGTGGACACATTACAGAGGTTTGTTGAAGGAAAGGGGGGTGCAGAATCCAGAGCAAGGAGTCCCCACCCGGCTGCTCTTCATTCAGTTCCTCCTGGCGTTCCCTGCAGCTGCCTCATTCCCAGCTCAGCCAAGGGGTGTCTGGAATCTTGTCCTGAGCCGTCAACACTGACATTTCAGGACATGCGGGAGCCACTGCCTGGGAAAAGGACGTGCAGCCTGGCCCTGCCTGGAGGAAGCCGGAGGCTATCCCCCGAGAGGACAGCGGGGGAGCTGGTCCCCCGGCCCTTTCTACCCCCCCACTTCTCCCTGGCCACTGCGTTCTTGTCGTGCCCTCCAAGTGGCCTTTGGAAGAGGAGGCCTCGCCGGGGAGGGACAAAGCAGGGACTGTCGCTGACAAAGGCGGAGAGGCAGAGTGACAGAGGACGCTGGTCTGTAGCGCAGGCCCCGCGGCCCCAGATGTCGCAGGCGCCGCTCCCCGCACGAAGAACAGGATTAGTCACCGGCTTGTCCCCTAATGGACACACTCGGTGATCTGTAGAGCTTCATTTACTGGGTTAATAGTGCTTTGCCTGACTTCCTCTGCCGGGGAGGAAAAACGCCCTGTGAGGAGAAACGCTCTGGGCTTGTCCGCGGCGGTGACATGAGACGCAGGGTATTCACCACTGAGTGCCCGCGTCTCCTGCGGCGGGGGGTGCCCCCGGGCGCCGGCTCCGCCAGGCCAGGGCGCTCAAGCGAGACGGTTCAGGTATATTGTGAAATGATTTAATGTGATAATAATGTCCACTTTGCGAGATAGATGATGCTTTTTATAGTGGCTGATGGTTAATGAATGATACATTAGCAAACATTGGCTGAACATGGTCGCGAATGCAGATGAAGAGCCGGGTGGGGTCCCAGCACCCCGCTCGGCCCCCCGCCCCTCCTCCTGTCCCCGCCCTTCCCCCACCATGAGGCGCAGAGACATCAGCAGCATTTCTGAGCCTCAGAAAACTTCATTTATTTAAGAGCCAAAAATAGGTGCGATCCCAGGTGCGTCCGGCCTCTCCGCCTCTGCGCCCCCAAAGGAGGGGGACAAACGGCCGCTGAAACATGGCTTCTTAAATCAGATGAGACGCAATGAAAGTGGGAAACTGAACAAATACATTCTGTGTTGACCCAGTTTATTAGATGAAGCCGTTTACTCTGATTTGATTTATCTGGCAATACACAGCTCAGCTGTGAAATGAGATAAGCCGCGGCCCCTTATTTACTGTCCTGTCCAGCGGGCGCCCAGCCCCGCCCAGCGAGAACCTGCAGGTTCCCACCCCCAAGGCCAGCCCTCTGCCCTGCCCTTCCCCAGCCAGCGGGCCTGAGGGCACTTGGGAGCAGGCCTGAGGCCGTGGGGTCCTCCTTAGTAGTAGGACAATGACCCGAACCCGGGGCCTCCCCGCTGCCAGGTGAGCCCGGCACAGCCCAGGGTGCGCTTCTCTCCTCTCTGCCGGGGGGGGCCCCCTCCGATGGCCATGGCTGATGGCCACCCTCGAGAGCAGACTCCAGCTGCAGGATGGCGGGTCCTGCCCCAAGGCATGGGGACAGGCCCTGTTATTTTGAGCTTTTCTTTTTTTTTTTTTTAAGATTTATTTACTTATGCATACAAGAGCTGGGGTGCAGGCCAGAGGTGCAGGGGTGAGAGGACTCACCAGAGACAGAGTGGGGAGCAGAACAGGCAGACAGACTGAAATCCACTGCTGAGGGGAGCAGTGGGCGAGACAGGAGAGGTCTGCTGCACCTTGTGGGTAGCTCCCTGGCCGGGGATGGAACTCATGCTGCAGAGGCTGTGGACAGCTTCATAGGTTGCATCTTAACCCCTTGTGCCACCAGGGAGGGCCCTATTTCAATCAACATCTATAGCAGGTGTCTGGTCCGTTGATGGCTCACAGGGAGAGGGGCCCTAGCAAGTGGGTCCTGGGACCTTCCAGGCTCACTGCTGCCCCCCGGGCCACAGGGCAGACCCCAGGGACCCGGGGCAAGAGGGGGCTCCTGATGGGCCTGGGGACGTGGGGCGTGAGCCAGTGGGGAGCAGCCTTGAGAAATGGGTTTGGTCCTTGGTGGGGACCCCGGTCTGGGGTCTGGCCAGCATGGGCCTGAGAACCATGAGGTGGGGAGCGGGTGCCTGCAGGTGGGCTGCCAGCACCCCACACATCCCTGCTCCACCTCTGAAGTTAGAGAAGACAAAAGGTGCACCGCAGGCGGGCCCCGTGAGTGGTGTTCTGGAAGCTGGAGACGGGGTGGGAGTCAGGGAGGACACGCTTTCCCATAGGCTGGCCAGTTGCAGGGCACACTGGGGTCTCTGAGTAAGGCGGGTTCTGTGCACCAGGTGGACACCTTGGACAATGTAATGGCTAATTTGTGTGTTGCTTCACTGGCCTAGGGGGCACTGGATTGCTGGCAGGACACTCTCTGGGTGCCTCTGTGAGGGCACTCCTGGGGCAGGCAGGCACCCGATTCGGGAGACTGAAGAGGTCACCTCCTGACCGCGATTGAACCAAAATGGACCAGAAAGAGAGGGAGAAGCGGGGGTGAAAGGAGGGAGGACAGAGAGGGAGGGGCGGGAGGCAGGAGGAGCTGGGAATCGCATCTTTGTTGGTGAATTGATTGTTTTGGTCGCGGGAACACCGGCTCACAGTACCGCATAGGATTTGGGGTGCATTTCACCCCTCTTCAGATGCCTGTCACCTCCACCAAGGCACCCACTGTCCTCACCACTGGAGCCGCCTCCCCCGGTTCTCCCTCAAATCGACTCTAAAGTTTAGCACCATTCATCCGCACACGATGCATTTCTGTCCCTGTGATGGATTACACCTGACAACAAGTTGCCGGCTCTTAATGAGAACCCGTCGTGACCTGGGGACAGCGGATTTCTTCAGGACCTGGGGGTGCAAAGGTTCACTTCAGGGGTGCTGGGATTTCAGCACCAGGACAGCAACCACGTGCCCGTGTCCGCTGCGGCCTTCTCCCCTGAGGACGGGCCGTGTCCATTCACGTTCTTCTGCTGCTGAGAGCAAGCTCTGGCCTTTGAAACCACACTGTCTTCAGCTCAGAACGCAACTCGTTTTGAAGATTCTGCACAGCACCGTGGATTGGGGGTCTGTTCGGAGATCTGAGACCTTCCCCAAGCCAGCACCGGTGAACACGCTCTACCCTCTCCCTCTGCTGACACGCCTGTGTTGCCAGAGTCTAAGCATTTATTTTTGTTTTGCTTGTGCTTTTGCTTTCTTTCCTTTGTATTTCCCAAATGACTGAAATTGCTAGTTTTTGTCTTTCTTCTTCTGGTTTAGTTCAATCAGCATCATCCCCTTCCGTTCCACCCATGTTGTTGCAGCTGGCAAGGTGGCATCTTTTTCATGGCTGAATAGTAGTCCATGGTGTGTATATACCACATCTTCTTTATTCATTCCTCTGTCATCAGGCTCTTGGGTTGCTCCATGTTCTGGCCGTTATGACTAGTGCTGCAATGAACACAGGGGTGCAGATATCTTTTTTAATTAGTGTTTTCATGTCCTTCAGGTAAATACCCAGAAGTGGGATAACTGGACCATATTCTAGGAGCCTCCATGCTGATTTCCATAATGGCTGTTCCAGTTCACATCACCACAGAGACTCAGCTTGAATCTGTCTCCACCTTGATGCTTTGACACTGGGGCACTGCCGGGCTGCTTGCAGGGAATCGGCATGTTTTGATGAGGCAGCCCACCTCACCAGGGAGCATCTCAGCTGCAAAAAGGCAGGTCAGGCAGGAGTCCTGCCCAATCGTTCGCTTAGTGGGTCCTGTTACTAAAGGTAATAAGCCTGCATGTCCTGTTACTAAAGGTAATAAGCAGAGAGAGAGGAGGCTGCCAGGACCAGAAGAAATCTCACGTGGGGAGTGACTGCAGCACTCAGTCACTGGCCCCACAGCTCTGGCACAAATGGAGCTGATGGCGGGGTTTCCTAAAAGCTACAGTGGGTGCTCTCTAGCTTGCCCTGGTCATCACACTCAAACTGCAGAAAGGGGAAAGCCATAGTTATCTTCTTGAAATCAGTCTTTCAATGAAGATTGTTTATTTTGCCCAAGTATCATGTACATTACTGTCACGGTTGCTGATACGACTGCTGGATGGATGGCTGGGTGGGTGGGTGGGAGGATGCAAGGGTGATGGATCATACATGGTCTTAACATACATAAATTCCTCGTACTGATTTTCAAAGTAAGAGACTGAAATCAGACGCCAAAAGCATTTTAAATGCTGACTTATAGCCCTTCCCCCTTCTTCAGTCATGTGTGTTGATGTTCGAGGCTATTGAGAGTGAGGAGTGGTGTCCTTTGACCCTGTAATCACCCCTCCCCCCTGCTAGATGCCAGTGTTTGTATAAGTGACGTGCTAGGTCTGGGTCCAGCAAGGCTGGGGTGGCGTCCATCCTGGCTTTCCTGAGACAGAGGCTAGAGGACTCAGAGTTGCCAAGGCAAGAAAGTCCCGGCGCCGAGACCACCCTGTGTCACTTTAGAGCTGCAGTAGAAACATGGGTAACGGAGAGTAACCCTGGAGTTGCAAACATAGAGGAGAAAGACAGTCTCACCGGTGGCTGGGACATTTTCCCTAGAAGAGACACTGGGCTCGAGAAGGCAGAGATGGCCTCGTGGAGAAGACCCACCCTCAGTCTGGACTGCATCTGAGATCCAGATTACCTGGGATTGTCTTTTTTAATAGGTTTTTTTTTAGTTAGTTAGTTTCACCCCCAATGTTCCTTGCACCCCTTTGGCCCTTCCTCCCTCCCTCTTAGCCCCAGAAACCTCACTTCCTTGATTAGCATCCGCTAGATTTTAGAAGTAATTTGCTCCGTTGAATCATCCACCATGTAATTGTTCAGTATTTGTCTTGTTCTGATTTGCCTCACACGTGCAATTCCCTAAAGCGCCTTCCCCTTTGCTGTGAGTTGGCGACATTTCATCTTTCCTCACGGCCACAGTGTGTACCCTGGTGTGGATGGACCCGTCTTCTCAATCCAGCCCTCTAGCAGTGGACACTTAGACTGTTTCCAAAACCTTTTGTAGTCGTCAGAAGGTTTTAGGAGACCTACAAATAAATTTCTCATACGTCAGGTCTCGCTAAAGGCTCAGCCGCCAGACAGTCCCACCTTTGGGAGATCGTCACTCACACCCAACACCAGGCTGACCCGCAGTGGAACCAGCTGCCCCACATCCAAGTCAGATCCTTCCAGAAAGGAGCCAGTGTCGGTGCTGGTGGTGCAGACGCCTGTGACGTGGACAAGCCGTGTTGAAGGTGGGTGAGAGTGGGGACAGGCAATGTCACGGCCAGGGAAGGAGGTCCTCCCTGGGAAGCCAGGGCCAGCCTCTGCAGAGGTAACCACGCCCCTTTATACGCCTAGCGCTGGAGAGATGACGACAAGCTGCTGGCACTGTTGGCAAAGCACAAGTGGTAACCAGGTCTTGCTCTTGTCCTAAACGACTCTTTGCTTACTTGCTCGTTTTTCGATTGTAAGGTTTTTTTTTAATCCAGGTAATGTGCAGATTTAGGGTTACAAGGTGGCCTCACCATGCCCCCCACCCAGCATTTATCCACCTTGGACCATCAAACCCTCCTCAAAATCACAGCCTCAGGATTCATGGATTTAACCCATTTTCAGTTTTAGTAACAGCTGGATATCAGGCATGACGGGACCACCTCACGGACCTGAAACAGACCTGCCAGATCCCTCCTGGCTTCTGTTTCTTACTTTACAAAGAAATGAATGAGCCAGGAAGGGGTCCGGCGGGCCACCCCCTCTCTGGACCGCACCGAGGAGATGGGGCTTAGTGACGGCCGTCCCGGCTGGATCAAGCTTGTTTTGTCTGGCAAATGAATTATGTAAACCTTATCCACAGAAACTGTTTCAAGTCAATTAATTGTTGTAATTACTTAAGATTTCTTTTTAATGAATATGGCTCCCCGGGGACCGGGGGATATCCTGTCATCTGTACTGCCTGATAAATGAAATGTGATTTGTGGCTGCTGCAAACTGAACCCATGGACTTGCGCGGTGGCTGCTTCCCGCGTGCTTGTTAAATGGAAGCAATGCCCTTGATGGAGGCAGGACATTTATTAGAAACGGTCCCGTCGGCTGGAGGGCGGGGGTGGCCATGCACCCATCCTCGCCACTCTCCTCCTTCCTCCTATCCCTTCGGAAGGGAATTAACCAAGCCCATGACCTCAGCAGAGCTGCATGTTATTATCATAATCAGCCTCCCCATCCGTCTTTCTCCCCGTCAGGTTCCATAAATTGAGGTCTCAAACAACTGTGCGGGATGGATTGTCACTGATAGAGAACATGCAGGGTCTCGGTCTCTCTCTCTCTCTCTCTCTCTCTCTCTCTCTCTCTCTCTCTCTCATTTTCTCTCTCTCCCTCTCATTGCATAAGACTTATCTCTCCACTAGTTGCTAAGCTAGGGTCACATCTCTCTTTCATGGACATCCCATTCTGAGTGATCAGGAAACTCAGCACAGCCTCAGATAAGAGAATGCAAAAAAATCCTGGAAATCGGTCCCAACATCTGGAATCTACTCCAGCAATCAAACCCTATAAGAGAGCATAGTTCAAAACAATTTGTCAGCTTTGATGGTTTTAGTTTGGCCCAGTGAGCCGTCTCATCCACCTCAATAAAATGTTTTTTTCTGGAACATTCCTGCTTGGGAACCCCTGCAGTTTTTTGGTTTTTTTTTTAAGATTTATTTTTATACAAGAGCTGGGGTACAGGTCAGAGGCATGGGAGGGTGAGAGGATTCACCAGAGACAGAGCGGGGAGCAGAACAGGCAGAAGGACCAAAATACAGTGCTGAGGGGAGCAGCGGGCGAGACAGGAGAGGTCTGCCCTGCCATGTGGGTATCTCCCTGGCCGGCCAGGAATTGAACCCATGCTGCAGAGGCTGCAGACAGCTTCACAGCACAGCACTCAACCCACTGTGCCACCAGGGAGACCCCAACCCCCGTAATTTTGAAGTGTTTCTAACCCAGATTTTCAGAGAGGGCTAAAATGAGTGAACTCACAAAACTCAAATACTTGGCTCACAGGGAATTCCATCATTTGGAAATACACTAAGTGACGTGTCTACTTTGAGATCCACCATTTTTGCTGAAATGGACGGTCTTCACTGGGTTGGTGAAAGTGCAGGGGTCCTGAGTGTGATAAAATCCGAGAGCCCCGATCCTGAAATAGTCACCCACTGGCCCACGAGCAAAGTTTATTGTCTCTGCGTGACCTGGAGCTGCCTCTCCTTGACCCCAGATTTCTGCACGCGCCAGTTGGCTCTGCACTAGCCTCAGCCTGAGAGACAGGAAGGGACAAACAGCCACGTGCCTTTTTCTCTGCAGCATCTCCTCACCTTCAAGCCCTACGACCAGGAGACCCCAGGACTAGCAAAGGCTTTTAAAGAGCAGAAATCTCTTCCTCAAGGTTCATGCAATCAATGAGTACATGTTTCTGAGGTGGATGCCAGAGTCGGAAACTCAGCCTGAAGCTTCAGCACCATGGTGAGCCCCCACCTCCAGGGCCATTTCCTGCCTGTCTAGCAAATGCCAGGCACTGTCCTAAGTGACCTCCAGGTGACCCTAACCTTAAAGTACCCTTTGTTTAAATAAAGATGTGCAGCAAGACAGGCCAGCTAGACCACGAGGCCCAACCTCTGCTCCCTGCCTCTGGGCGGTAAGCCCCTGACCTTCATCCCTGGAACCTCATCCAGAATCAGCCCCTGTCTCTGTGGCAGCCCAGCCCAGCCCAGCCCAGCCCTGGGGCGTGCATAGGCAGCCATGCAGGGGTGAGGAGCTGCCGCAGGTCCTGATGTGAAGTAGTGCCACTAGGCAAATCCTATTACCTCCTGCAAAATGCAAATAGCAGCCAAGTTAATGAGATGGCTGAGCGTGGCTCAGGACAGGGAGGGGACAGTGAAAGGGTGTCACAGGCTCCGGGACAGCCCCGATGGGTGCACGGCTTGTTGCTGTTCCGTTCTCGCCACCATTACAATCTGCGTTTTCCTGGAAAGAAAACCATAGCACAGGGAAATCAAATGACATTCCCGATGTCATGGAGCTAGAAATACAGAGAGCGGAAATTCAGAACAGCTTTCTTTCCCCCAAATTGGCAGATGCTCCTTAGATAAACTGCTGTGTGAAATTATGTGGCATTGCCAGGGAAGGGGAGAGACGGAGGGAGGGGGAGGGGAGCATAAAGGAGGGGAGGGAGGGAGGGGAGGGAGAAAAGGGAGGAAAAGGAGAGGGAATATGGAGGAGGGAGAAAAATATGACAGAAACTCTACATCTCCTCAAAGCCTAAAACATTTCTTTCTGCCCATTATCAAAAACGCTAGCCAGCCCAGCTCCAGAAGGCCTGCAGGTCCAGGGCGCAAGGATGGGGCCTGGTCATCACCGCGGGGACCTAGCGTGGCTGCCATACCTGCCACTATTCTCGAAGGCTGTCGTGAGAGGTGACAATTCTATCTTTTTTAAACTATTAGATTTTAAACTATTAGATTTTAAACTATTAGATCTGTGACAACAGCCATTAATCTAATTACTCAACCCACCGATCTTATCAGTGGTAACAGGTTTTCGTTGATCTTTTGCAATTTCTAGATAAGCAGCCATGACATCTACAAACAGTAGTTTGTTTGACTTTGTTTTTTTTTTTTTTTTTTTACTAAAGATTTATTTTATTTATACAAGAACTGGGGTACAGGCAAGAGGCGTGGGAGGGTGAGAGTATTCACCAGAGACAGAGCAGAGACCAGAACAGGCAGACAGACCGAAAGCACTGCTGAGGGGAGCAGAGCGGGCAAGGCAGGAGAGGTCTGCGTGCCATGTGGGAATCTCCCTGTCCAGCCGGGAATTGAAGGCACGCTGCAGAGGCTGTGGACAGCTTCACAGCGCTGCGCTCAACCTGCCGCGCCGCTGGGGAGGCCCTCGGCTTTGTTTTCTGTTGTGGACAAAGACATTCCCTCTTCTGTACTCTTATTTTGGATATCTGGAACTTGTAAACTGTCACCTTTTGACTGTAGATATTTTTCATTATCATAAGCATTTTCCAAAGAAAATTCATTTTGTGTTTTTTTTTTTTTTTTTCCTTTTGGGTTTATCCATTTCAGTGTGAGCATTCCACTCATGCTACGTCTATGAAAGGGATGAAAAGACCCTTTCTCCAAGCTGAGAAATATCTTGTTTGGCACAGAAATTAACTGTGAGTTGAAGTTAGGTCAAAATAATCCAGTCTACGGCAATTTTAAATGTGTTCTTCAAAAAATATTCCTAATTCTTCCATGATCATATTCTTCTGTCCTGAAGAATGAATTATGATAACTCATATTTATCTTAAATCGTTCATTTTGCCAAGGCTTTCAAATTATTGGCCTAGACCTGGACCACATTCTCATGAAATTATTTTATTTCCTTGATATCGGATGCCATCTTCACTTTCTCATTTCTTTGTCTTGTATTTTTTTGGTTCCTATTTATCAGACTTTCTGGATACTTGTTGGATTTTAATTTTTTCCAACGATCACACTGTTGGATGTATCAATTAACTTCTTTTTCCTTGCTTTCTAAAATATTTATTTTGCATATGAATTATTTTTTATTTCTACTTTCCCTACTTATCTTTGTATAACTAGTTTTATTTTTTTCTGTTTTTTTTTTTAAAGATTTATTTATTCATGCAAGAGCTGGGGTACAGGCCAGAGGTGCGGGAGGTTGAGAGGATCACCAGAGACAGAGCAGGGAGCAGAACAGGCAAATGGATGAAGACACTGCTTAGGGGAGCCGCGGGCAAGGTGGGATAGGTCTGCCGCGCCATGTGGGTATCTCCCTAACTAGCCGGGAATCAAACCCGTGCTGCAGAGGCTGTGGACAGCATCACAGCACTGCACTCAACCCACTGTGCCACCCAGGAGACCGTAGTTTCATTTTTAACATTTTTCAGGAGTTAATTCTACATATTTTTCTAACAGTGACAATTTGTAATGCTACAAATCTGATTAGGTGGTCTTGATCACACCCTACAAGTTTTGGGATATTCTGATCTTCTTTATATTATGTCAGACAATGTGGGCTGTGACGTGGGTGCCATGAACACAGACCCTGAGCGAGGCCTTGGTTGTGGGAAGTTAGCTGAGTGTGATTCTGGTAACATAAGCAGGGTGGGGAGAGCAGAGCTGGGCAAGAGGAAATCCATCAAGGGTGAGGTAATAGGGTTGAGTAAAACTGGGGTCCACCTCTGAGAGCAGGATTGCAACATGCCTTGGAAATATTCTTTGTGGGTAAAGAGAGCTGGGTATGTACCCAGCCATTGCAGAAAAGAGGTGCTCATGTGTGCCTAGACCAGGGGTGAGGGTCAGCCACAGGCCCCTCAGCATCTGCAGTTCTCTAATTGTAGATTCACTGTCTTTCTCATTTAGGAACTTGTCCCAAGTGTTTTGTTGAGTCTTAATTTCTAAATGTGCATTGCTATGCTTTTAAATGTTAACACCCTGAAAATATGCATTGTCAGTTGTCCTAGGTAGAGTTTTCTTTCAATGGAAGGAGCTATTCCAGATTAATCTTTAGGAAACTGCACATTTCAGAACAATAACACATTTATTAGCATAGCTGTTGTATTTGTTCCACCCATTCGGTACATATGTATTCCAGTTGGTTACTGTTTAAATGTTTTAAATTTTTATATTCCTCTCTTTACATTTTTATTTTGACATAATTTCAGACTTAAAGAAAAATTCAAAGGATACTTGAGAACTCCTATAAAAACTTCATCCAGATGCATCAGTCTATTTCTGAAACTTTAGCATGAGCATTTAATCTATAAATTTCCCTCTCAGCCTGCTTTAGTTGTAACCGATAAAGTTTTTTTTTTTTTAAAGATTTATTTATTTATTTATACAAGCACTAGGCACAGTCAGAAGCATGGGAGGGTGAGAGAATTCACCAGAGCCAGAGCGGGGAGCAGAGCAGGCAGAAGGACTGAAGTACGCTGCTGCTGAGGGGAGCAGCGGGCAGCAGGAGAGGTCTGTGCGCCATGCGGGACCCTCCTCTTGTGGCCAGGGAGCAGCCGGGGATCGAACCTGCTCTGCAGAGGCTGCAGGCAGCTTTGCAACCCAGCGCTCAACCGCTGCGCCACTGGGGAGGCCCACCAATAAAGTTTGACATACTATGTTTTATTATCCAGTTCAAAATACTTTCTAATATATTTCTTTTTTCACCTTTGCATTATTTAGCAGTGAGTTAATTTCCAAATACTTAGTGCTTTCATAGATATCTTGCATTTTATTTTTGGTGTAATTAAATGTATTTTAACATGATTATTCTGTGGTCAGAGAACATACTTTATGCAGTTTGGATCCTTTTAAATTTATTGAGCTTTGTACAGCACAGTTTAGTCTTTATTACATTGGTAAATGTGCACTCAAGAATATTCTTTTGGATTTTGGGGTATAGCATCCTGTGTCAATTTGGTCAAGAAGGTTGATAGTATTGTTCTGATACTTTGTGGTTTCCTTGATGTTTTTGTCTAGTTCTATCAATTGCTAAGACAGGAATGTTAAAATCTCAAGCTATAATGGTGGAATTGACTTTCTCCCTTTAATTCTATAAATTTTTTATTATATTTTGAGATTCTGTTTTTAGGCTTACACATTTAAGACTGTTACTACTTCCTGCCAAACAGACTCTCTTATCACTATAAAATGTCTTTACCAGTTTTATGATTTCTTTGTCTTGAAGTCCATTTTATCTGACAGTAATTCTGTTCCATTCGTCTATGATGACTACTTGTGTAGAATGTATTTTTCTACCCATTTCCTTTGGATCTTTGTCTTTATATTTAAAGCACATATCTTGTAGACCACGCACATAGTTGAGTCTTATTCATTATCCAGTCCAGTTGTCTCTGCCTTTTAATTGAAATGTTTAGTTCATTAATATTTAGTGTATTTGTTGATATCATTGAAATGAGGTCTGCCATTTTATTGTTTCCTCTTTGATTTTTGGCCCTTATTTCCTCTTTGCTTGTCTTATTTTGGATTTTGAAAATAATTTTAAATTCTATTTTACCTACTGGCTTTTTAGACTTCTGCTCTGCATTACTTTTTAATGGATGATTTAGTGATTACAATATTCACCTTAACTGTTCACATTTTTTAACAATTAATACTGTGCCACATACATTTTCTGTGCTAGTTGCATATATTTTACATCTACATACAATGTATACCACCACAAGAAAAATTCATAATTATTGCTTTAAGCAGATCTACATAGTTTAAAAAAGAGAGAGAGAGAAAGAAAATTCTTTTATATTTACCCAGATATTTACCATCTCTAATGCTTTCCATTCCTTCTTGAAAATATGAGTTCCCATCTGGTATTATTTCCTTTCAGTCTTAGGAACCTCATTAACATTTCTAACATTTCTGGTGCTGGGCCGCTGTTGACAAATTCCCTTGATTGTCTTTCATTTGAAAATGTTTTTCCTTTGCCTTCATTTTTAATGGATTTTTTCAGTGAATATAGAATTTGGGGTTGACAGATTTTGCTTTTCCTTCAGCACAGTAAAGAAGTTACTCCATTCCCTCTGGCCTCCCAAGTTTCTGATGAAAAATCAGTGATTATTCAAACTGTTATTCCCTCATTTGTAACGTGTCATTTTTCTCTGGCTGGTTTAAATGTTATCATCTCACACTGTGTACTTCAAATACTTTGCTGCCAATTTTCCTTTCTTTCTGGAACTCAAATCACAGACATGTTAGACATTTTGATAACTTCCACAATTTCATGTGGTTCATTTCTGTTTCAATTGTTATCTCTTTGTCCTACAAATTGGACAAAATTAATCTGGTTTCGAGGTCATAGGAACTCTTTCTTCTCTCCTAACTAGTATGTTAGTAAGCACATTCAGTAGTTTTAAAATGTTAGATAATGCTTTTTCCACTATAGCATTTCCCTTCACTTCCCTTTTTTATAGTTTGTAATTCTCTGCTAAGATTTCCTGTATTTTCTTTCATTTTGATCCTATTTTTCTCTACACCCTTGAGTATAATTATAATGGCTCTTTGGAAATCCTTGCCTGCTAATATCAACATCTGCATCATTTTTGAGATCTCTCCACCTATTCCTTCCTTTCTGGAGTATAAATCACATTTTTATTTTTCTTCTTATACCTGATAGAAAATGTCCTAGACATTGTGTTTCCTGTATTATAGAAACTATGGCTTCTACTTACTTCTCTAAAATGTATTTTTAAGCAGATAGTGAACCTAGCTGAACTCAAACACGGAAATCTCAGACGAGTTCTTTCAGCTCCATGTCCAGGTGGAATTCTTGGCAATGGTCCTTAAGTCAATAAAATGGCGACTTTCTATTCCATTCCAACAACCCCACATGGCACTGCTGGGACCTGCTCCCAAGGTAAAGCCTTAAAAACATGACCCACGCTCAGGGCCATTACCCTGGCTTAGCTTTCATCGCTCCACCAACATCTGCCTGTTTTTGTTTGCTCTCCAGTGCCTTCAAGCAGTTGTTTTCTCACATTTTGTCCCAAGGTTGTAGTTTTTACCTCCAGGTGCTGATCTGATAGAACCTTCTCTGCCATTACCCAATTAATCCTTTTGACTGTGTATGTGTGAGATTTTTTTAAGTTGGGGACACCGTGCCAGTCAACGGTCATTTCACAAACGTAAGGTAAAGACCCAGGCCCTAGGAGAACATATAACCCAAGGAAAACTGTACCCCTTCATGTGACCCTTACCCCTGGGGATCAAGCAAGGCCAGGCTGGGAGCACACAGGCTGCTGTGATGTGGCCGCCTCGCAGAGGACGGGGACTCAGAAGTCCATCCAAGTAATCCGGCGAATCAGATGAGCTCCCGGCTTCCTGTCCGGGGGAGTCCTGCGAACTGGCAGTGACTCTCAGAGGCCTGCAGAGGACACAGGGAAGCCCCTCTTTGTTCTCCTCTGCATAATCCTTGTCCCTGCCCACCCTCATCTTAAACAGGCTGGTGTTCCAACCTTCGCTCTCAAAATGACAACGAAACTCCTGGGGTTCACTTCAAGGTGCTTCCTACCCGTTGACCCTGCACCGCCTCTGCCACCCGCTTCTGCTCCGTGACCCAGGACCGCATTGCCTTCTTCTGCATCCCAAAGCAAGGCTGACAGACACTGGCCAGTGCCCTGTGAAGGGGACTGTCTCCATCATTATGAGGCTGTGATTCCTCTCTTGGGTCTCCTTCAGGAACCTCCTTTGCTAAGAGGAAAAATTGTCCTGTTAGAACATCCTGCATTGCCTTGGGTCAAATCTCAAAACCCCTTAAGTTTCCGTAACTTTCCTCCCAGTAAACATCTAACCGCAGATGCAGCTGAGGACCGAGCCCACCCGGGGCACAGCTTCCTCGGCAGGCAGACGCAAGGCTCCCCCTGCCCGCCCAGTCTCCCTCTCCTAGTGTTGGCCACGGTGGCCCCCACAGGCCGGAACAGGTCCAGATACTGGGCAGCTGGGCATAGACAAGGGGGCTCCCCAGGAGCCCAGATATGGGAGGTATCTGAGATCTGCTCCATTTGGGGGTCATGTGTGCTAAGTTTTAAACCCTTCACTTATGGGAGAGGGGAGACTCCCCATTTTATGCAACTGTGGAGAAGGGGTACTTTTGGCCCGGGGTCTCCTCTCCTCCCTGCAATAAGTGGAGGGTCTTTTCCCGCCGTCTTTCCACCCTGAGCTGCCCCCAGTAATGAAGCCAGCAGTCACGCCGTGCCTGCCGTCCACGTGCACTCCGGACTGAGGTGTTTGCACGATTATTTTCCTCTGCTGCCATCTCGTCTCCCTGTTAATAATTAAGGGCTTTAAACTGCCCTCTTCTGTGTCATCATCTTCGGTTGCTTATAATGTTGTATTGCAGATAGAAGATAAGTAGAGGATAGACTGGTGGTGATTGATAAATGATAGATGATAACTAAATAGCTGATAGAAAATTGCTAGATAGATAGATAGATAGATAGATGATTGATAGATGATAGGTCATTGCCAGATAATAGATTGATAGACAGGTGATAGAGACAGATGATAGACTGATAAATGATTGATAGCTAATGCATAGCTAATAGATTGATAGATGATTGGTTGATAAATAGCTAATACATAAATAATTGACAGATAATAGATAAATAACCCAGATAACAGGTTGATGGGCCATTGGCAAATGGATGATAGACAGATGGACATTTATATACGTAGTTAGAGAGATACTCTTGCCGCTTAGGCCACGCCCACCCTGGCTAACACACTGGAAGGTGAGGCGTGAGCTGGCCCACAGGAAGTGGCTCCTGCCCCCAGAGACAGGCCCATAAACCACCCCTACAAGGTGTGCTAAATTCCACCTCCTCCGGGAGCCCATGCTGCCAGGCTTCCTGGGGTCACACAGCTCTCCAGCCACCTCCAAATGCCCAGCCCCTTACCCCCTCCTTGCCGGCAAAGGTCTGAGCACACAGCCCCTCCCGCCTGGGTTCTTTTTGGCAAGAGTTTAAGGTCCATCGCCTCCCCTCTAAGACTCCCCCGTCTCGTGCCATCTCTGCGCCTTGTCCCCCTGCTTCACAGAAGTCTGAAGTCTGTGTTTCCATTTTTTGTGAGTCTGCCTGTCTCTGGGTGGCAGCCAGTCAATTCAGCAACCTTAAGAAGAATCCCACAAGCCCATCGGGGTTGGCACACAAAAGAGGCAAGTTGAATTTCCCCCAAGAAGCCCATGACTTGCAAATGCAAATCCTAACCCTCTGTCCACACCCGGAGCCTTGGCTCTTTGTGTCCAGGTTCCTCGTCCGTTCAGATCCATCCAGTGCTGTACTTCATTGAGTTGATCGTTCTTGAGCAGGTGACCGGTATCCCCCCAAATCCTTAGCTGCCGTTGCCCCCTCGCTCAGACTGTCGACCTGAAGGGAAGCCATCAGCCCTGAGATCAAAACTAGGCAGGGGAATAAGATCCATTTTCTGAAAGTGCAGGAGCACGTGAAACCTGCCCAGCTAATCATCAGGAGTATAAAATTTTTATTTCTCGGTTAATAAGCAACACCTGTGTTTATAAAGCGTCTCTGATGACTTGCTGTTTATCTCTGGCAAAGAATATAAAGCATTCTTAGAATAGGTTCCTCGCGAACACACCTACCATTACGACCCTCCAGCCCCGCCCGTGACTGGCGTAACCTTCCTTGTCCTTCTCTCTGCTCTGCACACTCACTTCTTTAATTTTTTTATTGAAATGATATAATATAAAAAAAACATCGGATACAGATAAATCAACTGTCTGTGACATGTTACAGACATCAAGACAGCAAGCAGAAGACATCACGATTGCCAATAACAGACACTTAGTCTCATAAAACTTGTAATCAACTTCCAAGCCCAGGCGTAAACTGTAATATATCGCTGCAAACATGCAACAATAACACACTATTGGAATTGCACCTTCGCCGTCTCTGTCGTTAATAACAAATACGCAGGGAAAAATTTTGACAGTCATTCATTTTAATGGGCATCTGTTTGTTTACCAGATCCCACAGCTGGCGCCCCGGAACCCAGCCTCCTCCTGGACCAAGGCGGGAGGGAGCCTCGCTGCAGGTGCCAACCCCAGCAAGGTCACCTCGCAAACTTGCTCAGCCCGGGATAGCCCCAGGTCTTCCTCTGGACCCAAGAGAACACATACGGTAAGAAAGCCCTCGCCTGGTGGATTTGTACCCTTGGGACTCTGCCAGACACATATGGCTGCATTGCAAGTGCTCAAAACAGTGGCTAGCAAGAGCCATCATTCTTGTGCGAGGAATCAGGTGGGTGGCTCCGCCTGGCGCCCTCGCTGAGGTCTCTCTACTCGGCTGCTGCTCAAAATGGGGCGTCTGGGAAGGCAGCCCTGGAGCTTGCGCCCAGTGGGAGGGGCCGACATCTGGGCGTGGGAACAGCTGGAGGTCCTGGGGGCACCTCTTCCCCCTCTGCCTCCACCTCCTCTCTCTCTCTGCCATCTGCACAAGATGTGGGCACACTCCCACCCTCCCGTGCGCACACACACCCTGCATGCGTACACACCCTGCGTGTGTACACCCCCATCCACACTCACACCCTCCCGTGCGCACACCCCCCCGCATGCTACACCCCCATCCACACTCACACCCTCCCGTGCGCACACCCCCCCGCATGCTACACCCCCATCCACACTCACACCCTCCCGAGCGCACACACCCCCCGCATGCTACACCCCCATCCACACTCACACCCTCCCGTGCGCACACCCCCCCGCATGCTACACCCCCATCCACACTCACACACTCCCATGTGCTCACAGCCCCCCACATGCATACACCCCCATCCACACACACCCCGTCCTGTGCACAGACTCTCACACATAGGCTGCACACACACACACCCATACTCACACTCACACCCCCCATTCATATGCACACACACTCTCCATGCACACACCCACTTCCCCTTGTGCCACACACCCTCCATGCTCACACATCATGCACACACACCCTCCTGTGTGCACATACCCTCCATGCTCACACGTCCTCCATGCACACGCACCCTCCATCCGCACACACCCTCCATGCACACACACCTTCCATGTTCGCACATCCTCCATGCACACACACATACACACCTACATCCTCCATGCACACACACCCTCCATACACATACACACACACCCTCCATGCACACACACCCTCACTCTGGGCGGCGTCCTGGTGAGCCATGCAGTGAATCCTGTGGGGCTGATACTGGCCACCCCTTGCACAGACCCTGCAGCTGGCCAACCCTATGGTCCAGGCCAGGCAGGAAGCCTGGGATTGCTTTGGACGTCCACAAGCTCAGAGGCAGAAAACTCTGAGAAGCTGCCACTCAGACTCTGACTGGGGCCTGCCCCCATCAGCAAGTGGGCTCCTGTCAGGGGGGAAGCCACAGCCCGCAGGCCTCTGGGTCAGCACCTGTCTTGGAACAGAAGCCTGGCTATCCAGGCTTTGGTGTTGGGGTCACCAGGCCTGAGGGGAGGGAAGGGGAGATGCTCTGAAGGGACGTGCAGGCCCAAAGGAGGCAGTAGCACAAACTTTATGGGGTATAGCATGGCAGGGGAATGTGGGGTGTGTCTGGGTGGGGTCCTCTGTCTGGCTGGGGCCTGGCCTCTGGCTGTGATGTGCTCTGGTGGGCAGCACCTGCCCTTGGGTCTGGCTTCTATCTAGCTGGTGTGTGACCGCGGCGTTCGGCGTTGGTGAGCTTTTGAGCTAAGGGGTCTGAGCCTGCAGGAAAACTGCAGACTCGGCTGTGGGAATCACACAACCAAGGTGTTCCTAAGGCGGCTGCTGCTGAGTCAGGTCATGGGGGGCTTCAGCGACCCCCCTTGTGTGGGGACAGCAGTCAGCTGACCCAATGCACCCCCCTCCACCTCCCATGTATTGTTTGGATTTGTCACAAGCAAAGCAATTCTCCTGAATGAAGAAGGAACCTTCCCAGCAACTCCAGAAATCTATGGGGGCAGGCGACGTCTTTGTTTTTTTCCCTTTTGGGAACACAAGTCACAGTTTGGGAAGGCAGGGGAGGAATTCAGGCTGAAGTTTTGACATGACCTATGTCCAACCCTTTCCTGGCAAGTCGCTCACCACGGGCCAGGCAGGATGTCACCCAACTGCCCTGTGCCTGATCCCCCTGGGAGCCTTGCTCCAGGCCAGACCCCATCCTGCAAGCCAGAGCCTTTGCTCTCACTTAACTCTGGAGAAGCTTGTTTGGCTCAAGAGTCAGAAATCTCTCTTGCTGTTGTCCCCTTGAGATAACGTAAGCGATCGCTGGATGCCGGGAACGTCTGCTGCGCCGTGAATGCTCACAGCCACTCAGGGATGCTCAGCCCGCCCAAGAGCACCCCCAGCAGCCAGGGGCCTCTGCAGCCCCACTCTCTGCCCCACCTGGGCACCCCTCCTCCCGCAACCCTCCCAGGTAGAGCAGGTCACGCAGGTACGCCTTGTACCTGCCGCAGTGGGAGGGCACCCCGCTTCTGGCCTCGAGGAGAAGTTCTCTTCCCTCGCAGCAAGATAATGTTTTAAAAAGCTGACTTTTAAACCTCTTACTGAATTTTTTAATGGTTTAAATTCATCATGTCACAGCTGCTGTGCAGCTAATAGAGGCCATAAAACACTGTATTAAAGGATTACCCGTGCAAAATTTCCTCTCGTGCTAATGTGAATTTTAATACTTTTAACATTTAGTTGAGATGGGAATGTCCAAGAACAGCTTGTTCAATAGGTTGTTCTATAAAATTAAGTTCCTCGTCTCATCAGAAATGCCAGGACTCCATTAAGGGAAGATTTTACAGAGAGGCCAAGATGATTCACTGCGCAGCATTTGGGGGGAGGAAACAACATCTGCTTCGCCATTAATGCTGTGGAAGAAGAGAGGAGGGGGGCAGCACAGCCGGGGAGCCCCGAGTTCATGGGCTGGCCTGCCCCGGGGAGATGCTGGCTCCAGATGTGGGGGAGGCCGAGGACACACAAAACCGCAGATGCTGCTCGGGCTCCTCTGGGGGTCACTGGTCGGGAGGGTGAAAGGTCTCAGCTGCCCAGGATGGCCGTTACAGGGACTCACCTGGGTGCCCCACTTTGCCTGACCCACCTGGGCCCCTGTGCAGCCAGATGGCGGGAGAGAGACCCACGGGTGGTGTGGCTGCAAGAGCAGAGGAGACTGGCAAGATGGGACACTGGTCATCTCATCCGTTTCGGGGGGCTCAGTGCTGAGACCCTGAGTCCCAGTCTGCGCACAGTTGTGGGCCTCCCAGGCAGAGTGCAGCCATCCCCCTGGTTGAAGGCCACTGGCCTCCTCACGCATCTGCAGCAGGAGCCGTTCCCATTTTGGAGCTAGTGAGAGTCAGAAGCAGCAGTGACAGAGCCCCTGCCCCGGCGGCTGTACACCAGGCACCGAGGTGCAGGCGCCGCGTAGCATTTCCAAACTGTCCTGAATCACCACCTTCTGAATATGCGCCTCTGGACTGGCGTTCCTGGGTGCACCTCCCCAAGACGTCCGAGGAGCAGACCGCTTCGTGCCCCAGCCTCACCCCTCTTTGACATCCAAGGCGGCAGCCGCGCAGGACTTGCTGAGAAATGGCACCCCGTGCGACAGACTCGCGCTCGCTGCTGTCTGGCCATCGGCCCGAAGCTGCAGGTTTTCTTGGCGACTAGAATGGATGTTAGAACGTGCCCTGGGCCATGTCCGAGAGGACACCGTGACGCTGGGTGCTCAGGGGGCCCCCCAAAGGCTGAATTTGTCCTTGACACTCTATTTTGTACTGTGTGTGTGACTGTTCTGAGAGCCTGTCATTTCTTATCAGAATGAGAAAGGCTAAAGAGATAATATTTCAATAACATACTGGCCTGATCATAAAATAACTCAATGGAAATGTGTCATTGCCTGGGGCCGCCCGGCAGGGGCCTGAGACTCACATGATTTCTGCTCGAGTTTTTTTTATGGTTACATTTTCTGTTACAGAAGACATCCCCTCAAGTCTTAGTTATGCTTTTATTCAAAAGGGAGAACCACGGGATAAAGACCTACAAAACTTATTATGATCTGGCCCTCGAAAGAAATAAAAGTCTTGCCGGCCTTGACACTTTTCCTGCAGCCGCCCCCCCAGCCCTAGGCTGGCGCTCCTGGGTTGCTAGGCAACGGGGGTCGCCTTCCAGGTCTTAGAGGCAGAACCTAGTCAAGAGAGGGTGTGGTCCACCCAGAGAGGGCAGATGATGGGCGACTGCAGGTACATCAGGAGGTTCGGAGGTTTTAGAAATTTTCTGTTATCATGCCGAAGGCGCAAAGGGAGAAGCTAACTTGTCCAGAGTGGGTGGGAGCAGATTTGCAAGCTCTGGCGATGAGAAGCCACTGTTGAAGCGGCGCAGAGAGAATCCAGCCTATGGTCGGGCTGACACGGCGCCAGACCCCAGCTGCAGACAGAGGCACCTGGAGGGCGCAGACCAGGGAGGCACCGGGAGGCTCCCCGGAGGGGGTGCTGTTTTGTAGGGGAGGGCTTTGTCGTTTGGTTCTGGGTTTTCTTCACCTCTCTCACATCCTGCCAGGCATGAAGGCAGCGCTGGGCAGCCCAGGCTCCTGAAGGTCAGGCAGGAAACCCCAAGCCCCCTTCCTGGGGCCCTGCCCAGGCTGCCTTTGAACTTTAATAAAGGGCATGGAAATCACCCCCCGGCCCCCCACTGTGTCTCACTCTGTTCGCCACCAAATGCACCTGACTCGGGTTATCAGTTCAGTAACATCTTCACGAGAAGTCTGACTGATTTCAGGGCGTGTCGGGAGCACGTCCGAGCGGGGCCGGGTTATCGCAGCGGCTCATCCTGGGCAGAGCCGCTATTGGGTCTCACTTCATCTCAGGACCAGCTCGGAATATCCTGCTCGTATCTTCCCAGGGATCGGTGCACGCCACTGTAAGGACATCTGAGCCACGCGTATTCTCCACCCCCACCCCACCCCCCCCCACCCGGGGGAGAGCCACGTCCCTCTCCAAAGCACCGGGCTGGCTCCCGGCAGTGACAGCACCTGCCGCCATAACAGCAGATCGATGTCCAGTCTGGGTGATTTGGGGGCTTTAGCAGGACGGCGGCAGGTCTGGTCTTGTGTCCGAAACCCTGCCGGCCTCCACGACCGCCCTGACCCAGACTCACACCCCGGCTCACATCACAACCAGGAGCCGCTGGGAGCGGCCACGCAGCCAAGGCGGCTGCGACAGACGCGTATGATTTCTTTGGCCCTCCAGGGTGAAAAACGGACTCCATCCATTTTTTGTCTCATATTTGCCATTTTCCTTTCCCTGAAGATAACTGGCGTTTCTAGACATGTCCTGGCCGTTGCTGCTTGTCAGCCCTGGGGTTGCAGAAGACGGAGCTGCTGGGAAGATGTGGCTCTGGGGCCCCGAGCCAGGCAGAGTGACTATCCCAGAGCCCACGCCCCCTAAGGGTGATGCCACACAGTTCCCGGCTTGTCACCACCCTGCCCAGGGGTCTCCAAGGCAACCTGGCACCAGGTTCAGGCTGATTCCCTCGCCATCTCTGTCCCCAGCATCCTCGCAGCCCAGCAAGTGGCCGCCTCTGCTTGCTCCAGCTGTGTCTGCAAAACCAAGTCTCAACGAGAGCATTGGGTGAGTTTTGTTTCCTATTTTTACACTTTAGGGTCTGAGACCACTTGAACCATAGGGGCTCAGTTTCAAAAAGGGGGTTTCCTCCAATCTGCCTGAAGCCACATCTCAAATTTGGCTTAGCCCCCAACCTCCTGCGGGGCCTCCCCACACCCCCTCTCACTGTGCTGTCCCTGACCCCAGCCATGCAGTGGAGACCAGGTGACCCGAGGGGCCCCAGAGACTCTCTCCTCGCCCCCTGGGAGAGACGAGGCTGCTGGGATCCCAACCCTTCATGGGTCTAGATGCCTCCAAAGCCACTCTGGAGCCTGAGCGTCCCCCTTCCCGAGTCACTCTGGCCTCAGCTCATGCTGCTAATGGATGAGGGCTCCTGTCCTGTCCCCTGGGGTCTCCACTATGACTCAAACCAGCCCCCTGTACTCAATTCCTCCATTCCAAGTGCCCAGATGGCCGTTGTTCTCTTGAGTTTGAGCTTGATGTCTTCCGGGAAAGAGGCCAGATCTGAGTGGGCAGCTGTGTCACCAGCGCCCACACACTGTGTGGGCAGAAGGGAAGCTGGCCCTGGGCGTCAAGCTCACCCTGCTCCCCCGATCCCCACCCGCAGTGCCAGCTCAGGTTGGGCCCCCGAACCTACCAAGTAGTTTGCAATGAAGGGAAGGGACTAATTTATTTTGATTTTTCAAATCGCAGGAGGAATTAGCAAGTTCACTCTGTGTCCACCCAAAGTAAGTCTAAAGGTCACGTGTCCAGCCACGGGGTCCCTAGCCATACTTCAGCCCGTTATTTCATCCTGCAATGACATGAGAAGCCCCGTGGGACATGGATTTCCTGTCTCAAACAAGGGAGGGCATGGGGTTTGCCTTCCAAGGGCAAGAGGAGTCGTTCCAGCGTCTTCCTCCCCATGCTCCGTGTCACTCCCGCAGACCCACCTCAGCACCGCAGGTAAACTACCGCGTCATAAACCTGTTGCGGCTACGAACTGTTCGGGGTGTTAAATACCTGTGTCACCTTCAAAGAAAACCACTTGTGACATTTGCTTCTCGGGAGAAAGGCGCGTGTGAGCACAGGCAGGGCTGGCAGAGGAGAGACGGGGCAGCTGCCTCCCTCCAGACCCGCAGACCTGTCCCCCTCCTGCGGGGTCTCCACTCCCAGAGCAGGACAGGCCCTTCGGGCTGGTGGTTCTCGGCTTCCGGCAAACATCACAGCCACCCAGGCGAGGAAAGCAAAGATTTCTAGACCCCGCTCGACGCAGGGTCAGATGGTGCTGGAGGGCGTCCTGGTTGGGCATTTTAACAAGTTCCCAAGTGACACAGATGCTGCGATGGGGAGAGGCTGGTACTGCAAGGAGGTTGGTGCTGCAAGTTGGGGAGGCTGGTGCTCCGAGAGGGGAGGCTGGTGCTGTGAGGAAGGGCTGGTGCTGCCCAGGGTGGGGGGAGGCTGGTGCTGCATGGGGGGAGGCTGGATCTGTAAGGAGAGGCTGGTGTTGTAAGGAGGGGCTTGTGCTATAAGGTGGAGCTGGTGCTGCAAGGGGGAGGCTGGTGCTACAAGTGGGGGGAGGCAGATGCTGCCTGTGGGGGGTTCACCCTCTGAGACCCACCAGCCTCACCCACCTGGGTTCAGATCTTCCTGAATGTGAGGTCTGCCTGTTCCCTTTTTCCCCAGAAGGTCTGTGCATCGGAATTTCATAAATAAATAAGTTATTTTTTAAATTCAAATTCCCCTGAATTTGCCCCCTAGATTCTCATTTATTGAGGGGCGGCACACGGAAACCTACTTTGCTCCTGGGGCTGGGCTTTCTGGAGCCCCTTCATTACTATGAAACCTTTCTAAGTCACAAAATAACCACTTGGCCAGCACATGGGGCGTTGTCCCAGCCATGGCACCTGCCCCGCCTGCGGCCCCCCAGAGGTGCTGCTGCTGCTGGGGCTCCTGGATGCTGGTGGCTCTTTCCAACGAGCCTCCTTGTTGTTTGACCACAACTCCTGCTTATATTGTTTTAGCTGGGGAAAACGTCTAAAAGAACTGGATTCATCCTTCTAAACCGGTTCATCCCTTTTGCCTTTTGGTGCGAAACCAACAGCAGGTGACTTCGCCGTTTCCTGGTTTCTGCAATAAGCAGTTTTCCAGCACCAGGTGCTGAGGCCACGAAGGTGAACTGGCGCTGGCACCTGTGTCCAGGGAGGGTCACATGGCCACGCCCTCAGGTGAGCTGGAGCGGACTGGATAGGAGCGTGACGTGATGTGACGTGACGTGATATGACGCAATGTGATGTGAAGTTATATGATGTGATGCGATGTGATGTGGTGAGATATGACGTGATGTGACACAGTGTGACAGGATATGATGTGATGAGATATGACGTGATGAGATGTGACCTGATGTGACGTGACATGACATGATGTGGGTTCAGTGCCCGGAACCCGGGTGCGGCAGCATGACTCGGAAGCCAATATGGGAGAGACGGAGCCAGTGGCAGGAGATTGGGTTCACTCGGCAGCGGCGACCCAAATCTGGGGCAACACAGCCTCAAGGCTGAAGTCCTGGGGAGGGGGCCTCGCCCTGGGGTGCTGGGCCGGCCTTGTGCATGCACCCACCCCACCCCCCTGAGGAGCAAAGGCAGAAAGTGCCAGGTGCTCAAGGCAGACAGCGGCTTCCCATTGGGCCGTGGGGTCCCTGGAATCCGGGTGCAGAGCTGCCCCAGCCCGCGCTCCCTCCCCCCTGCACCCCGCCCGGCCTGGCAGCTGACCACATCACCTAATTCATCACTAAAATCAGAAGTGGACGTGGCTTCACAGCCTACCCAGTTAAATTTCACTAAGACAAAGCCTCAGCCCAGTCCATCGACAAACAGAATTGATGGGCGCCCTCAGCTTGGCATGGAGGGTAGACCTGTTATTTTCAGAAAACAATTTGTGTGAACAGAGTTGTTTGCAATGGGGAGGGGCTTTGTGTCCCCCGCTGTGAGGCCACCCAGACAGTGCAGGTGATGGAGACCCTGGGATGGGGGATCTCAGCTCCCCACGGGCTCCCAGAATGATGCACCCAGCAGCTCGCTCGCACAGAAAACTCTAGAACGTGACGTGGTCTCATTTGTAAGAGCCACTGGCCACGTGCCCAACTCCTGGGCTTTTTGGGAGCGGTGGACACAATGTCAGGCTCTCTCAGGCGCTCTCGCATGGATCCTGGGGAACAGACCTGGACCCCCGACGACTGAGGCCACGGGCCTCGGCCCACGCACGTCGCTCAGGGCAGCAGGGCCTCTGTGAACGTCACAGTAAATTAAGTACAATTAGCCCAGCAAATATCATCAACACTGCCAGCCCACGAAGGAGCCATCACTCAGCCTTCATTCTCCGCACCCATTACCACTCGAACCATTTCTCAAATCAGCAATCTTCCTAAGTGGTCATTACCCCAAAGCCCGTCTAAATGAGGGCGCCCTCATTAAGGAGGCGAGATTGAAGCTTCAGCCTTTGCTCGGAAGGGCCGGTCATCAAACTTCCAAGAAGCTACAGCTTGGATTTTTGATCCAAGTCATAAAAATGCCCAAGCTTGCAGTGCTGGAAGAGGCTGCATTTTCCTGATCATCCTGGAGGAAGGTCTCCCAGGACCAGGCTTCCGAGCCGCGGGGGCTGGCGCAGGGAAGAGGCCTTCCGGGGTTCCCTGATGAGGGCCCAGGAGGCGAAGGACCCCAGCCCCAACCTGGACTCACCTGCTTCTGCCAAGCACAGGGGCAGCTGCTGGGTGGGGGCAGTGACCCCCATGATGGCAGAGGCCCCTCTGAACCAGCAAAGAGAAACACAGAGCACAGGTCTAACCTGAATTTAAAGAGCAATAAATGACGTCCTTATTTGAGAATGCGGGGCCAAGAGAACACATCTCCTCTCTGGACTTGAGATGCAGAGGAGCAGCCTGGAGGCTGACAAAGGGGTGCTGAGGACCCTGCACCTGTGGCAATGCGTTGGGGGTGCAGGGCAGCCTACATGGAGCTCCCCACAGAGGCCCCTGTCCAGGGGTGCTGGAGACTGGAAGCCCGAGGCCAGGGTGTGGGCAGGCCTGTCCCACCCGAGGTCTCTGCCTTTGCTACTGGAGGCTCTTGGGCTGTCTTGGGGGTTCCTCACCCTATAGGAGAACCACCTTGTCGCTGCTCCATTCTCAGTCTGTGTCCAGACACCTTTGTAGGACAATACCAGCCTCCTCATGGCCACCCAGCCAGTCCTGCCTCCTGTGCCTTGAATGACCCGAGCCCTCTGACCCCACCCCTCCAGGAAGGACCCTGAAAGCCCTTGTCCTCAAGTGCTTGGGGAAAGCAGAACCCAGACTCGGCCTGAATGGGCAGGTGAGTCTCGGAGACGCTGCTGAGCTGGCCTTAGGTGAGGAAGAGCCCATCGGGAAGGTCCTCTCTGAGCCCCAAGTGTGCAGCATCCCCACGCAGGGCGGGCTCAGGCTGATTGCCCGTCCTGTCCTCATGCTGCTGTTTCCCGAAGGGAAGAAGGTGGGCTTGGAGGCTGCTGGCTGGGGTGGCTTTGGACAAAGGTCTGTGGGTCCCCATCTGAGGTGTGACATAGGCTTCTGAGTTTGCACCAGAAACCGTGGGTGCTGCTCACTGGCAGAGTTTAATTATCTGACTTTGTACAAAAAAAGATGTAGAAAGACAGAAGGGAGGACTCATTCTCATATGGCACACCCTAGGCCATAGTAGGACGTTGCACCAAAACCATCACTGAGAAGCGGAAATGGATGAACAAGATACTGTCTCTTTGACTGAAGAGGACAAAGCGATTTCATAAAAAGAACAAGGGTGTCTCAAAACCAGGAAAGAATCGTCGTTTCTATTTTCCATTCCTACACCAAAGAAAATCATTATTCCTATTAGTATCTCCAGGCATGCAGACGAGTGAATGTCTCTTGCTCTTGATCTAAAAGTGTCTTTTTGCTTAATTTGCTTCTTTGCAACAGAAGATATTTGCTATAACCTCTAGGATTATATGCTATTTAAAATCCTCCAAAATCTCAAAGATCCTAAGAGGAAAGACTCATTAAACAAGAGTGTTATTATTTGGAGCCAAGATCTGCACAAAGCTAGAACAAGAAAAAAATTACACAAATTCTTGGCATTTTATTCTATCTGTTTATGAAAGTGGTCACTGTTGACTCTGCCCCACCAAACAGACAAAATCTCTTCTGGAGTGGCTGAGCATTAGAAGGAACAAGCCACAGGCCCTGGATTTACCTTAAAAAGCTAAAAGCAGGATGACTGGAGACCCTCAGTCATGCTCTTGGGCACCTGATACCATCACAGCAAAAAGCCATTGATACATGATCCCCAGTGTTTATTATGCACTATGCACAGTAGACAGGCCAGGAAGCAGTGTCAGTGCCTGCTGATAAAGTCCCGGATGGAGAAGAGGCGGTCCAGCCACACCGTGGAATACTATGCAGCCATGAAGAAGGGCGAAGGGCTGCCATTCACAGCAAAATGGAGGGGGGTGTAAGGGAAGGATGTTAGTACAGTCAAAATAGTAAAGACAAATATTGGACATTTGCATAGAGATGATTCAGTGAGGCAAAATACTTATAAAAACTAGCAGACACTTATAAGTGAAAGGAAGTTTCTCAGGATAAGAGGGAGGGGAAGGAGAAAGAGCACAGGGATAGACGTGGGGGGAAGTTAAATGAAGTTACAGAAACCAATGTTTATTTGAAAAGTGAGCTGGTGGCCCACAGAGATGAAATACTGCCCAGGCTCCGCAGACACAGTCTCTCACAGCGGCCCAGCTGGGGACCTGTCTGTTTTGAGTCCTTAGTGGGATCGTTAACAAACAGCCAAAGTCCTTAGAGAAAAGTACATAAAAAGTGATTATTTTAATTTTGAATTATGATCTTCAAACGGAATAATAGCACCTGAGTATCCTTTAGAACAGGGGAAATAAATGTGTCTGACGCAGAAAGGAAGAATTGGTAGTTAAGGGAACGTCAGTATTGCTTTAAATTCAATCAAACGGATCCCGAGTCTACCCGCTAACCCACATTCGACCACCAGGTGGCGCACACCTGCCCGCCTGCCTGCCTGCCTGCCTGCCTGCCCCCACTCCCTGCAGGAAAAAGGCCTATTTGCTGCTGCTGCTGTTGGCTTATTGTTTATTTTTTATGCTGCGTGCTCACCAACACCAATTTAGCATCATGAACATACGAATCCACAAGTGGGTCCTTCTCAGCAATCCGCTTTTTATTACTCTGAGTGGAAGTCATCTTGCTTTGTTCTTTCCCTAAGCTCAGAGCCAAGGAAATGCAAACCCAACCACCTCCCTGGGGGTCTGGCCTGAGACACCCCACCCAGAGGCTCTCCTCCTCCTCCTCTGGAGAAGCCCCCTCCTCCGGGGAGACCCTGGCCTGCCAGCTCGCAAGCAGGGGATGCTGGCCTGGATGGTCCCTCCTGCACTCCTGGGTACAAAGTCTGTTGCTATTTATGGCTACGCATGTGAATCTGATGGAGGAAAAGACATTCCAGTTAGAATCCTGAACGTTGTGAAGGTGTCAGGTCTTCCCCCGCTTCTTCGGAGACTTTGCTCCAAGATAATTCATTGCAAGCACCCCGGTGTTTAAAGTATTGTAACAAAATTCAGAGTGGGAGATTGCCAAGCGCCTTAAAATCACCTTCCCTCCCAAGTCCACATGTCACTGACGCCCACTTACTGTGAAGGGTGGCCCTTACGTCTCCTGGGATGCCTCGAGCACACTCTGGACTGGCCCATTTGGTCGAGAAGCAGCAGCAGGAGGCCAAGCAGCTCCCCCTGAGAACTTCCTGTGTCCTCAAGGAAGGGGCTCGGCAGTGGAGATCCCATTCCACCCCAAAAAGAGCGTGGACGGAAAGTGGGGTTCTCATGAATCATTGACACTCCTCCCACCTTCCTTATCTCAAATGAACAATAGAACCAAGCAGACGCTCTTAAGTGTCCCTTTCACCTAGAAAACTGCATCTCTGATGTTGCTGCGCAGGAGAAGGGTCTCTGGATCATGGGGAGCAGATAGGGTAGGGAGAGCTGGGAGCACTGGGCTGCAGTGAGGGGCCGCCGGCCCCCCAGGCCCCTCTGGGTGGGAACTTATGGCTGGGGTTTCACTGGAGCACCCAGAATGCACCCACAGACACCCCTCTTCTCCCCTGCAGACAGACTCAGCCTGTAGCTCTCCCTCACGGTTCCAGGCCCCAGAACTCCAAGGAAGCTTCCCTGGAATGCATGTGGCTGTGGCTGTAAAAGGGGGTGGGCTGCCCCTATAAGCAGAGCCTGGAACTGCCAGCCTCTTTCCTGTGACGTGTCCCCAAATGCCCCCCACCTAGAGCTGTGCGCAGCTTGATGCTGGTTCACAGAAACAAGCCTGCCGAGGCCCTGGGGTGGGAGGTGGCCTGCAGAGGTGATGTACACTCTCCCTCACTGACTGCATGTCTGGCTTTCTGCCCAGCTGCTCTGGGCGTGGAGTCCACGTGTGTCCAGATGAAGCCACTGCAGGGGTGGTCCTGTGTTTAGACTCGGCCCGCCCCCCCCCCCACCCCGGCTTTCACTGCCACTCCTGGGTGCAGAGGAAGCCTGGCTCCAGGATGGTCCTTCATTAAGACACTGCAATGAGGACAATAAATACCTTTTATTGGTTATAATACCTTTTTCTTTATTAGAAGGATAGCAGACTGCTTGTTAGCTGGTCAGGAAAAATTTCATTAAAAAAATATGAGAGACGTGAGCCGAGCCTGACAACAGGGGACCTCCGTCCTACCCGGCGTCTCTGGACACCCGGAAACACCGCAGCCCCTGCACACAGAGAAGACAAGCAGGTGAGCCGAATAAACCCTCAAACACTTTCAGGTTAAGACCAGTTAGCGGTCACCAAGGCTAGCGTGATGTGGGGGGAGCCTGGAACTGGCTGCTCTGTGGGTTTAACGCAGGAGACACTCGTGCTGGGTCTCGGCCATGCTCCCCTGAAGCGTGTCCTGTCCTCACGCGCCTGCCCTTCTCCTCCTGGCCTGTTCCACTGGGCGTCCACATCGGGCTTTAAAATCGTCCACATGGATAGGGACAGTGTCGTGTGGGCTCCAGCCGGGCCCAGGGCAGCTCTCCCCAGCACCCCTGCCACGCCTCCTTTACTCTCTGGTCTCGGGCAGTTTCTCTGGAACCTCACACTCATCCTGCTCCCACTGGAACCGCTGAGCCAGGGGTCCCAGGGCGGATGGCGGGATGTCAGTTTTTTTAATTCTGGAGCTGAGGGTATTTTTAAGAGCAGTCGTGTTTATTTTAATAAAGCCTGTTTTATTTTTTTTTTTTTACAAGATCTGGGGTACAGGCCAGAGTTGGGGGGTTGAGAGGATTCACCAGAGACAGAGCGGGGAACAGAACAGCAGACTGACTGAAATCCACTGCTGAGGGGAGCAGCGGGGAGACAGGAGAGGTCTGCTGCGCCCTGTGGGTAGCTCCCTGGCCGGGGATGGAACTTGTGCTGCAGAGGCTGCAGACAGCTTCACAGTGCTGCCTCTTAACCCCTTGCGCCACCAGGGAGGCCCAAAGCCTGTTTTGTTCGTTTCTCAGTGATGAAACTGTCTACAGAGAGGGGCATGCTCTGCGCCCACTTTACCTGGTTCTCAACTAGATGGAGCCAGAGGAAATCAGCGGATGGAGGGAGCAAGCGCTTCCTGCACACTGTCATGTCAAGAAAACTCCGTGATTATCCCCCATAGCTTTTCAAGGCCATTGTTAGGAGATCCGCTTAAGCAGACCACAAAGGCTGAATAAGGGACTTTGCTCTTGCACGTCGCCCCTTGGAATCTTTACCTTCCACCTCTGGACACAGACCAGTCAGCCAGGCCCTGCCGCCTGGGGGTCTCAGGTCCTGGCTTGGAATATCCTCAGGCCCTCACCCTTGCTGCCGGAGCTCATGTCCTGTTTTAAGGTTTCTGCCCCTGGGCCCCGCTACTCCCCCTTCCCTGAACTCCTGTTTCCAGCCGAGGGGTGTGATCCCATTTCTTCCAGGGCTTTTATGTGGGGGCTTGGTGGTGCTGGGTCTCCTGACTCGCTCGGTGCTGTTTGCAGGATAAGCGCACAGTAGGACTCACCCGCATGGCAGCCAGTGACGGAGGGGCTGGCGTGTTCTCCTGGGCTGCCTTAGGGGCTCGGTCTCTGGCATTGTCAGAAAGCCCCAGGGAAAGGCAGGGCCTGCAAGTCTATTTCTCTGTTTTCAATGGGGGGGCCCTGCAGGGAGCTCCGCTTTCACCCCTGCCTGGCACACTTTCCCTGTAAACTCTGCGCCCTGCCTTTCATGCTTGTCTTTCCTCTGCCCCTCTTTTCGCCCCATCAGTAAATACAACCGTTTTCGTTTCTTCCACCAAACACAAATCCTGCACCTGGCGGTTCCAGCAGATTACAGTGCGACCGTAGGGTGAACAGCCACAGGGATGCTTTCCAGGAGCGAGAAGCTGGTGGAAGCCTTCAAACCCACCCGACAGGCGCAGGACTCGGCTTGGGGCGCAGCCGGCAGTGTCTCCGCATCCACCATCCACCGTCTTTGTTCCCTCAGAAGCCAGCCAGGCCGCGCCCACCCTCCCCGCGGGTGAGGGACCAGCCCGGGGGGTTTCTGCGCGACTGTCTTTGTGTGGCGTAACTATACATGATTTTAAAGATCTTAACCCCCTCTCCTTCTCCCTGCCCCCCAGAACTAATCTATATGCTAATTTGCACTTGATCACTGCCGCCCCACAATATGGTAATTGCTGTAATGTTTTCCAGGGAGAAAAAAATAGCAGAAGTGGAGGCTGCTACTCCCGCCTGCCTGGCTGCACGGCCCCCAGCACTGGCCCAAGGCCTTCGCCCTGGACAGCACTCACTCGCTTGCCCCACGGCTGCAGGCAAGCCAAGCCCCCCATTTTGGGAGGCGGTAGGCTGCAAGGTGCCCGCCCCCGGGGGAGCGGGATGTCCTGGGGTGCCCTGTCCCCGCAGCCCGGCCTGGAGCTCACAGCTTCGGGGTGGAGGCCCGGCTTGGGGTCTGCTCTTAAGCTGCTCGCATGCAGGGTCCCCCCTCCGCACACACGCATCCGCACCCCCCAAGCTATTAAGATATCAACTGCGGGCGTGACAACAAGAACCCTAATTAAACAGTGGCGCTAGCGCCTCGAAGGAGCAGCCTGGGCCCGAACAACCGGGGCTTGGGACTGGGGCGAAGGCAAGGGGCCTGCGAGCCAGCTGGGGCTCCCCGATTGTTGTGTGTATTTAAAGGGCCCCGGAACGCCGCGCCCGCCTCGGGCCAGAGCATCCCCCGCCCAGGATGCAAGCAGGCCTGCCCATTCCAGAGGTAATTGGCCGCCGAGCCTCGGAGATCGGGGAAGGCATGTGCTTCGGAATAATTATGAATAATTAGGCGCATGTATGAATAATTACATTGATAATAGCTATCTGACTCATTCCATTTCAAAATTGCCCTTCCGTCATTAGGCACGGTCTCTGCCTCGGCTGGCCTGGCCCCTGCCCAGCGGGGTGCAGGTGGGGCCTCAGGGACAGCCGGTGTGCCTCACCTGGGGTCGGGGCGCGCCCGCCCATCTGGGCTGAGAGGACGGTGGGCATCCAGGAACCCCAGGAAGAGCCCATCTAAGACCCTGGGGCTGGCCACAGGCTCCTGGACCCACAGGAGGGCACTCTGGGGGACAGCTGGCCACGGCCCCAGGTTCTCAGGGACTCAGCTGCCTGGGGAACAGAAAGCAGGGGTCTTGGGGGAGAGGGAGCTAGAGACACCCTGGCTCAGGCTGGGGGGGCCGTCCTCCCCTCACCTCCTTCATTCCTCTGCCATCTCTCTTTTTATCTCTGCCCCCTCTCCCCCCACCGTCTGTCTTTCTCAGCTTGTCTCTATTGCTTCGTCTCTATGTCTCTGTGTCTGCCAATTTCTCTACCCCTTTCCTGCTCCAGCCTCACCAGGACAGTCATAAACATAAGTTTATACTTTCCTGCGTCCAAAAATAATATTCCATCGCTGTTAACGCTGATATTTGGAAAACACCAGAGGGAGAAATAAAAATAGGGGTTTTTTTAAAGTCAATAATCTCAGCACCTGAGAGAACCTGTAATAACTTAATGTTCTAAAGTTTCTTTTTTTTCCACACATATTTTACACACCAGTTATATCCCAAAGCATTGTCACCTTCCTTGACATTTTTCATATCAATGCAGTTTTCCAAATTATTAGAGAATGAACATTTTCCATATTGTAAAACTCATGTTTTTAAAGCCACACTTGACATAATCAAGTGGTATGAAAGTGTGTGCGATAATCAGTCACCCAAGCTGTGGGTGCCCCAGATTCACATCTTTGCTGTTTTGCAAGGTCCCCGTGGGCAGTCTTCTTCCATCTGTGTCTCTCTCCATCCTCTTTCCAGTCTCCCACCTCTTCCTCCCCCTGGCTCCCACGTGCCAAGTCAGTAGGGGGACCGTGGGGCCAATGCCACCTCCATCTATTTAGGGGCCAACAGCACCTGGGTCCCGCAGGTTAACGCTAAGTAGGACTCATGATGCAGACAGACTGCAACAAACCAGGGTGCTCCCCAGCCCCCATGACCTGGGCGTGGAGAGTGGAGGTACACTCTATGCGTCACTGGAGCTCCTGGACCACCCCTCTTGTTCCTAACATTCTCAAACAAGGTCCTTGACCCATTAGCCCCAGGCACAATTAGGCTCTGGACAAATGTCTTAGGTTGAGTTGACTTCAAGAGCAAATAACTTACTTGGAAGGTGGTCCTGGGAAGTAGCAGCAGGTAGGGGTGGAAAGAAAAGAAGTCAATAAAGGTGTCCTATGAAGCAGGCTTGGCCTTAGGAAGCTTGGGAAGCTGGTGCAGAGTTCCTTCCCTGGGCAGCGGTGTCCACACCAGCTGTGGACTGGCTGGTGACCTCCAGGTGTCCTCTTGGCTGAGTGACGGGCCCAAGTCAAACATGACTCTGGAAGTTGAGGGTGTTTCTGGATGAAATTTGCATTTGAATTGATGGAGTGAGTAAAGCAGATTGCCCTTCCCAGGGTGGGTGAGCCTCGCCCAATTAGGTGAAGGCCTAAGTAGGGTAAAAAGACAAAGTTGGAGCCAGTCCCTTCCCCCTGCTTGTCTTTGAGCTCAGTCTCCTGCCTCCAGACTTGGACCTGGGCTGGAACTCACACTGTCTGCAGCTCGTCAATTGCAGATCTGTCTGTCTGCCTTTCACCCACCTATAGCTATTGCTAAATCATCTGTATCATTTATCTGTACGTACAAGTATCAATCATCTATATCTGTCTGTCTTTATTTCTGTGTATCTGTATCTATGCCTAGCTGTACATCTCTGTGCGTTCACATCTCTAGCTCTACCTCCGCAGCCACATCTGCCGTCCATCTGGGTCCACGCCTACATCTCCAGCTCTTCCAATGCCCTGCTTCCCTGCAGAACTTGATTCAGTCACCCAGGCACTGGCCAAAATGCAGAGACTCGGCTCCCCCAGGCCCGCTGAAGCAGCACTTCTGCTGAAGCCCATAAGGCTGCCTCAGGTAATTCCGAGCCTCAATAGCCGAGAGCCTCGGTGCAGAATGTGCGTCCGCATGGGGCTGCTCCGGGTCACCTTCCCTGCCTGGTGCCCAGGCCTGGGGGATCCTCACTGTGAGAGGGAAGCCCCGGAGACCCAGACCTCTCCCACAAGAAGTGGGCAGCTGTCTCTCCCCGGGGTGCTCTCCCTTTGGCCTCAAAGTTTGGTTCCAACACAAAAGGGGAAAATGGAAGCCGGGGCTGCGCAGCTCCTGAGCATAGGATGGGGTGTGCATCTCTGAGGTCATGTGGCCATGTGACCTGCTCAGGAGCACAGGACCTGGGACAGTGGTGAGTGCAGAGGTCATTCCTGCCGTGACCGGCATCATGGCCTGGGGGCCCTGAGTGACTGTAGGAGCAGAGGCCCCTTGGGGGCAATGTCCATCTTGAAAATCTTGGGGTTTGCATTTTTCACTGCACAATGGCCTGTCAAGTCACTGCCCAGTGACACTGGAGAAGCCAGAAACCCTTGTGTGCTGAGCCCTGAGGCTGAATGAACACCCCAGCCTCCCCAGCGACACCTCACCCCAACAGCCTGTTCACAGCACACCAGCTCGACCAAAGGCAAAGAATAAGACCGACGAAGGAAAATCTGAAAATGACCAGCTTGATTCTCACATATTATAACTGATGTTGTTTATTATTATTATTTGTCGGTTTTTCTTGGTACTCAAAGCTGAACATCACCTTTCTCCGCTGTGGGTTTGTCTGATGACACGCTGTAAACTTAAAACTCTGCGGCCTCGTCTGGTGTTTGATAAAATATTCAACAAGACCATAGGTCACCGCGGTGCAGCATATAAATAAGTAATTTTTAAGAATTGGAATGTGCTCTACCAAACACATCGCTCAAGCCATCCAGCCCCACAGAACTTTTCTTTGATAAATTCAAAATAATTCAGGATTTTCAGTGCCTGGCGACCGTTTGGAACGTCATCTGTTTCAGGGCTGTTCATCATTTTTCTGCGGTAAAGATTTGTCCAGATGAAGCATCTGGACAAGAGCTGAGATGTGGGAGGATTGCAAGAAAAGAAAAAAGGGGACTCATTAGTAAGCAGCAGTAGAAAAACAGTCCGCGTACAAGGGGAGTCACAATCCTAGAACTTGATAAGAAATTCTTCAGCCGAAAAAGCAGCCGAAAGGAAAGCACATTTGAATCGTAAGGATGGTTTTTTTTACAAAGTGCCTGGTGATCTTTAAGGCCGTCCAGGCCTAACACGCTGTGTAATCGATTTTAACTCACATGGAATCTAGAACCTTATTTTTCGTTAAGGAAGTTGGATTGAAATAATTCCCATTTGTCACGGCCATAGCCTGGCCCTGCTGCCACCTCTGCCTTCCTGGAGCCAGAGGTTGATGAGGAAGGGTGACTTGGCCGCCATGGGCCTGAGACGTCTGCGGAATGTCCACGCACGCCTGCCGTCCCTGCCCGGGCTGACTGGCGGCCTGTGCAGGCTGTGGTCTCTGCAGCCCGATCAATCTGTCGCTCCAGTCATTTGACTATTGATTGCTTTTCAGAAAGTAACTGTAAAAAGAAATCTCGCTGCCTGTCTCCTGCCACCAGAGTTCCAGGTTGTCTTCGCCTGTTTGCATGATTAATGTTGTTCTGGAAAACCTAGAGGATCAATAAGCATTTTCTGAGGCGGAGGCGTCCCGGTCCCCAAAGAGTGTGCCCACTTGGTTTCCAGCGTTGGGATCTGCCGCTGGGGTCGCACCTCCCGCATGCTGTGGGTGCGCTTGGCCTTTAGCCCGTGAGTCCCGGAGCCGGGAGGATGAATGTGCATCGACACCCCGTGACACCCCCACAATTATGTCTGACGCGCCCCTGAGCCCGGCGCCCAGGTAAGAGGGTCCTTCGCCCCTCCCCGCCAGGCGGTGCTCTCCCTGCAGGCCTGGGCAGAACCCCTGCACCACTCCGAGTCTCCCTGAGTCCCCCGCCCCAGGGCAACCTGCTCTGGGGTCAGCTTCACCTGGGTGGCTTGATGGCGGCACCACGTGGTCTGGGGGGCCAACACAGAGGCCCCCCAGGTGTCCCTGTCCTTATCGTATCTTAGCAAACAAAGCAGGGGCGCATGTGTGCATGCGTGTGTGTGTGTGTGAGTGCATGTGTGCATGCGTGTGTGTGTCCACCTCCCTCCGCTTTCCCTTCCCAGCTGTTTCTCCCTCCCCTCCTGTCTCTCTGTTCCTCAAGTCTCCTCTCCTCTCCTCTCCTCCCCTCCCCTCTCCTCTCTCCAACCCCCTGTCTCTTCCTGTCTCTCCCCCACCC